CATCAATAGGTTCAGCCACCCAGGCTTTGTCTTCATTAATATCGACAACACTAAAATCAGCACATGCAGACAATGATTACTACATCAAAGACTCATTTGAGGTCTCTCGTCAGTTCAATAGATTGACAATACCAGCCGATCATATTATCGCCAGTCTTGATGTGGTGTCGCTATTCAGCAACATCTATCTGGATGCATGTACAAGAACTATTAATAAACACTGGAATGAGATAAGTCAACACTGCAACATATCTCTAGAATCTTTCACCAACATTATAACATTCCTTTTTCATAACAATTATTTCTCTTTCAACAACAAAATATATTCTCAAACACATGGTTGTCCTATGGGATCTGTTCTGTCACCAATTTTGGCGGAATATGTCATGGATGATCTGCTTGATACAGTTATTCCGACACTACCCTATAACCTCTTCTTCATAAAAAAATACGTAGATGACATTATTTTATGCCTCCCTTCCATAGGTCTGGATGGTATTGTCAGAGAATTCAACAGCTATGACCCCTACATCCAATTTACCATTGAAAAAGAAGATGAGAACCTGTCTGTCCCCTTTCTAGACACAAGACTCATTCGCACCAACAACAACAGTTTATTGGTAGACTGGTACCAGAAACCTATGGCCTCAGGTCGGTTTCTCAATTTTAGGTCATACCATAAGCTAGGGATTAAAATCAATTTGGTAAAACAGATGAAAACAAGGGTAATCAGCATCTCAGATAATACCTTCCACACCTCAAATTTACGTAAACTATCAAAACTGTTCATCAATAATGGTTATCCGAAGTGTCTGATTAACAAGATCATTTTTAGTTCACCTTCCAATATTTTGCCGAACTCTGGTGATGCAGGTAACAGTCGCACAACCCCCAATAACGGAACTGATGTAATTCCCAATAATAACATCAATCCTAACAGTACTAGCACCAACCCGGACTCCAGACCTGGTTTTGCTGTCCTGCCCTACATCAAAGAACTGACCCCTAAGCTGATCAGATTGTGCAGTCCTTTGAACTTTCGTATTGCTTGCAAATCCGTCCTCACTATAAACTGCATTTTTTCAAAAATGAAAGACAAAGTCCCGCTGCTTGGCTTAACCAACACAGTCTACTCCATCAATTGCAACAACTGCAACCAAATATACATAGGTCAGACCTCCAGATCTCTTAAAGGAAGGATTACATCACACAAAAGTGATGCTAGGCTTCATCCTGAAAGATGCGCTCTAGCATCTCATGTTAACACAACAGGGCATTCTATGAATTACACAAGTATCAAAGTTCTTGATAAAGAAAAACACCTTTCCAAACGTTTATTCCTGGAAATGTCCCACATTTTCATGAATAACAACTGTATCAACAAAAAGACAGATGTTAAACAACTGAGTGTCATTTACTCATATTTGCTAAACTGCGAAAAATTGGAGAACTTACATATCTCCCCAAATTTCAACTCTTCACAACCATAATTAGAATCTGTGTTTTGGCCGTTTCCACCAGTAAATTTCATTCCACTCAAAATATAATAATTCTCTCCTCACGATTTATTAATAATTGTTAATTTAAATTCCCATTAATAATAATATAGTTTATTCAACTGCCTCTGGTCGGTTTAACAAATTCCATCATAAAATTCTGAAAATCTCTTCATCTGAAGTGATTTGGCAACGTTTTTGGCACACGCCCACAATTCGTTCCATCTTTCAATACTGACATTGACATCCTTCGGCCTTCTGTCAAAGGGTTTCATGTCACTCATCAATTCATCATTCCACGACCACTAATTTGTGCAATCATCAGGTGGTTTCACGATGTAATGTTCTAATTTTTTAAAATAATTTTTAATCTGTTTTTAACGTGTTCTTGTCATGTTTTGTATAAATTTTGACTATTGTGCAACCTATTCAGCTCTCACCATGTTACTGGACGTTTCCCTCATCCTATGCGTAAACAACAATTAGCAACATTCTCACATACTACTGTAAGTTGAGTCAATTTAAATTCATTTTACACCTTTGTTGCTACTGTTATCATTGTAATTGCAGCTCCTGATGATGATGGCAAAGTCCATTGAAAGCTAGAGAGAATTAAAAAAAGTATAAAGAGTCCTCTTTGCTTAAATCTTGTCGAAGTACCCAACAAAAAGCGGAAGCTTTAATTTTTCACCTATATATATATATATGTGAAAAATTAAAGCTTCCGCATTTTGTTGGGTACTTCGACAAAATTTAAGCAAAGAGGACTCTTTATACTTTTTTTAATTCTCTCTAGCTTTCAATGGACTTTGCCATCATCATCAGGAGCTGCAATTACAATGATAACAGTAGCAACAAAAGTGTAAAATGAATTTAAATTGAATCAACTTACAGTAGTATGTGAGGATGTTGCTAATTGTTGTTTTCGTATAGGATGAGGGAAACGTCCAGTAACATGGTGAGAGCTGGATACAAGGTACAATGGTTAAAATTATATAAAATATGACAAGACAAGTTAAAGACAGATTAAAAATTATTTAGAAAACATTAGAGCATTACGTCGTCAAGCCGCTTGATGATTGCACAAAATGGTGGTCATGGAATAATGAGTGAGATGAACCTTTGACAGAAGGCCGAAGGTTGTCAATGTCTGTGTTGAAAGATGGAACGAATTGTGGGCGTGTGCCAATACGTTGCCAAATCACTTCAGATGATGTGATTTTCAGAATGTTATGTAAGAAATTGTTAAACCGACCGAAGTACCCAACAAAAGGCGGAAGCTTTAATTTTTCACCTAACTGGTCTAGACGACAATGACCACGTCTCAAGTTATATTATGTATATATATATTTGAATTTCTTTGGGTAGAAAGCAAAGTATTGGAAAAGTACACTATTATAACTTAAACTCAAGCTTTCGAAGATCTATGTCTTCATCGTCTGGAGCTGGAAACAATTATTGACAATAGCACCAATTAACAATTAGGAGGAAAAATAGTTATTTACTAAGTCGGCGAGATTGTTGCTGAAATTGTTTTAAAACAACAGTGAAGGGAACACATAGTCGACGAATAAACAATTTTCAAATTTCTTCCAAATTCAATCAACGTTTAAGGAAAAAACCTTTTCAAAAATAAAAGAAACATAGCTATGATTTGTCATTTAATAATAAAATAATTCCGTCCTAATCGAACCTCTTCGGTCCAGCTTTTGTGTTCCCTTCACTGTTGTTTAAAAAAAATTTCAGCAACAATCTCGCCGACTTAGTGAGTAACTATTTTTCCTCCTAATTGTTAATTGTTGCTATTGTCAATAATTGTTTCCAGCTCCAGACGATGAAGACATAGATCTTCGAAAGCTTGAGGTTAAGTTATAAGAGTTTACTTCGCCTTCTACCCAAAGAAATTCAAGGATATTTCTCCTAACAGTTAAGGCAATTAACTATGAATACTATATATAGATAAATAAATTCAGGGAAAATGGTTTCTAGAAATAAGCTATTAATGACATTTAAATAACTCGCATTTGTCTGCGTTGATTCATGAATTTAGTTATTTACTATAAATAATTTAATTATTTACTGAAATCGTAATAATTAATAATCATTGAGGCGGGTGTATGAGGGGTACTAGAAAAGAAATCTACCTAGTCATGAAACAAAAGGAGCATTATTTTTCCATAATTTTATTTTTCGAAATCATGCTACATCAATGCACTTGCGACGTTACTACTCTAATTTCTCATTTTTTCTCCCAATCCACTTTATAAATTGGAAACTATCAAAATTAACTCAAATTTTGCAAGTAACGTTTGAACACACGCCACTGGTTGACATTATGCTTGCGAGTTTCAATTGTTTCTTTCATGGCTAGGTAGATTTCTTTCATAGTGTCCCCTTTGACTTAACACTTAATGATGATTTTCGAAAGCGTCAAATTTTTTCGACTCATGGTCTTGTATAAATAGTGTATATGTATATATGTTACGTGTAATTGATGTCTATACCTGTATTAAGCTATATTTGCCTCAGTGCGGCAGTGCATTGTGTTTCTCACCCTTGCTAATATACAAAGCGTTTCATAATATGTTTGTACTCAGGGTTTGATTCTGCTAGTTCTCATCGGAATATCCCACCGGGTTGAATTTTTCTTACACAGTGTTTAAGTATTAATTTTTTTTTTGTTTTTCCAATATTTCCGAAAGTACTTTATGACTAAAGGATGGTCCTGAATATAGATATTTTATTATTCATCTATGACACTAACAGGGGGTTAGTTCTTGAAATGAGCGAGTAGAATAACGGGAAGTGGACGTTGCCGTTTCTGCGGAGAGCATCAGGAAACCCCTATGAATCTCCTGTGTCACTGTAGAGCCCTGGCAAGGCTACAGTTTCAGATAGTGTTACGTTTTCATGCCATATATAATCAATTAAGATGGATTTTAAACATTTTTTTGGACCATGCTGATGAAAGAATCATACCCTGAAGTATCGACATATATTCAGTTAACATTTGCTTTTATATAAACCTGCATGCATAATGAGTGATCAGTGTTTGTTAGTTCAGACTCACCTACACTAAAATATTTTTTTGTATAAAAACTGGCTATGCTTTCAAGAGTGTGATGAACTCGCATATTCAGATCTCACTGGAACGCATGACGATGTATTGCGTTGAACTACCGAGTATACCGTTTTTCGATACTTGCTGTTAATATAGACGCTCTGCATGTGATAGTCGCAAGTTTATATTAAAGACGAGATTGGCAGTCTGGCACCGGCATGGAGTCGTTTGTCCATATTTTTATTTCCCCTGGCAGTATCACATCACTGCACTGTAAACACGCCAGATTTTGGCACACATCATGTGATACAGTAAGGTAGAAATAGAGAATGATACGTAGAACTCTTGTGCATGTAATGTGGGTCGTAAAATGTCTGGCGACTAGGCAAATATAGCCAAAAATCATTAAATAAAAACATTGACGAAAATGTGGTTTTATCCAGAAATATGGCATCTACCCCGATCTACCACCAGATTTGAACGTCGACCCAAAAGATCCAAGGAATCAGACCTCGCAAAGACCCGGTCCTGTGCAGAGTCTCTTAACTAGTTTCCTTTCTGGGGGAAACAGACAACCACAACAACCAACATCTGATCCAAATACACAAAATCAGACACAAGCGCACCAAGGACCTGATTTGGTATCATTATTATCAGGATTATTGAGCAATAAACAACAAACCAATGCTGGGCAGCAAGAAAATACGCAAACCTCACAGCACAATCCACAACAGCCACAAACCCAAGGATCAGATATAACGTCCATGTTAGCTGGATTGCTATCAGGGGGAAACCAACATCAAGCTTCGTCACAACAAAATACATCAAACCCGTACATCCCCGGTTCTGAAATATCTCAAAATCAACGTAGCCAAAGTGTCGATTTGAATTCGATAATTTCCAACTTGCTGTCCGGTGGTCAAGGAAAGCAACATCCTCCGGATGCCCCACCGCCAGCGGGATACACTCCCACACAAACTCAAAGCCAAGGTTTGGATCTAAGTGGCCTCTTATCAAGCTTATTAGGACCACAACCCGGCCCGCAGCATAGTGACGATAACCCTCCTCAAGGAGGGCCCAATAACTCGTCCCAGCAATCCGGAGGTATCAATCTAAACTCCCTGCTCTCCAGTTTACTAGCTGGTGGAGGTGGACATCCTCCCCAAAGCGGAGGCTACACACCACAACCGCCTCCGAGTGCCCCACAAAGCGGCGGTTATACGCCTCATCCTCAAAGTGGTGGATATACTCCTCAACCTCAAAGTGGAGGTCATGTACCCCAACCTGGAGGTGTTGCACCTCCAACTGGAGGCCAAAGTGTGCCCAAACAGCCTCAGCAAGGTAATAGTGATCCTTCGAAACCTGCGAGCAGTGAACCATACGAAGACGTCACTGATCAGCTAGAACAGTTGATGGCTAAGGAAGGTATACGTGGTCAACAGAGCGCCGGTGGTCAATCGCAGGTAAGTAGTGAATCGTTGCAGGCTAAAATGCAAATAGTCAGTTAAGCGAAAAACTGAAATGTGGCGTTCGTTTTTAAAAGATTCTTTACGAGCTAGTAGTAAAATCTCGTGACCGATTACATTAAATCCTCCACAGGATGTGTTGAAATCTAATCTTTGTCAAATAGTCAGTTCTTACAACGTAAATAATTTTCAATACAGTTTTACACTTTGTGTTCATCCGCGAATACCATTAACGTGGTATAGACCCCGTTCCCTGCCAATAGGTTATGGGCCTAGTTGTTTTCGTCAAGTGGGATTTGGGGCCAGTAAAATAAGTTTTTTCTTGGAGAATCTTCTTTCGTTTTTTTATCAGTAAACATGTGGACAGCTTCAATCACTCCGATAGACAAGTTGACGTACCGAGGAGAAGCTCTTAGAACTTACTAAATCCACTGACGTCCCTGAAAACACCCTAACCAATCTTTGACAAAAAATGTGTGCGCCACTGACTTTTTTCAATTTTTCTATTTTTGAAGCAGCTAAAAATACAACTTTTCTCTCTGAGTTTATTATATATCATGCTTCGTTTTCGAGATAAGAAATAAAAAGCACTTTATTGCATTTCTATAAAACAAAATATCATAAAATAATCGCATAACGTAATAATTTATTACAGCAGTGTTGACGCAATGGGTGACAAAATCGTACGCGTCGTGGTCTTGAGAGAAACCTCGAAACCTGCAGTGTTGCAGAGTATTTTCGCTTACCTTCCGGATGTTCGGCGACCTGAAAGATGTGTAGTTATGTTCCCAGGCCTTACCAAAAATATCACCGTATGTTGCATAGTCTAGCTGCTGTTGCTGGTAATCTTGCAGACTGCTTGCAGCTACATAATGCAGTAAAATTATTCCCCGTTAGGCAGTGTGGTCAATAATGACTTCACAGTTTCAAACTACGACTCGAAGAATCTGAGTACCTAACACTGACAGTTGCTAGTTTGATGTGTAAACTCGAGGAAATGTGCTAGATGTTTTTGGGAAGAAAGATTTGAAAGTTTAGTGAAGTGCGATGTTTTACTTAGATTTTTTAAGAAATAAAAAAATGCGCATTGAATTTCTATTGAACGAATAAGTGTTCTTCGCTTAACGTGACTTTTTCAGTTTTTGCTTATACTAACACATCATAAAACACAATGCACATTACACAAACGCATGTTCAAGCAGAACACTTAAATCGGGCTTAAATGGTGAATTGGTTGCTCTATCAAATGAAAAAAATTAAGAAGAAGTTGACTATTAGAATTATTTACAACTAAAGGTGGAATCTTTTTATTCTGTGAACATTGAAACTAGGGAAGCTTTGTAGAAGTAGAAATACAAGATATCTAAAAACATGACACTACCCATTAAAATTTATATTTTATAGGAATCATTGTAAAAATATTTTCCTTTATGTTTAGCAATATGGCCAGTATCCACATCCTCAGCAGAATCAAGCAGGTCCAATGGAAAGTCTCCTCTCTGGCCTGCTGTCTGGGGGAGGATCTCAGGTAATAATTTGTTTTATGGGATGCCTTCATTTTGTTCACTAACCATTATTTAAACATACGCCGCGTTAACAAAAAAAAAAAAACATCTGTGAAACTGCCGTTTCTATTCGCCTGTCGTTGCCCAAGCATTTTAGCTCGCTGGCCAATTGGAGCGTGACAATTTGAAGATCGTGGGTTGGTGTTTGTTTTCACGAGGCATCCGATTTAAATAAAGCGTTTATGCAATAATGAATTAATTTTTACTGCCGAGGAAGCCAAAACGTTGGCAGTGCTCATTAATCTTTAGCACTTCATTTGAAGGGCGATGGAGTCAAATTGACAATCACATAAGTTATATTCAAAATAGAAATATGTCGCGAATTTGTTAAGTACATTGATTATTGTTTCTTTATTTAACCGTCGACTGATGTTCAGATATCCATCAAGTCAATAAAATACAGTCATAATCACTAAAAAAAAATGACTGATATAAAAATCACCTTATTCCAGATTATGAGATAATTGTTAATTTTTCAGCACTCTGGTCAAGGATCTATGGGAAATTTAGGCAGCATGGGAGGACTACTGCAAAACTTTGCTGGTTCAATTCTGAATCCGAAGGCAAGTATTTAGTTATAGTTATAGTAGTGATTACTTATAGTTCTGTAGTTGATTGAACATAGTGAAATGGTAGGTAGTATGAACCTATTCATATCTGAAAATAAAAAAGCTCTAGCTGAATATATTAAAGAAACTCGGACATTTAAATTTCCATGTAAATCTCGGCAATCATTACGTGCATAATTAACAGAAAACTCTGTCTTTAAACGACTTTTTTCTAATTCGGGATAAGCCAAGCAGGTAGTCCCCAATCACTGAGAACCTTCTGCGCCTCTGGAGATTTTTTGATATTTTCCAGATAAGTTCTGAGCGCGTTAATTCGCCGATTCGGAGTTATCCGGGTATATTGCGCAACGTCTTTCATCACCTAAAACAAGTTATTTACGTTTACACATTAAATAGCAATTGGGATTGATTTTTTCTTATAATAATAAAATAAAAATTTCAGCGGGAAAGTTCACTTTTTTATTTAGAAACAAAATACAAACTTAATGAAAAGAAAATACTTATTACTATTGTGTCAACATATTCGTAAATTCGGCGGGTTTTATTTCTTAAATATCATTCCGTCTAAATGTTTGATATCCCTTCGGAACCAGTCTTCTAATCGCGCGCGCAAATTCTGAAAAACTTTTTTGTATAGTCCCAGAGTGATGTTTATTTCTCGTCGAATGCTGTCTTTAAGCTCCTCCAATGTTGGTGGATTATTGGAATATACTTTTGACTTTAGATAACCCCACAAAAAACATCGCATGGGTTGAGGTCGGGTGACCTAGGGGGCCAGTGAATGTCTCCAAACTTCGATATAACTTTTTAAGAAAAAAGTGCTTTCACCGTGTCCATCGATTCTCTGGAAGTACGGGCAGTGGCCACATCCTGTTGAAACCATGTGTTTCTTTTAAATCGACGTTTTGTTGTTACAACAGGAGCAACAAAGTGTCAATTGTGTCCTTGTATTGCTCGGAATTGACTGTCAATGCATAACAAAGAAATACGGCCCTAGGATCAGTCTCGGCTCGTGGCAAAATAAAACAGGTGTTCTGCAAATCCGAACCTACCTATTTTTTATATGTCAATTCGATCCTGCGCTTCTTGGCAGCAAATTTGTCGATCACCTTCCCGTTGAAATTTTCCATGGTCGAATTAAATTCCTTTTCAATTGACAGCATCGACAACGCTCTAAGGCGATACTGAGTCATAGTATTTCGAAGAAAGGTCTTGATTCTTTTCAATGTTGAGAAATTTCGCTCAGCCTCTGATGTTTACATAGGAGTTGTAACAATAATTTCTAATAGCTTTTTTGTTTCTTTTAGTGTTTCCTCCAAACTATTTTGTATCAAAAATTTCAAAAGAGACAGAGACTATGTAAATCTCGGCAATCAATCCGTGCATAAATAACAGACAACTCTGTCTTTAAACGACTTTTTTCTAATTCGGGATAAGCCAAGCAGGTAGTTTCCAACTTGTCATCAGGAAACTTACTACAGTATTCTCGAAAGTGCTGGGGGAAAAAAAGGGATGCGGCTACCAAATGATCTTTGAATTGAAACCTGTCATTTGTAGAATTCACTATATTGTCGTATACTTCTAATGCGGCAACTCGGTGATCGTGACTGCTATTATTACGTCGTCTCCTTTTGTTGCCTTGGGGTTCAGTGCAAATACTTTTGGCTTAATTTATTATCTCATCAATTTTATTTCTCACATCGACAATACATTTTTTAAAATTATCGATAGCCGTTTTAACTTGCGCTGACTCGGTTTTTCTCTTCTGCAACTGGTTGAACAAGATGTCGACGTGAGGTATGACATAATGAAATAATGTCAACCAAAACACGAAAACAGAATCGTTTAACATACGGCGAATACCGCAAGCTGCCTTGCCAACGGTTTCATTAGTGAAATTTTCTTCTATTTCTTCCATGCATTCAATGAGTGATTCTCTGTTCTCAAACACTACATTTATTGTTCGAATAGGTAGTAAAATGCCAAACGAGTTGTTGCTCCTTGGGGAATTTTTTTCCCCACAATTCTGTTCAGTACCTCTACTCGTTGAGGAGAATTATTAAAAAATCTCGGAATATCTTTCAAATCCCCAAAGAACACCCGAACTTGAGCATTTGCGGAAGCACCTTGGGACATAATCAGGTTTAACTGATGCGCACAGCAATGCACATAGTGAGCAAATTAATATCTTTGTTTAATTTTTGCCTGTACTCCAGCATTATGTCCGCTCATTACCACGGCTCCATCATAGCTTTGTGAAATCAGTTTGTTAGGGAAATTTCCTATTAATGGATCTACGACGCTCAAAATATGTCTTGTGAGAGTATCAGCGTCACATTTTTCAGGATTCATATAATTCCAAAAACGTTCTACGGGTTCGCCGTTAAATACGTATCTGAAAATTGTTACAAGTTGGATTTTCCCCGAAATGTCCGTTGTTTCATCTGCTATTATCGCCAAATACGAGGCGCTGTTAATCTATTTTATTATTTCTTCAAGACAAACTTCAAGAATACAATCCAGTAAATCGTTTTGTATTTCTTTAGAAGTTCCTTTAAATATTGAAGCATTTTTTGTGTTCGCTTAAGGTTGTATCAAGCTCAGCAGAAAAATTAATCAGTCCACGAAATATTCCCGGGTTTTGGGAGCTCTCGGTTTCGTCGTGGACCCGTAGCGCCAATCCAAATGCTCCGCAAAATTTTATACCGAGCACCGATCGACCAATCAGATATCGTACTTCGCATCAGATCTGTACGGATCTGTATAACGTGCAGCACATGCTTATACTTAAATCGCGCATTTGTTTTTGTAGAGAGACAAAAGCAAGCACGTGCGGCTTGTGTCGAAGTAGTGCACAGACCACAGACTACTAAAGAATTTAGTAGTCTGTGGCACAGATCCATGAATAATGTTACGAAAATGACAAGTACACAATTGGTCGATTATAATGCTTTCTCAATACAAAACAGACTCGACGCTGTGTCTTGCGGGGGCAGCGTAGCCGGTATTGTTTCTATTTGTGTGATAACATGGAAAATCAATAATGATCAAATTACTACTGCTTTTCTCTGTTAAGACAAAAGTTTTGGCCGTTCTGCAGAACTTAAGGGCCAGCCGCCCCTGGATAATGACATGGAATGATCCACACGTGCAAGTTAGGAGTATACGAATTTTTAATTTTCACTCCTTATCCATCCACGTGTCAAAAAAACATAAGACCTTTTTTGTTGAACATTTTATTTTCTAGGATGGTAGTCTTTATTCGCTTAGGTTGTTAGTTTAGCCATTATAAGCCAAACTATCATTAGATGTAATTTTACCCTTAAATTCCTCGTAACCTGTTGACTATACGGCAAATTTTTGTAGAAGCAAAATGGTGAAAAATTAGTTCCGTGCAAGATTATCACTTAGGATCGATGGTATTTCGAGATGATCAAACGCGTTTTTCAAAATGGTGCAAACTGCTCCAGCCGAAACATGACTCCAGTTTGAACTTGTCATTAGGATATTACCAAGATATTATGATATAATGCATCTTTTTTAGGAACCTGGTCACCGCCCCAACTACTGAAGTCTAGGTAAAGGATATTCTAAACAGCACAAACTCTGCTCTTCCAAGATAATCAAATACTCGAATTTTCAATCTCGTAGCTGCTATTAAGACAGGCGGTTGCTTTTATATATGTCAAAAATTAGGTATCTCAATATCAATCCGTTCTCATGGAAGCGATTAAATTGCACTTCATAGTTATTTTTATAATGTATTATTTATTTTTGTTAGATGATTTTTTATTGTAGAATTACTTAAATGTATAGAAAATAAGAATGTGATGGATTCGGTGGTTCTATAGAATATATTAGAAATAAAGATCTATATGTAGTTACACTAATAGTATTTCTTGTTGCCCTTCCACATGAAAAAGGAATAATTTGGTCAAAAGGATTTGCTGAGTTGTTTGGAAGAAACGGTATCAATTTGATTCATACATAACTTTAAAGATTTATTTTTGGGGCAGTCACGACAGTGTTTACTAATTAAAAAAATAGGTACAAAAATGATGTCGCCTACTAGTCCAGGCGATTTCTTCGCATCTGATTGGAAAAATATCCTGATTCGGATTTTTGCATATTCACAGAGGACCCTCTTTTAATGAATCTGCATGTTGCCACCCCCAAATTTGCGCCAAAAACTGTTGCATCATTGTCATTTTGTGTCGAAGTTCCTCAACTTAGTAGTAGTAGTAGAAAGATTTATTTAGCACATTTGGCTACATAAACAGAATAATTGTAAACAACTTAGAACTAGTAAATTCAAGCCATATGGTGTATGATGTAAATGCTTGGCAACCTATAATTGTAGATTTAACAAGTGATTTCTCAATTTTACTTTAAATTTTGTCAAAGTTTTCTGGTCTTTTATCTCTGAGTATATAATTTATTATATTCAATCAACCCTTAATGGAATACAGATTTGTAGCATATGTTATACTTTTTGGTCATTAAATGGAAGTCATCTTTATTTCTGGTATTATGTAAATGATAGTCGACATTTGATGATGTTTAATTAGTTAGACTTGATGGAAATATATTATTTTTTACTTTATAAATGAATATCATTACAAGATATTTGATAACATTTTTTACATTGAGCTATTTTAATTTGCTAAGCATTTGCCTAATTGGAGTATATTTATCTTTATTTAGTATTATTCTCATGCACTTATTTTGTAAAATTTGCAGTCTTTCAAAAATGGAATTATTTGCTAAATATGGAATAGTCGAACATTATAAGAAATTTGGAAGAATGATGGTATTATAGATAATTTTTCTGCTATATGAACTCAGACATCCAGAAACTCTCGATAAATATCCCACTTTACTACTAATCTTATTTATGAATTTTTCATAATGAATATCAAAAATTAATCGAAAGTCAACAAAAACCCCCAGGTATTTAAAATTTTCTACGAATTCAATATCTTCACCATCAATATTCAGTTGAACATTTGTACATTGCTTTTTTCCGATTAACAAGGCTTTCGTTTTACTTGTATTTAATTTTAGTCTGTTAGATGCTAACCATTTTGAGACAAATTTAAAGTCTTCATTTATATAAGAGATACCAGACTGGATATTTTTAGTACTTATATAAATCATAGTGTCATCGGCGAAAATCTGAATTTTGCATTTTTTGACTATGACAGGTAAATCATTTATGTATAAAATAAAAAGAAGTGGTCCCAGAATACTGCCCTGTAGAGCATCCAACGTATTTTCAATTTTTGATGAAATAGTGTCATTAACTTTTGTAACTTGCATCATTTCAGACAAATAATTTCTAAACCAATCTAGAACACTTCCTGTTATACCATATGCCTTCAATTTACCTAACAAAATATCTCTATCAATCGTTTCAAATGCCCTTTTCAAATCCAAAAATACTGCAATGACAACTTCTCAGTCTATGGCTCTTCTCCAATTCTCAGTTACCAACAGTATCTACATCAACAGCTATACAATATTGCGGAAAGGTAGTGTTGTGCAAAAAGTAATGTAATGAGTGCATTTTTAGAAAATACAAAAAGCCCGAATTCAGGAACTGAAATAATTTTTGCCCACTTAACCATGCGCGAAAAACATAATCCTTCTTCTGTGGGTCGGTACGGGAACGAGGGAGGGGGAAAGGAGGTAAAAACTAGGAACAGCCTGACTAAAAACTCTGTTGGTTCGTTCAAAGGCTTATCGGGCAGCAACCAAAAAGAAATAAATGGCTGGAGATTGTCGAGCTGGCCCTGGAGGATTTAGAAAAAAAAAACAAGTAATTTGCTCATACTCATTTTATTATGTAATCTTACGGAAGTCATGTCATTTGCTTTTGGCACTGAGTCAACACACAAACCTATTCAGATTTTTTTGGTACGTAGGACAGTACCAAAACGGATTTCGGCGAAACTGACACCTTCGTCGCGTCCACTTTTTTGCTAAAAGGAACAATATAATAATATGGAATCGAAATAACCCAATCTGAAATAACTTACTTGACAGTCATAAACTCCGTCTCGTTATAACTGCTGCTGTACAACTGTACTGTCAACTCCTCTACTTTGGAAAGTGCGGGAATTTGAGTAGTGAAGTTTATTACCGCTGTTTTATCGTGCGGATTTAGAGCAACTAGCACACCAGGATTTCCAGAAGTTACCCTAAAACAACACAATGAGAAAATGATTATTATTTGTTTTTATTTACAGTCTCCAGGATGACCCAGAAGTCGATGACAAGCCGGAAACGGGGGATATGCCAAGTCATACAGCAGACGCTCGATAACGTAAACACGAGATAAAGAAAACTTGCGCTAATGTAAACACAAACTTCGTTCTATAGGATCAAACGGAACGCGCGATAACGTAAACAATGTGTACGCTCGATAACGTAAACAACTCTCGGCGCACGGAAACAGCGCGACGGTAAAATGCTGAAGCCTCGATGATTTATGTCGGGCGTCGGTGAGTCCCCGATTTATGATGTAGAGTGTAGGGGATTCACCTCTGCGATAAAATACGACAAACTCGGTCAGTCGTATGATCGTTTAGGATACGTTTATACGTACGTATGTATTTCATTTTTGAACTTAAGTGAATACATTGCACGCGTTAATATATTTTACGACTATGGCATCCACATCCTATAAAAGAAAGTGTTTAAAGTTGAGTGAGAAAGTGAAAATCATAGACGAAGCTGCACTAGATGCGGGAGTGACACAGTTAGCAAAAAAATATGGAGTATAGAAAGCAACAATCTGTAAAATTAAGCGTATGAAAACTCAAATTTTTCAAAGAACGTGCAATACATTTGGAGGTCCAGGAAAAAGAAAAACTTTAAAAAATGCGAAGGCACCTAAAATGGAAAACTCCCTGTATAAGTGGTTTTTAAAACAACGGGAAAATCATGTCCCAGTTAGTGGCGAAGTACTTAAACAGAGAACGAGACTGTTAAATGAAAAACTGAAAGAGACTGAAAATTTCGTAGCTAGTGATGGCTGGCTACAACGATTCAAAACAAGATATGGAATCCAACTGCTGTCTATATCTGGTGAAAAATTATCAGCACAGCCACAATTAGTGCAACCATTCAAAGAAAAATTGATGAAAACAATTACCGAGCTAGATTTAAGAATGGATCAAATTTACAACGCAGATGAAAGTGGCCTTTATTGGAAAATGTTACCAGAGAAAACCTCTGCTGCATCATTTGAAAAATCTGCCCCGGGAAGAAAGCCGGAGAAACAACGAATAACGTTTCTAGCCTGCACTAATGCTAATGGTTCACACAAAATAAAGCCACTGGTAATTGGGAAAGCAAAAAATCCGCGCTCATTTAAAAATGTTAATATCCCTGTTGATTATGACTGTTCAAAAACCGCTTGGATGACTAGCAGTATATTCCTGAAATGGTTCCACAGGTGCTTTGTCCCTCAGGTATGACAATCAATTATCACAAATGCTCTATTCATAATTTGAAGATGTGTTTTCAATTTGTAGGTAAAAGGTTTCCTAAAACAACAGAAGCTTCCAATAAAAGCGTTGTTACTATTGGATAATGCACCAAGTCATCCTCAACAACTGAGGAGCAGGGATGGGTCAATTTTCGTCATGTACATGCCGCCCAACGTAACACCGTTAATTCAACCGATGGACCAGAATATAATAAGACTCATAAAAACTATACTATAGGAAGTTTCTACTTTCGTCTGTCTTATCAAATAATCCTGAAAACTTATCTGAGGCTTTAAAAAAGTAACATTACGAGAAGCTGTTTTAGATTTACGTATGGCCTGGAATGAACTTAACCAGCAAACTATTCAAAAATGTTGGAACAATCTCTTTTGTACCAAAAATGAAGATGATAAAGAAGACGATGTCCCCTTAAGCGTAATTAGAGAACGTTTGCGATCCAATAATGATAATGTTATTGGTGTGTCATTGGATGTTGTTGATTTATTGAAAACAGTGAATCCCAACGTTTTTTGTACTCCTGCTGATATTAATTTATGGAACGAAGATAAGCACACGAATGATGCTGATAAGGAGGAGGATATGGACAGTGAGGATGATGAGAACGATCCCATTGAAGTCAGAAGTGTAGTGACTGACGCGCAAGCTATACAAGTTTTTAACTAAGCTTTAGATTGGGCTGAAAGAAAAGAAGTTTCATACACGGATATTTTAGTTCTTCGTAAATTACGGGCGCAGGCATTGGAAGACAATGCTAAGCGCAAATTTACGCAGACAAAAATTGTTAATTATTTTTCTTCTAATTAAAAAAATACTTATCGCTGTTAGAATATTTGTTTATTTTGTTATAAATACTATGTATTAAACGTTTCTTTTAATAAATCAAATACTATATAAATCACGTTCGCTAATGTAAACATTTCGATAATGTGAACCACACTTGGATTAATTTAGTTTACATTATCGAGCGTCTGCTGTAATAGTTATCAGAAAAATATAAAAAAGTCCAAATCGTGTACTTTTCAAATTATATGGTTTAAAAAAATCAAAAAAAACACCATGTGATCTTTTAGTTCTCATTACTACAAATTTAAATTATAGATAATGTATATACAGGGTGGCCCAACGAAAAGGTCGCACCCCTATTTGTGACTCTGCTGGTATATTTTGGGAAAAACGCTCGTCATTTTTTATTTCTATGGGAACGTCTTTTCATCTATAGCCCTACAATACAGGGTGATCCAAAATAAGATATTGCCTTACACTTTAGAGTTTTAAACCCCTATTTTTTGTGTGCGTAGATTTTCCGATTTTTTTAATCCTATAATTTGAGTCCACGACTTAAAGAGTTTTTTATATTTTTCTGATAACTATTATGACTTTCCCCCATTTCCGGCTTGACGTCGACGTCTGGGACACCCTGAATATTGCTACAGAAAGCTACCCTCAAATGTATCGTATACTTATGCGCTATAAAATTAATAAAACATTGGAAAAATATGCGGCAAATTTAAAATATCGAACCGCAACTCTATTGGCGTGACGTGACTATATCGGCAAGTGAGCAGCCAATCCTGTCGCTGTCATTGATTGTCAACTTATCAGTTTGATCAGTTCCGCCACTGAGCTATCTAATTACAATAGGTTAACCCCCTTTTTCTACATAGATGTCGACACCGTTTGCCAGCGGACGTGCTGACAGCAGCAGAATTTCCCCGCCAAGACAACGTCCGAAAAACCGCAAAAAAATAGATCCTTCCGAAACTTGACAGCAAATTAATAAAAGTTAGAATAAAATGACTAACGACGAGTTGTAACGTCACTGCAGAGCCCGCGAAAAATACTGCGTTTAAATGAACGTCATTGGCATTGCACTTTTAAATATTTAATTAAAAACTAATACAGACATTCCAATAAATTAAATATGTGATTGCAGCATTATACAGGGTGCGTCATCTATTACTTTTTTCTATTTGAAAAATCAACACGCTTTTTACGAGGTGAAATCGATTTTTTTTTGCTGATAAATGAAGGTTGGTTCATGCTATTTATGTATGAAAAATAACATCAGCCATGTGACCACCACGACTTCGTTTACAGGCCAACATCCCAACATCAAAATTTTCGATGACTTTTCCCAGAATAATCGGGTCTATGGCCGCAAGTTCGGTCCGAATATTGCGCTTTAGGTCTTTTAATTGTCCGGGGACCATTCGCAAAAATCCCCAAAGAAAATAGTCAAGAGGTGTTAAATCGCACGATTCGGGGGCCAACTGACATCTGAATTTCGTGAAATTATGCGGTCTTGAAATTTCGTGTGCAATAAGGCGATTGTTTGGCGAGATGTGTGAGCCGTTGCTCCGTCTTGATGAAACCAAAGATCGTCGGCACCAATACGATCCAATTGTGGCCACAAAAAGTCTGTTAACATGCCGCGATAACGCTCCCGTTGGCGGTAATGGCCTTTTCTTCGGCATCTTCAAAGAAGAATGGTCCAACGATGTCACCAGCCCATAATTCGCATCAAACAGTCACTTTTTCAGGATGGAGAGGTTGTTCATGATATTGATGTGGATTTTCAGCCCGCCAGAATCTGCAATTTTGCTTATTTACGTACCCATTGAGGTGAAAATGAGCCTCATCAGAAAAGAGCACTTTGGCCGAAAATCCGTCTTCTCTTTCCAGCATCCAATTAACAAAAACACGCCGCTATTGATGGTCTGCCGGCTTCAATTCTTATGTTAGTTGGACTTTGTATGGATGGAGGTGTAAAATCCGGCGTAAAGTGGTCTCACTAATTCCCAATTGTTGCGAACGGTGTCTAGTCGAGATGGTTGGATCTTCTCGCTCACTTTCACTCACTGAGGTTATGTTTTCATGAGTACAAGCTGGACGAGCATGTTGGTATGATCTTCGACCTACAGCTGAACCAGATTCCTCAACACGATTAACAATCCAACGAATTCCAGGATCTGTATGGCGTCTATGTCGACCAAAACTAGAGCGAAATTTGCGAAAAGTATTTTTTATATTTCGACAGTTTTCGTAATAAGTTTGGATAACCAAAATGCATTGTTGTGTTGTAAACGAATCCATGACTATAAATGGCATACCTTTGACAGTTCATTTATGCATACCACATGAGTTTTGACTCACATGGTAACACATAAACTTATAGGTAAAAAGAGACTGCAGCGTCTTCAAAGAAGTAAGGCCCAATGACACCTCCATACCAAACACCGCACCAAACTGTGACTTGGATTTAGTCGTCGTTGATGGATGACACGAGGGTTCTCTAAAGATAATGCCCAGATACGACAATTCTGCTTTTTAGCAAATCGTTCATATCGAAGTGGGCTTCATCGCTGATTATCAGTTGTCGGTAAAAATCGTTATTTTGGGTATTAAGCTGCGATATTGCATGACTGTATTTAATGGTCACTAGGCTGTAGTTCTTGGGTTAGCTGAATTTGTATGGCCGCAAATGCAAATCTTTTTTTAAAATAGTGCATAATGACGTGCGACGAATACCCAGTTCTTGAGAACGATGTCATGTAGACGTCTCAGGGCGCTCCACTACGAACTCTCTCGATACTTTCCGGAGTACGAACAGTTCGAACACGGCCCGACCTTGGCAAGTCTTTAACTTCACCCGTTTGTTCAAATTTTCGCACCAACTCATGAATGGTGTTGACACTGGGCACATTATTCCGATCGAAATGTTGTCGTAGCTTCCGAATCGTTGCTACAAACGACTCATTATTTAAGTAAAACGTTTTAACAATACGGACGCGTTGTGGGATCGTGTAGAGCTCCATGACCTACTGAAATGCGTGTATCAAAAATGGCGCGCAATTTAAATCAGTCAGTTATATATTTGCCACCCTATATAAGTTCAGTCTTTAACACAAGACAAGGATTTCACTCGATAGATTTCAAGTGGCCAGTTTTTCATTGTTTTGTCTTTTAATCCTGCATTTGGCTATAAAGCATTTAATATGACTAAATAAATTAAAATTTGAATAACGCATGCAAATGCAAGTGTAAAAGTGTTATTCATTTTTTTAAGTTTCTTACCTCACTCTATCCAAAAGAAGGCATGTGGAGAGATATTTCACAATTATCAATAAGGAAGTTTTGAATTCCAAAGAAAAAAGTGACTAACAATATTTTTAACATACTGAATTATTCAAATTGTTTATATCATTTTCTTTAAGGTTCAATACACAGTTGACCTTGAAAAGGCTTGACTTTATAACTTTTGTTACGTCAAACAATCGACTATAGTATATACTAACCTTAAGTATGCTATAACAGTCTCATTCTCTAGTTTATGAATACTGCATTCTCCCCTCATGATCGAAGGCATTTGCCGTATCTTGAGTAGCTTGGGATCAATTGTCGCATTAGCATCCACCAGCGTTGTGCCAGGTAGTAAGTTTGTCACTATATCTAAGGTATCTCTGGAGAGATTGTGGTTATTTGCCTGAAAAGATGTTTTTATTACTAATAGACATAGACTGGGTGGATTGTGTTATTTGAACAAGAAGGATAGGAGAGCAATAGCGCCATCTGTTGGGAGAGTCTCCTACTTGCTAGAGCCTAAATGCGAACCACAGCGCACAAGCCGCCTGGCGGCGACTGTGAGGACCGCCTTCTAGATCGACGCGAAGTGATCTCCAACATTCTAGATGAAAGCTTTGTGCTACACCCGGTTTTTTCTCGAAGCTGTAATGGGGACTATATAAGGGGTTGTCCAAAACGAACGCAGGAAAGTAAACGCATATTAAAACAAGAAAGATTGATATTCAAATCAAGTTGGGTACTTTATTTTGAAGGTTCATTTACACCATTTATGTATGAAAAATAATATCGCTCAAATCTTCACCACGACTGGATTTACAGACGTCCACGCGATGGTCGAAATTTTCAATGACATTTTGCAACATGGTCGATTCTATGGCATTTATCTCGGCAATGATGTTGTTTTTGAGTTCTTGGAGGGTGGCTGGTTTGTTGACGTAGACTTTGCTTTTCAAATATCCCCATAAAAAGAAGTCCAAGGGAGTCAAATCGCACGATCTTGGTGGCCATGGCACATTTCCTCTGCGCGAAATCACGCGATCACCGAAGAAGGACTGCAATCGATGGATATTGACGTTGGTTGTGTGGCATGCTGCACGGTCTTGTTGGAAATAAACATCGTCCATATCCATTCCTTCAAGTTGCGGCAAAAAATAGTCCTCTATCATCACGTGATATCGCTCAGAATTGACGGTAACGGCGTCCCCGGCCGTATTTTCGAAAAAGTAAGGTCCGATGATGCCTTTTGACCACAATGCACACCACACAGTCACTTTTTGAGGATGCATCGGCTGCTCTTGATACTCACGGGGATTTTCGTTCGCCCAGATGCGGCAGTTTTGCTTGTTTACAGTCCCATTCAAAGTGAAATGCGCTTCGTCGCTGAACATGATTTTTGATGAAAAATTGGCATTAATTTGGCGGTGTTCAAGGAGCCAATCTGAGAACGTTCGGCGCGAAAAATGGTCGGCCCGACGCAGCTCTTGCGTCAATTGGATCTTGTAGGCGTGTACATTCAAATCCTTGTGGAGAATGCGGACCAAACTGGTTCTCAAAATGCCCAATTCTTGGGATCGACGCGTTGTTGATTGTTTCGGATCGACTCTCACACTCTCCTTCACAACAGCAATATTTTCCGGTGTGCGAACGCTCCTTGGCCAGCCAGAGCCTGGCAGATTTGCCACAGAACCTGTTGCCTCGAATTTACGCACCAGACGACCGACGGTTATTTCGTTTGGGCGGTTGTTGCGACCGAAATGTTCACGAAGCGCGCGAAACGTGTTTTTCATTTTTGCACCATTTTTGTAGTGCTCTTGATTAACTTTAATGCGGTCTTCAATCGAATACGACTCCATAGCGATCAATGGTAAACATTCAACTAACAAAATGACATGTCGGTGACAGAAAACAAAGATGGCGTCTATGTCAAATTGACGTTTACTTTTCTGCGTCCCTATTGGACAATCCTTTATAACTCGGCGGGAGATGGAGGCAGAGTACTGAATACGGTAGAGTAGCAGAGTGGATTGAAGTATAATACAGTAAATGGTGACATAAGAATTAGTGAGACATAGATAGTGGTGTATATAAATATTTTATCAAGTTTAATAAATTAGTGCATTTCTTTTTGTGGAATCCAGTTTTTTAATCCACACCCAAAAGAACCCATAAAGACGATACAATATAAAACTTTTTTCAATTTTCACGAACACAGCCTCGGGGTCGGCGAGTTGGCTCAACTTTTTCGTGGTAATAGACCGCATTTAGTAAATCACAATATTAAAATATTAAGGCATTAAGGGTTTAGAAAATCTTATAAAAATTATTTATAAATTGCAACATCAGTTTATATTTTCTACACAGCTCCAGTGTTCTTGTATTATTGGAATACACTTTTGACTTCCGATAAGAAAAAAATAATAGCATGGCGTGAGGTCGGGTGACCTAGGAGGCCAGTGAATGTCTCCAAAATTCCATATATCTTTTTGAGGAGAAAGTGCATTTCGATTCTCTGAAAGTACGGGCAGTGGCCCCATCCTTTTAAAACCATGTGTTTCTGTTAAATCGTCGTTCTGTTCTTACAATAAGAGCAAAAAAGTGTCAATCAAGTCCTTGTATCGCTCGGAATTGACTGTCAATGCATGCCCGTTTTAATCTTCAAAGTAATACGGCCCAATAATACCGCTACAGGATATGGCGCACCAAACAGTCACCTTTGGACTACGTAGCTGTTGACAGTTCTCTTTTGGGTTCGTTGGTACCTAATATCCGCAATTTTGCTTGTTCACATAACACTGAAAATGGGCCTCGTCACTGAAAAAAAGGCTCTCGAGTCTGCGCTGCGTAGTGCGCTCCGGTCCTGCCTTTTGAAATATAGATTTACTAGTTATGCTACTATTACAATTTTGCAGATGAAAATCTATACTGCCTCTAGTTTCGTAGTTATGATAATGACTATTTAATTTTGTGAGGTTCTCTAAATGTGGTGGTAATAAATGATTTTTTATTTTGAATATGAAAACGCGAATTAAATAATATATGAAATTTTTCACATCCAACCACTGCAGTTCTTCTAACATATACTTAGTCCTAGCATATTTGTTTTTATTTAAAATGATTCATAGCTTTATTTTGTAGAATTTGTAGTTTTGAAAATATGTTTTCATTTGCTGTAAACAAGATGGTTGAACAATATAAAAAATTAGGAAGAATTATTGTGTTATACACAATTTGTTTGGAATACATACTTAGATTATGGGAAACTCTATAGAAATAATTCGTCTTTTTCGATATTTTTAAAATAATGTATTCATAATGTTCGTGAAACAGTAGCTTACTATCCAAGATATTTAAATGAGTCGACTATTTCCCTATTGACATACATTTTGTTTTATTAGTGTTTAAGTTTATTGACATTGAACCGTTTCTTAATTTTTTCAATATCACTATTTAACAGTTCTAAAGCAGTGTCCAAATGCTTATGTGCTATATTATGAGTGTAACGTCCGCAAATATTTGAATTTTGCACTGTTCTAAACTGTCAGAGATATCATTTATATAAATAATAAATAGTAACAGCCCTAATTTACTCCACTATGGCACCCCTACTGATATATTTTGAACACTTGACATAATATGTCCAACTTTAGTTTTTTGACTTCTATTTACTAAATAATTTTGTAAAATGTGTAATACTGATCCCTTAAAGCCATAGTGAGGCAATTTCATTAACGATTTTTCCCTATCTACAGTCTCAAATGCCCTTTTGAAGTCTAAAAATATTGTCACAATATATTATTTCTCATCTATACTTCTTCTCCCGTCATCCACCACCATTTGGATTGCCGTTTCTGTGGAACATTTTTTTATAAATCCAGCTTGGCTGCTATTGGAATTTTGGTGAGAATATGGAAAAAATATATGACAACATAATAGGAAATATAAAAACTTGTTTAGATCTTGCAACTGATAAAAAAGTGATTTGCTCGACAAAAAATACACCCTGGTATAACAAGAATATTAAGGCAGCTCAAAATTTGAGAGACAAACAATACAATAAATGTATATTCACAAAATCAAATGATGATAGGGACGTATATAAAACACTTAGGAATAAATGTGTATATGTAATTAGAGAAGAAAAAAGGAAATTCTACGATAAACAAATCGATAATAACGAGTGCGAAAGTGTAAAGATGTGGAAGACTTTAAAAAGACTGATCAATTCGAAGCCGCATGATTGTGTAAATCAAGTTCAAATCGAAAACGGTACCGAAACAAATTCTTTGGTGATTGCAAACAAACTAAATGAATATTTTGTGGAAAGTATTGTTGATATTGTGGGTACTGCCAATGCTGCACTTGACTATATGAAAATCAGTTTCCAGGGGGAAATGTTGCATACACTTTCAAAATTTCACAGCGTATCATTGAATTATCTAAGAAAAAAAGTAAACAGTTTAAAATCAAATAACAACTGTGCCGAAATCACTACTAAAAACGTGCTGAAAAACTGTTTCGAAATTTTGGGATATCCTGTATTAAATTGGATCAATTGTTCACTGAGAAGCAGTTCTCTCCTGAAAATTTGAAATGCTCTACAATAACACCAGTTCCCAAAATAAAAAATTCTAAAAGATGCAGCGATATGAGACCAGTAAATGTGTTACCAGACATTGAAAAATTATTAGAGTCCATAGTGCATGACCAATTAATGCAGTTTATAGAAGAAAACAAAATTTTAGTGGAGGCGCAAGCAGGCTTTCGAAAAAAATATTCCACAGAAACAGCTTTCCAGTTGGTAACTGAGAATTGGAGAAGAGCCATAGACTCAGAAGAAGTTGTCATAGCAGTATTTTTGGATTTGAAGAGGGCATTTGAAACGATTGATAGAGATATTTTGTTAGGTAAATTGAAGGCATATGGTATAACAGGAAGTGTTTTAGATTGGTTTAGAAATTATTTGTCCAAAAGGATGCAAGTTACAAAAGTTAATGACACTATTTCATCAAAAATTTAAAATACGTTGGGTGTTCCACAGGGCAGTATCCTGGGACCACTTCTTTTTATTTTATACATAAATGATTTACCTGCCATAGTCAAAAAATGCAAAATTCAGAATTTCGCCGATGACACTATGATTTATATAAGTACTAAAAATATTCAGTCTGGTATCTCTTATATAAATGAAGACTTGAAGCTTGTATCAAAATGGTTAGCATCTAACAGACTAAAAATTAAATGCAAGTAAAACGAAAGCCTTGTTAATCGGAAAAAAGCAATGTACAAATGTTCAACTGAATATTGATGGTGGAGATATTGAATTCGTAGAAAATTTTAAATACCTGGAGGTTTTTGTTGACTCTCGATTAATTTTTGATATTCATTATGAAAAAGTTATAAATAAGATTAGTAGTAAAGTGGGATATTTATCGAGAGTTTCTGGATGTCTGAGTTCATATAGCAGAAAAATTATCTATAATACCATCATTCTTCCAAATTTCTTGTACTGTTCGACTATTCTATATTTAGCAAATAATTCCATTTTTGAAAGACTGCAAATTTTACAAAATAAGTGCATGAGAATAATACTAAATAAAGATAAATATACTCCAATTAGGCAAATGCTTAGCAAATTAAAATGGCTCAATGTAAAAAATTTTATCAAATATCTTGTAATGATATTCATTTATAAAGTAAAAAATAATATATTTCCATCAAGTCTAACTAATTTAACATCATCAAATGTCGACCATCATTTACATAATACCAGAAATACAGATGACTTCCATTTAATGACCAAAAAGTATAACATATGCTACAAATCTGTATTCCATCAAGGGTTGATTGAATATAATAAATTATACTCGGAGATAAAAGACCAGAAAACTTTGACAAAATTTAAAGTAAAATTGAGAAATCACTTGTTAAATCTACAATTATAGGTTGTCCAGCATTTACATCATACACCATATGGCTTGAATTTACTAGTTCTAAGTTGTTTACAATTATTTTGTTTATGTAGCCAAATGTGCTAAATAAATCTTTCTACTACTACTAGCTTTATTTTTTATCAAAATTTTAGTTTCTTCAATGAATTCTATGATTTGTTCGTATATTATCCTTCGAACAGCTTCTCGACATCGGGCAAGACATTAATCGGTCGCATATTTGTATACAGCTGAGAATTTTGAACTTTTGGCACAGGAGTAATGGTGAAACACTTTAATTTTGATGGGAATTCACCATGTACTAAACAATGATTCACCAATAACAATAATTTCTCTCCAATTATATTAAAATAATCATTTAGAATATTCTTCGAGAGATTCTCACTTGGATTTTTATTAGATTTTAATTTTGAGATAGCTTTTCTTAGATTGTTGATGTTAATTGTCTTAAATTGCTTCATTCATGAATTCTGACATACTTCTAATGGACATAAGTTTTGATCACCGTCATCAATCGTCTTCACTATTTGATTTACACTTTCTATAAAATAAGTGTTCAATCTTTCTGCTGTAATTAATTTGTCTGTCGCTACCCCATCTTTCTATTCGGAGAAACAATATTCTTTAATGTTACACACTCATTTCTTGATTTTGTATATTGTTTCCAATCATTTTCACTTGGAGGAATCCATCAAAATATGTAATAAAATATGGAACATTCTATTAAAACAAATTGCCAAAATCCGTCAATATTTGGACGGCTGTTTGCAGAAAGGAACTAACCCAGAAAAACAATTATTGAACAATTAAAAGTTTTTAAAATGACAAAAAAAATTTTAGGCCAGAAACGATTTTAATTAATGGTATACTAAAGGTTTTAAATATGTATATATATTATAACACTAAACAATTTATAAGTCATATGCTCGTAATAGATTATTTTCCTAAAATCTAGTGTTTTCATATTTAGTGAGTTGGTTCCTTTCTACAAAAAGCCGTCCATTTTTAAAATGAAAGGACTCATATTTTATTGCACATTTAGATAGGCTCCTCCAAATGAAGATTGATATAAAAACTATAACGTTCTGATAAGTAGTTGTTGTGTTAATTAGAAAAAAATACTGACATTTCCATGAATGAAATACGAGGTTTTCACATTTTTTTCGGGCACAAAGAATTTTTAAAGTTATAGTGTTGTTAACCATATTTTTGAAACAACTCTCGTACGTGTTTACGGTATTATAGTAACGCTTATAATTGAAATACACATTGGTGCTATTGGGCTACACAATAAATAACTCACCTTCCAAAGAGGCCACTCGATACCGTCAATCTTGAAAGTAAGATTCAAATTGTTATCGATGTAATTAACGTCAACTCTGTCGAAGACATGCGCTTTCAAGGGTAAATCCACCACCAAGCTTTGATTTACGGTGTACGACTGCAGTTTAGTCAACTCTTCTGCTGCAGTGAACGGACCGTTTTCGGTCATATTTTTCACAACGTTCCTCCACGTTAACATCAACGGACCAAGGTCTTCCAGATGTTCCGTCTTCAGGTGGTTGTAAAATCCATACTGCGATAAGTCGTATTCTGAAAGAAAGAAAAAAATGGCGGTAAGCAGATTGACTCTGTACTGTACCTACGCAACACCGTCATCAGTTCATAGAAAAAAAATTAAACAGATCAAGTCAGTCAAACAGGCCCATACAACTTGTCCATGGGCATTTTTCCCTGCCCTACTAGCAACGTTGCATCGCCGCAGTACGAGCAGAACAATTAAGCAGATTGTTAAGCCGGGCGCTGAGCCCAGACAGCAGAAGGAGATGCATATCAAAAGCATTTCTCCATCATTCTAAGTTTTCACGACAAATCTATGGGTAAATAATAATAAATAATAAACAAACCATTCGTGGATATGCTTCGAGGTGGAAAATATGTTTAATGAGAGAGAATGAAGAGAAATCACAATTATTGACTTTGAAACGTTACGAGAGTCACTCTTACAAGCCAATTAGGAAAGTGGTATATCAAAGGAAAAAGCCAACACTCTGGTTTTCTCAAATATTTCTAGACTCTAAATGACGCGTGATAATGACTATAAAAAGTTTATGATCACTCAAACTGAGGAAGATTGGATACAGTATAAGAAATCAAGAAACAAGTGCTTAACAAATCTTAGGAACGAAAAGAAAAAATATTATGAAAACAAAATCGATAGCAATAAAAATAACAGTAAAATGATGTGGAAGACACTAAAAAATTTGTAACTCCCAGTCGGAAGAATGAATTATCAAGTATGTGCTTCGAAGATGGTATAGTAACACAAAAATTATTGATTGCAGAACGAATGAACGCTTATTTTATAGAAAGTATAAATGAGATAGTGGAATCAATCGAAGATGGGGATTCAAACCTATGTCAGATGCAAGTTACTTATAATTCTTCTATGAGACAATTCCAGACAATAAATATCAGCCATCTTTCAAAAGCTATTACAAGAACTCCTAGTGAAAATCTTCCAAAAATTGTTATGATGTTTCAACATTATTGGAGAGAAGTTATTATTGTTAGTGAATCACTGTTTAATATATGGCGAATTTCCTTCAAAATTAAAATGTTCTACAATTACTCCTGTTCCAAAAGTGTAAAATTCTGAGATATATACAAAACATGCGGCCTATTAATGCACTGCCAGATGTCGAGAAGCTCTTAGAAGGAATCATATAATCAAAAAAAAATCAAATATATCGAAGAAAATAAGATATTGACGAAATTTCAAGCAGGATTCGGAAAAAAGTATTCTGCTGAAACAGCAATTCAAATGGTAGTATAAGAATGGAGGCGAAATATGGATGAAAAAAAGTTTACAGTAACATTGTTCTTAGATTTCAAGAGAGCATTTGAGACTATTGATAGGGAGAAATTGTTAACGAAATTGCATTGCTATGGATTTCAAGGTTGAGTATTCAACTTATTACAAAATTATTTAATCAATAGAAGTCAAAGAACTGAAATTGGCAATACATTATAAAACATTAAAAACATTTCGGTGTGCCACAGGGTAGCAAATTAGGTCCATTACTATTTATTTTACATATTAACGATAGTCCTGATATTTTACAACACTGCAAAATTCAACTATTTGCTGATGATACATTAATATATATACTATTCACTCACGCGTTACCGACTGACACATTGACTGAATAAAAACATCGTGATCAGCGTTTCAAATTCTTTCGCTTTTTTGTTTCCGATGCGATGAACCGATAAGGCGGAGTATATCCGTTGTTGCCAAACACGAGCACATAATATTATTATTGAGACAGGGCGGTACTCAAACTTCTAAAGGGCTATAACTTTGTTACTTTAATTTTACCACAAAAATGTTAAAGGAAAAAACAGTTCTTTTGATCAGATCTACTCACTGTTAAAATAAATGACTCAACTTCGAAGTCACCCTGTATATATATATATTAATAAATATAATATAAATAAAGACATTGAAACTGCAATAGAACTGTTAAATAATGATATGAAAAACGTAATAAATTGGTTAAATGTAAATAAACTTAAACTAAACACAAACAAAACAAAATATATGCTAATAGGAAAATCTTTTGTTCAAAATACGATAAATCTTACAATTAGTCATGAAAAAATTGTGTCAATCGAATCATTTAAATATTTGGGCATATACGTAGATAGTAAATTAAAAGTTGAAGGGCTCTATGAATATATTATTTGAAAAATATCCAAGAAAATAAATTACTTTTATAGAATTGCGCATAGCCTAAGCATTTATTCTAAAAAAATTGTGTACAATTATCAACCTTCCTCATTTGTTATATTGTTCGACTACTTTGTTCACAGCAAATGAAACTGTATTTTCAAAATTACAAATATGACAAAATAAAGCTATGAGAATCATCTTAAATAAAAATAAATATACTAGAATAAATTTTATGCTGAAAGAACTACAATGGTTAAATATCAAAAATTTCATAGCCTACTTGGTTCTCATTTTCATATTCAAGCTAAAAAATCATCTTCTACCAAATCACTTAGAAAATTTTATTGTATTGAACAATGAGTGCCACAACTATTCTACTAGGGGAAGTACATACTTTGATTTACAAAACTGCAGTAGCAATATATACGAGCAAGTCAGTATTTCAAAAGGGATTGTGCGAATTTAATAAATTAAGTAATGATATAAAGATGTGTGTCAGTTTGAAAATGTTCAAAGAGAAATTGAAAAAATATCTCATGGAAAACCAGAATTCATAGTAGTGAAATTTTGTATAAAAATATGTGGTCTTGAAGACATAATATGTGATGTACTGTGGAATAAGGATATTATGGATATTGTAGCATTAACGCTAAATAAATCTGAAACAAACAAACAAATATTAACTCACTTGTACTGGCGGATATGCTCATCTCGTTTTCAAACTTCGGATCAACCAACAGAAGCGGAGCATTCCTTATTCTGACACCTGACGCGCCGTGACCAAGGAATGTTTTTAATACTTTCGAAAATTCTTCTACAACATTACTATTTCTGAAATTCAAATGCGGCTTTCCTGTCGGAGCGTAGTAGAACTGTTTCTTCTTTTGAGAGTACACCCAAGATGATTTGTTGGATATATTTATCTGGAACACAAAATACCGAGATTATCCCCATAATTCGGAAGTTACCCTTGAAAATTACCTAAAAAAAAAATGAAGTTACTTACCCAGTTGTTCGGAGCTTCTGGTTTACCATCAGCCCCAAAAGTCTTCGGAGGTCTCCAGATATAGTAATCTTCATATGGCCCATTCACATCTTCGCTTTTCCCAAACCATACATGAGAACCAGCTGGATCCAAGTCAATTATAGCATTTGTTCCCTTTTCTTTCACCTGTTTGAGCAGCTTGACAACTTGATGGTCTTGGTCGATCGATGTGTATGCATCTTCTGTCAAAGGAATAATCAAGCCCTTTATGTTGCCGTCAATCTGATTCAGTTGTGCTGGGGTTGTATCCGGTGGTAATTCTGCTAACGGACCTTCCTGCCACCTTCAAAATATTCAAAATAGCTTACTTTTGGAAATACTCGTTTTATTCGACGAATTAATATTTTAATTATCCATAGTTTTTTTTATGTAATATTTTTGTGTGTAAATACAGGGTGACAGGTAAATAGGTGTAAAACATTTTAGGAGGTGATAGTACAGCTCCTTTGCTATCAAAATTAGTATATAATACATACCCTATATTCAAAGGTTAAAAAGTTATGGAAGATTTAATTTTTTTAAAAAAACAACCCAGATTACAGAGTAAAATAGTTGAGATAAAAAAAAGTTGGTGATTAAACATTCTTTTTTTGGTGGTTTCAGGTTATTATTTAAATAAATAATTCTCATAAATTAAAAAACATATGAAAACACTACTGAAAACGTATTTATATCAACCTTTAACGCGGTAGGACGTAATTTTACTTTTTTGATCAGTTTTAATAATGACGAGTTACCGTAACGAAGAATACGCTGATATTCTGTTTTGTTATGGTTTAAGTGATGGAAATTCCGTTGAAGCCAGGCGAGAATACGAAAACCGTTTTCCGAATCGGCGAATACCGAGTCATCGAGTATTTGCTTCTGTGTACCAACGCGTCAAGGAAAGTGGACAGGTTCATGAGAGACGTCATGATGCTGGTAGACCTCGGTTGTTTGACGACGAAGATCGAGAGGCAATTCTGGAATGCTACGGCAGAGACCCGACGACGTCTACACGAGTTATAGCAAAGCAGCTTGGTTTAACTCAGTGGAAAGTTTGGTTCGTTTTGCATTCGGCGAGACTTTACCCTTTCCATTACACACCGGTTCAAGTATTAGAAGAAGGAGATCCCCGCAAGAAGAATTGATTTTTGTCGATACATGCTTCATCGGGATCAAGAAGAAAACGACTATTTAACTAAAATATTGTGGACCGACGAGTCTAAGTTTGACAGAGAGGGGACAACAAATTATCACAACTTACATTATTGGGCCCCACGAGAGGCAAATCCCCACATGGCAAAGCCAAGAGCCCATGAAAGAAGATTTTCGGCAAACGTGTGAATGGGAATCATTCATACGTATCTAATTGGACCAGTTTTTTTGCCTGACAACCTGAATGGCGAATCCTATGAAAACTTTTTGAGATCCGAACTCTGGGACTATCTCGAAGACCTGCCTCTGAATATCAGGATGCAGATGATCTACCAACACGATGGCTGTCCCGCGCATTTCCGTCTGGGTGTTAGACAGTGGCTGGACGAGAAATATCCTTGTCGCTGGATTGGTCGAGGTGGACCGACACCGTAGCCAGCGAGGAGCCCAGATTTAACACTGTGTGACTATTATTTATGGGGGCACATGAAGTCACTGGTGTACGCTGAGCCTATAGACACTCTTGCACAGTTGAAAGAACGAATTATTGCTGCTGCTGACACTATCAGAGGACAACTAACTGGCCGCATCACGCGTACCAACATGAGAAAAAGACTACGGGCTTGCATAAGAAACGGCGGGTGTCAGTTCGAACAACAATTGCAATGAATTTTATTTTCATTTCATTATTGTATTTTACTTACCAATTGTAGTAACTTTTAGTCAGTTCTTATTATTCTGTAGTACAATTACAACTGTGTAAATAATCTAATCGTGTAACTTAACCGTAGTTTAAAATTATAACTATCCCATAGCTTACAGTTACATTATTTTCACAAAAACACTTTCTTATCAATCAGAGAGTTGAGAAACTAGGAGATAAGCCATTGGTAAATTTACTCCCTATTGTTGTATTACAATACATTATGTTCAGTTTCACACAATTTTTGTGCACTTATACCAATTTAGATTCTTTATGAAACAAGGATATTATTTAAATTGTTTGTACGTTTTTTGTATACTGATTTTTTTGTAAAACACCTTGCTTACTGTAAAACGTTATTTGTTTTTCTTAGTTAAACATTTCTGAATGAAAATAAATACGTTGTTTGGTATTGTTTTCGAATCTTTTTTAATTTATAATAGTTAATTATTGAAATAATAACCAAAAACCACGAAAAACAAATGTTTAATTGCCCACTTTTTTCTCTCTCGACTTTTTTACTCTGAAATATGGATTGTTTTTAAAAAAATCTTAAATCTTCAATAACTTTTCAACCTTTGAATATAGGGTATGGTATTATATACTAATTTCGATAGCAAAGGGGCTGTAATATCAATATCACCTCCTAAAATGTTTTACACCTATTTACCTGTCACCCTGTATATGAAAATGTGCCGTTTAAGTGTATATTTTCTTCTCATGTTGTCGTTGTCTATTTTTACTATTGTAAACCTTATAAATTATTATTATTTAAAAATGCTAAATTCTGACTTGGCAAAAATAAATTGGTTAAATGTAGATAAACTAAAATTGAATACTTCTAAAACAAACTGTATGCTAATAACAATACCTACATGAAAATACTATCACAGTTAGGATAAATGCAGAAATAATTGAAAATGTTGAATCAATTAAATATTTAGGTATATATATTAATAGTAACTAAAGTTTGAGGATCACTATGAACACATTATTTTAAAAATTGCCAAAAAAAAAACATATTACTTTTACAGGGCTTCTCATAGTCTTGGTACCTATTCCAACAAAATAGTTTATAATACAATTATTCTACTGCATTTACTATATTGTTCAACTATCTTGTTCACTGCCAATGAAGCTGTATTCTCAAAATTACAAGTCTTGCAAAATAAAGCTATGAGAATAATATTGAATAAAAATAAGTACACCAAAATAAAATCTATGTTACAAGAATTGCAGTGGTTGAATATAAAAAATTTCATATCATACTTGGTTCCTATTTTTATATTTAAAATAAAAAATCATCTTTTGCCAGAACATTTAGAACACTACATAGAATTGAATAATCATTACCACAATTATTATACAAGAGGAAATATAGATTTACATTTACCAAATTGCAATAGTAATATAACTAGGAAATTTAATAATTTAATAACTAAATAATGATATAAAGTCTACTTGTAATTTAAACGTATTTAAAAGAAAATTAAAGGAATATTTCATGGACAATGAAAATTCTTAGAGATGCAAATTTTGTTTTTTTTTCTGTATGTTATGTAATTGTTGTAGTTGTTTAAGAGAATGTCATTGTAGCAATCATGCTAAATAAATCTTAAACAAACAAACAATAAGTGTGTGATAGCATTATGTTTATAACAGTATGTACGCTGTAATGCTACTCACCAAGTCCTAGGTGGAGGCGGATGGCACTTCTCCGCTGCGTAAATAATCATGACAGCACCAACCAGCATAGCAGCCCACAATGTCCAAAATCCGATGAAGAGGAACCATCGTAAACGCACCCAAAATGGATCGTTCGCATATTTGAGAAGCTCCTCCTTATCCATGCCCACAAACAGCTTTTCGGGCTCACCTGTAATAAAAAATAGTTTAAATCAATTGCACTGTTCAACGTTTTCTTATATTTATCTGATTTTATTCATCTTCGACATTTTCTGTTAGATTGATGCAAATTAATGATTACTGTTAGTTCAGTTAGAATGATGGCTTTAGGGCCGTATCGTCAGTCGTTCCTACAACATTGTAGGATGCCTTTATGGCCGCCTTGATTTTCATAGTCTTTTCTCTCTTTCAGAAAGGATGGGGCATTTCTAGATGTCTACTGTTCCGTGTCAGCGTCAGCGTTATCCTATTGCGAGGCTGTTTTATTTTTGAAATGTGGGAAATTTCAGGCTGATATAACAGTATGAATCAAAAGCATAAACAATTTGATGCGAATAGATATTTGTAACCTCAAAACAGAGCGGTGAGACAGAACAGTAAAAACCTAGAAATACCTGAAAGAGAGAGAAGACTGAAAATCAAGAGCCGCTTTCCAGTACTTTGAGATTTGTATGCACCCGGAGCGTGGCTCCTCAAATCCAACAATTTAACCTGCAAAACATGTGGTTCCAGCAAGATGGAGCATCATGTCACACATCTATGGAAACAATGAATCTTTTTCGAACAATATTTCCAGGACGTTTAATTTCTCGAGTTGGTGATGTCAACTGGCCACCATATTACGGAAGCGATTGAAAATATTCCTCCCGCAACCCACCAAAGTGATAGAAAATGAGGGCTCAGGTTTGCGCGGCTCCTAGAGGCGGACATTTGTCTGATATTACTTTTCATACATAGATTAAGATGAAAATAATGGACCTTTTTTATTTAATTTCACAAATATTCAAGATACAAACCAGTCAGTTACATATCGGCCACCCTGTATAACATATGCATAACAATATTGTTTTCACTTTAATTTAGGTGACACACGCTGGTAACAAAAAAATACATATTTGGATTTATATCAACAAATATTACAGAAATGTTCAATATTTGTTTTGAAAATACCGATCAAAGTTGAAAAATATAGACATACTTATTTCCATATTGTTCAATGACACCATCACACAGTTTGTCATCCCAACACGAACAACACTAAAGACACTTCAGAACCAAAGTGGGCTTGTCGAAATTTTGTTTGTTTGCTCAAATCGTGAAGCAATTTAAATGCCTTCCAATGGCTAATATTGTTATCAGTATCATTAAAAACAAATCTGGAATGTATACATTGCATGGGCACTTTGAGGATACTGATCCAATGATATTATATACAAATATTTTATAATAGATCAGTTTGTAAATAGATGCGACTATAAATATAAACAAACTCGCATTTGCATTTCGGTTCTATACAGGGTGACTTTGAAGTTGAGTCATTAATTTTCAGATAATGATTGTAGAAGGAAGATAAACCAAAATATGTGTGTAAAAATAAAAAAAAAATTTAAAAAATGTTTACCTTGTTTTATAAAGTATCCTCCCGACAAGTATTTCAGTGCGGACCTGTATTTGATCGTGAGGTCCCCTGTGAGGTCTTAAGTCACCTGATTCACGAGCCCGTTGTACTACATTAACAAAGGCACGAGGGGTTGGTTGCACTCGATTGGGAAACCGATCCGCATAAACATGTGCCATTTTTTATTTCGTTTGAGCCACGCAACAGACACTATTCACACGCGACTGACACTGACTGTATGTATAACTGAACTGAATAAAATAATTGTAAAAACATCGTTCCAAATTCTTTCGCTTTTTTGTTTCCGATGCGATGAACCGATAAGGCGGATTATATCCGTTGTTGCTAAACACGAGCACATGATATTATTGAGACAGGGCGGTACTCAAACTTCCAAAGGGCTATAACTTTGTTACTTTAATTTTACCAGAAAAATGGTAAAGGAAAAAAACATTTCTTTTGATCAGATCTACTCACTGTTAAAATAAATGACTCAACTTCGAAGTCACCCTGTATATATTGTATGGCAATAATGTTATTTTATTAGGACTATTTCTCTCGTCTTAATTTCTACCAATCACAAACGCGCAATTTTGAATTACAAATGGTTTCTAGGTGGAAAAATTGTATGACAGCACCTGTCAGCAGTTTTTTAGAGTTTACCCGTGGCAAAACTTGACAGCTGTTGTCACCAAAAATTACGATACTTTTGATAACAAGTAACTATGGCCTCCTAGGACACCAGAAAACGACGCTAAACAATTTTTCTGATTTTATTGTCAATAAATTTTGTAATATTGTAAGCTATGTGTATGCAGAAGGATCTGTTACTCATGAAATAGCCTTGTTAAATACCATTCGGGGCATCTAATTTTTTCCTGTGAAAAAAATCGTGAAAACACAAAGCAAAGTAATATTTTTTCTAACAAAAAACATTCGTGCCGGTGCAAAAATCCTCATCTTCGACTCGGATTTTTGTTGCCACCAGTAACGTGTTTTTCGCTTTTTTTCGGAATTAAATGCCCTTATGATATTACTTATGACAATAGTTTTATACGCGATTGATTCTTTGATACAGTGTAAATAGGCGCTTGCAAAGAAATTGTTAACTCCATCCCTAAAAGGGTTAAGTGGGAATTCACACTATTAAGGTTTCGTAGAGAATTTCGAATATTTCAAAAGACATGTCTGAAGATCAATGCTTCAAAATGTTCCACCATGCTATTTGGCCCAAGTTAGTACAACGGTTAGATGGCACAATTGTTCCTAGTCTTAATGAAACCCATATTCCTATAGTAGACCATGCGAAGTATTTAGGGATCACCATGGATTCAGATTTGAGGTTTAAACAACATGTTACGCATTTATCTCGCTTAACATACATGCGTTTGAAGTTATTATACACCAATCGCCATATTCTGAATTTCAAGACTCGCAAAAAACTGGCTGAGACTCTGGTTCTATCGTTAATAAATTATTCAATTGCTGTTTACTTTCCTTGTCTTGATTACGTGACTAGATATCGAGTACAAAAAATTCAAAATAGCTGCTGTAGGTTCGTTTGTGGTCTGCGAAAGTTTAGCCATGTGTCTAAGAAGATCAATGAGCTTAGATGGTTGAGGGTTGACCAGCTTTTCGCATATAACTTACTAATTTTAGTACAACGAATAAAAATCAATAGGCTACCTACTTATCTACTAAAAAGGCTGGTACCACGTGGGGATCTCAATTACAGGAATCTGAGACATAACTCTGACTTCCATATACCTAGTTATAGGAGCAACATTTTCCATCGTAGCTTCACCTACAACGCTGTCAAGGTGTATAATAGTCTTAATGATAATTACAAAAAGATGGGAATACTTGCATTCAAGAGCCTTCTGGGGTCTGCTAGCCAAGCTGGCAGATATTTTTATTTTTTTTGTCTTTATTGTTTTTTTTTTGTTTATTATTAAGATTAATCTATTTAAGCTTAATTATTGTATATATTATTTAGTCGATTGCTATTCATTATGTTTCTCGTTTTGTATGTGTTCCTGCGCTGTGAGGATAAGTGGTAGAGTAGCCAGCTGGCTAAACTTCGCCTCGCAGTGTGGAGGGATTAATAAAGACATTATTATTATTATTATTATTATTAAAATAATTGTTATTAAGCTATGAACATGGAATTTGGCAGAGAGGTAGTTTATGGGCAGGACGTATCAGCTGAGAACTAATTTCACGACAAGACTTTTAGGGGGCTATGGGCTGATATACAGGGAAAATCAAATTTGTCTAAGCCGGATGGATGAACATAGAACTTGTAAAAGTATGCTCTAAATTACAGCACTCCTAGTCGGTGTTGCATTTTCTATGTCGTTTAGTATATGTTGATCAAATCAACATATCCTGAATTATTGTTACATTTTAATACCGCTCTGCAAATACTGTTACGCAATAAAAATTGTCACTGTCTGCGCGTTCGCAGGTGAAAATCATTTCGAACCAGGACGACGCTCATTGCGGTAGATGGGTACTGACCAAAATCGCTCATGTATACTAAGTGACATATAAATCCGAACACCCAGTTTAAATGGTTTTATTTTAATAAAAGTTGGTGAATGTATTTATCTTACTGTAAATAACAAGTGAAAAAATTGTCAGCCTTATCAGTTGGACATTCCGGTTTTTATACTGTTTTTTTTTTAATTCACTAACGCTCTAAAAATGAATATTTCAGCCGCAGTAAAGAATCAACGTTGGCGGATTTTGGTTCTTGACATCCTTTACGATTGGTTACGATGCCTAGAGTACGGAGACCTGTACGATTTCGTCAACTTAGTGAGTTTGATAGGGGCCGTATAGTGGGACTTCGGAAAGCTGGACTTTCTTTTCGGGCAATTGCAGTTAGAGTGCAAAGAAGTGTAGACACTGTGGTTAGGTGTTGTCAGGCATGGCTTCGTGAAGGCCGTACGCAAAGAGCAAGGGGCACTGGACGCCGCCGTAGAACAACAGACCGTGAAGATCGCCGCCTAAGATTATTGGCCTTAAGGGACCGTTTCTCCACTACCAGGTCCATTGCAAATGAATGGTTTGCAGAACACGGAAGACCTATTGGCATGCGAAGTGTTTACCGACGAATGAGAAGTTTTGGCTTGATTTCATACCGGCCACACTGGGTCCTCCCTTTAACTCGAGAACACCGAAGTAATCGCCTTGAGTGGTGCAGACAACGGTTACTCTGGGATCAGGAATGGAACAGTATTGTCTTTAGTGACGAGTCTCGATTTTGTTTAGGCATGCACGATGGTCGTGCCAGGGTTAGAAGGCGACGTGGTGAAAGGAGGAATCCACAGTTTTTTGTTGAAAGACATGTTCATCACACTGTTGGAGTTATGGTTTGGGGTGCTATAGCTTATGGTTCCAGGTCACCTTTAATCTTCATCAGAGGTAACATGAACGCGCAGCGTTATATCAACGAAGTTCTAGAACCCCATCTTTTACCCTATCTTGACACCCTGGCAGATCCAACTTTCCAACAAGATAATGCCCGACCACATGCTGCAAGAGTCACAATAGACTTCTTTCAACATAATGATGTCACATTGTTACCATGGCCACCAAGATCTCCCGACTTATCCCCAATTGAGCACGTGTGGGATATGATGGGTAGGAGATTGCTCAATTTGCAACGTCCTCCTCAGACTCTAGAAGCACTTCGAGAGGAGTTGCTGGTTGCCTGGAATGAGATACCACAGGAGGACATTGACCACCTGATCAGAAGCATGCCTAGGCGCGTTGGAGAATGCGTAGCACATCAGGGTGCATCCACACATTATTAAACGTCAAAGGGCTTTAAAGCAGTGCAATCATTTTGAAATTTTTATCATTTACTTATTATGCTTCATTAAGTACTTATACAAAATTTTATTAAAATAAAACCATTTAAACTGGGTGTTCGGATTTATATGTCACTTAGTATATGATCATGTAGGTGGAAACCTTGCCTTCGAATGTACGAGATGCGGTGTTGCCAAGCGAACAAATGATGCAATGTTGCAGAATTTGTGGCGATCCTGGCCTTTCATTTCGACCTAAAATGTAGCGACGTTGGGGTCGATCTGGAATCGATCCTAATCAGATTCGACACAATTCACAAATGTCTACGCTCAAATTAAAACAATTGTTTGCGTGTAGAGAATAAACTAACGCATCTTAATTCAAGGAATTGGTGTAACATATTGGCAATGCGGCAGACTGCCGCGTCAGCGTTGCTATTCAGCCGGCGTCTATCTCCTTCTAACATATGTCTCTATTCACACTTCTCTCTCGTAGACATTGAACTCCAACCATCAGATAAATTTGTGAATACATAATTATACAGTATGATTCGTAGTTCAAATAGATTCTTTGATTTGTAATTTGTCGGATTATCAAGTACTCTTATTCAAGATATTCCGTAGGTACTGTACAGGATCTTAGGTACAACTCTATAATTCGATAATACGACATCGCCGAGCAAAACGTTTGTCGGATTATCGCGGGTCAACTGTACTGTACTCAACAAACTTTCACACATTATTATTACTTACCAATATTAAGCTTCGCGTCGCCATTCTTTTGCTTCTCACCCTCCTTCAGTTTTCCATCATCATTGGAAACCACCTCAACTTTTTTAATGTCCTCCGGCAACATTTTCTCGTCGGCCCCGTCCGTTTCGCCAGACGACTTGATTTTCAACAGCGCCGTTTTCGGCGTGCTCGCAGCTTCCTCTGCAATTCCAAAAAGAAGAAGAGTAATCTCGTAACTGCCCGAACGAGTATATTTTTAATACAGTCCTATTAGGTGGCGCGGATATGTCACCCGGCTTCAAAATCCAGAACCTTTGTCAAGCTGAGGAAGGGCTGAGTTTATGCTGCATCCCTTTTTCCAATAGTTGAAGAATAACTTTGTTTTTCTACTTCAGAATCGCAAAAAAAATTCGATTATGAGATTGTTTTTTTGGATGTTATACGGGGATGTCTTTTAAGTTTTGCATATAGAAACATAGTAGGCCGCGCGGATCGCACGTCACTACTGCATCTTAACCTCACTCTTTAGTAAACTTAAATTCAAAGTTTCACAACAATACGTGAATTTTTATGTGTCACCAAGTCATTAGAAAAATGGAACTCAACCGAGAAAATTTTCGCGCCACAATTTATTACAATTTTCAGAGACAATTATCGCAACAAGAATGCCTTGCTGAGTTACTGTCTGTTTTCGGCAACGAAGCGCCACATCAGTCGACAATTTCCCGTTGGTATGGAGAATTCAAACGTGGACGGGTGAGTCTAAGGCCCGTATCGTCAGTCGACCCTACAATTGTAGGGCGCGTATATGGCCTCCTTGATTGTCATACTTCTTTCTCTCCTTCAAAAATTTCTAGATTACACTTGTCCCGTGTCAGCGTCAGCGCTCTCCTATTGTGAAGATACGTTTTCTTTTTAAATTGTAGGAAATTTCAGGCTGATAATACATGATATAACTCAAAAGCAAGCACAATTTGATGCAAATAGATGTTTGTGACATAACCTCAAAATAGAGCGCTGACACAGAGAAATAGAAAACTATGACAATCAAGGAGGCCATAAAGGCGCCCTACAATTGTAGGGATGACTGACCATAGGGTGGGTGCACCTGAAACCCAGGAAAACGTCGATGCTGTGCGCAAACTCATCATTAACTTTCATCGTGTGTTAGTCGTAGATTTTGAAAAGTGATTCTGATGCAGAAAAAATAAAATCCTTGGAACATAGTGTACAACTTTTCATGCGATTCCTGCTCATTTTCAGACATTGTAGGGGATGAAGATTGTAGGTTGGAGGTTGTAATTACATTAGTTTTTACATAAAAAGACATAAGACATAAAAAGGTGGACTTTTCTTACACTACAGAAAACAATAACCTTAAATATAGAAATGACATATAAGATGTTGGTACACTTTTTGATAAACAATTAAGTTTCAACACACATATAAACACTATTGTACTTAAGTCCTTGGTTTTGTGTTATGTAATTGTAGGGAGCTGTGTATAGAAATTTATAAAAAAATATAGATGTTACTTGAGGTCTCTTTGTTGGAAAATGGATAAATGATCTAGTCTTTCTATTATATGAATAATTGTCTAGTCCTCGAAAGAGTGTCAAATAAATGTATTAGGTTCTGTCTTTATAAGCTTCATATAAGAATTCCTATGAAGACCAAGATGCACTGAATATATAACATGAAGCCTACATCAAAGGCATATTCACAATTACTTACTGTTCGTGTCTAAACGTTTGAATGTGGATTGCTGTGTAATGAGCACCTTAACAAAATTTCACTCAAGGTTCACCCACTGAATTTGAGAGTGAACCAATTATTTACTTGCCTCATTATAGACTCACCTGTTGAGAAGACAATGAGTCTCTTCTATGAATATTGAAATATTGGGCACACATTTGAGTAGATTTAACACCATTAGAGAATTAGTTTGATTTTGTTATAAAGGAATCAGTAGATTTCATTTGTAGAAACAAAGGAAACCAACTATGGACAGCTGTTTCATTCTGGTAATAAATGGCACGCTCTTTTCAATTTTATATTTTGTTTTAACTCACAATTTCAACCTAATATGACTGCACTGACAAAATACTCAGATACTTTTTTTCCTAAATTCATATAATTTCACCACTGGTCAAACAGGTATAAAGAAATGCCACACATACATACCTTCCATGTCTCGCTCCGCAATCGGCTTGTAGGTCTCGTCCATCTCGAATTATAGCCAGTGTCAGTTGAAAATTGGTGGTTTCCTGTCGCCTAAATTGGAGAAGAATCCAGTCTAGAAATAAAAATAATAGTGTGCAATTAGAATGGAGGATATTTGACCTCGATCAAGGCCTTCAGCCAGCGCTTCACATATCGATTTCAACCGATACACGATGGAGAAGGGAAATTAGCTGGATGATGCAACCTTCTAACTTTTGTGGTTGTAATATTGTAGTTTTTAGCACTAGTCCTTGTGAATGCTAATAGAAAACAGTGATTTTTGCAATAAAAACGGTGTAATGCAAGCAAAATTAATTGTAAAAATACAATAAACTGTAGATGTTCAATAAAAATCTCGTTTTGCAAACGTGAGCACAATATAATAAATAGCGAATGCGATATTTTAAGCACATTGTTTTAGCACCTGATGAAAGTAGTCCTATGAAAACAGGTTGTTTAATTCATGGGATAGTGATAATACTGATATTATTCAGATCATAATTGAAATTATAAAAAAAATCCATACACCATACCCCTTGGCACAATTTTATGAATGTCAAATTGACAGATAGGCATTAGGCAGTTCACAAAATTTTGTGAAGATCAGTGCTGCCGGACCTACCAATTTTTCGCTATTTCTACCGAAATGAGACATTTGCGGAAATAACGAAAACGTCCTCATTTTCCACGATTTCTTAAATAATTCCGATATTTCTAGAATGTGTAAAATAAAGCTAAAACATTGAATTATTTGTAGCATATATAGTCTTATGACCTATACCAGTCATACATAACACTTGCGTAGTCGGGCATACGAGGGACATAGATTTGGATTGCCTACAATTTGTGCGTACAACAGGTACAAACTGGTATTGGTATCCCTTATTTCACGAGTACCATCACAGTACAATGACAGCTGGTTATCTGGTAATATTTCAAAATTCCCCATATCGGCAAAGGATACATTATTCTGACGGATCCGTCAATGCCAGGTGGACGGAGCCATATTTTATTTTGGTTTTTTATACGCTACAGATTCATTTTGTACTTGCTAAGAGCTCTTTTATTTAGAAAAGCTCAGTTGTATACAGAAAACAAAACGCTACAAACAAATTTTTGCTAGATTTACACCCGATTCATTATAGCCAACGTTGCAGGCTAACACAAAAAATGTCACTTGCTGATCAGCTGTTCACCTCAGTAGACGTCAAAGCGTGATGGATACTCGTGAAATAGGGTATAGAAATATATCGAATAGGACAATGATGAAAAGCAAGTGCAAGTTTTTAAGATACAAACAGTTGATGATCTACGAATTGCAATTGTATTAAGCATTTTTAGTTACGACAAAAAGATTAGAAACAATGTGAGATACCTTGCTAGGTATTTTAATATAAGTATAGATCAACGTCATTACCGCATGATCGAACAAGCAATCTTATAAGCATGAATGGGAAAGGGAAAGGTTCAATGATGGTTGTAAAGGAGTTTCAACAGCGACTCGTATGCTTATTGTACAAATTGTAATAAAGAATGTAAAATTTTTTACTCAAAAAATTTTATTCCTCCTCCTCCTTCCGATTTTGTCCTTGAATCTACCGAATTTAAACAGCACCGTCTACCGATTTCCTCATTTTCGGTTCGGCAACACTGGTGAGGATAAAGTGACATGTGGGTCTAGACAAGTGTATAATCAAATTCAAGCGGATAACCAAATGGAAATGGTATTTACCATTTTGGGTTGGTATTTACCAATCCGTTCAAGCGAGTGTAGTTATCAGTTTGGTTATAAGATCCGTGACGTCACGAATCAGCTGTTATATGTCATAGTTATCACCGCAAAATTGTGGTATTTACCCAACTCAAAGTAGTTTTATATTTCTGATTATTGTTTGAAATGTGACAAGTTAGAATTTTGCCGGGTATTGGATATTGTTATTGTACTTCAGCTTCATTTTTGAGAAAAATGATACAGGCTGACTTCAGTTTTACCATAAAGTGGAACACCTTATTAATTATACTCATTACGGTTGTTGGGGACACTTTAAATGTAGTTCCTATGCTTAACAAAGTATCCTGTGTAGCCATATACAACAAGACTATTAAAATATGGCCATATGAACTCATTAGATGATATCCACCTGTATACGGTTTTGGCTAATTTCTTTTTTCATCATTTCTGCTGAATCAATAAATGTTTTCTTTGACATGCGGAAAAATTTAGAGAATTGAAAGTTATCGTAGCTACAAAGCCATGGTTCCATCATTAAAAAAAAATATGAAAAAAACATTTCTCTCATGAATATTATGAAAGGTTTCTTATTTAAACTTTCCACATACAGTTGTAGACGAAAAAGCACCGATTATTAAGAGATAATGAAAATAATCAGAGATTATATACGCGCTTTTCTAAAATAAACAACTTGCAACAAAACCGCAGTTAAAACCAACGCGTTCAAGCGATTCGTGTAACTGACGTCATCAACCCGTGTATCATCTTGAACCATATTATAACCGCGACACGTAACACAGAAATTTTGGTTATTCGCTTGGATTTGATTTATATGTTGTGTGTAGATAACAAACCATTTTAACTTTAACTTTGTCACGTGGTTTATGAACTACGCCTTGTTTTCGTCAAAGTATGTCATTCTTTTGATCTATTTTTATTAAGTGACATATTTTTGCATCTATCAAACTACTGAGACTGAGGCATTCACAAAGACAAAAAATCCCTAAAAAATTAACCAAACTGATTCCATGGTGGTGGTAATTTTTTGTATTGTTTGATTTTGATGGCAAATTTTTGTTGAAAAACAATTTTTTCAGTGATATTTGAAGGCTAATCCATCAAAATTTTTGTGTAGTGTTTGTCAATAAAGCGCAACCTGCAATGTCGGACAAAACTGAAAAGTAAGCGCCCATTTCCTACTTTATTGTGAAGGAGTGACTACGATAACATATGCACTATTTATATTAATTACGTTTGTTTATTATTGTAGAACAGATAACTGGCTAGGTTCCTGGCTAAATGCTGCAAAGAACAAGGTAAGTGACTTGAGATTTAATGAGAACATTGTTGAGGAAGTATTGTTTTCAGAGCACAGAGGTCCTAGAATTTGTAAAAAAAGATTTAGAAGAATTTGGCTCAGTAGTTAAAAATGAAGCAAATTGTGTTATATCGTCCACTGGATCTGTTCTGGAAAATACTCTCAGTGTAAGTAGGATATTGTTTAAATTGTGTCATAGTGTACAATCTTGGCAATAAAACATTCTATCAGTAAAGTCAGTAGGGTTAGTGAAGTTGCTGCTAAATTATAACTGATGTTTTTTAACAAAACTCAAATTTAAAATGTACTCACTATCGATTTTATAAACTGATCAACAGTTCCTATTTTCCAAATGAACCATATGAGTTGCTCAGTTTTTTATTACTGTTTTAGCTTGATTCTCCCACATCAACAGCAAGTACCATGAAGAGGAGTTTTAGTTCATTTCTTGGTAATAATCTACATGTTCCAATTATTATTATTATTTTATAGTTTCATTTTTTAGGTCAAATGAACAGTGTTTTAAATCCAAGCCCAGATGACTCAGATACAGAAATACTCATAGTGGAGAACTCAGAAACTGTAGAGTTAACAAAATTACAGGTAACATACCTAAATGTTGTGTTTAAACATCATCTTTTTTCTGTTAAAAGCTCCAACATTTTAACATAAAATTATAGTCAAATTACCACTGAATTGAGAAAAATTATACTGTAACAAATATTCATACATTCCTTAGATTCTTATAAGATCTAAACAAGAAAGATTTAAGCAAATAAGGTTTGAAGATTATACTGTTCTGCAACAATCTTTATATGAAATAATATCTATATTCACTGCATTTAGTTTATTTATTATTCTAGAGCTTTGACCTTCAAACTGAAGAAGCAAAGTGAATGTTGCTTAAGCATTCGAAAAACAATGTTTATTATACTAAGTGACATATAAATCCGAACACCCAGTTTAAATGGTTTTATTTTAATAAAGTTTTGTATAAGTACTTAATGAAGCATAATAAGTAAATGATAAAAATTTCAAAATGATTGCACTGCTTTAAAGGCTTTAAAGCCCTTTGACCTTTAATAATGTTTGGATGCACCCTGATGTGCTACGCATTCTCCAACGTGCCTAGGCATGCTTCTGATCAGGTGGTCAATGTCCTCCTGTGGTATCTCATTCCAGGCAACCACCAACTCCTCTCGAAGTGCTTCTAGAGTCTGAGGAGGACGTTGCAAATTGAGCAATCTCCTACCCATCATATCCCACACGTGCTCAATTGGGGATAAGTCGGGAGATCTTGGTGGCCATGGTATCAGTGTGACATCATTATGTTGAAAGAAGTCTATTGTGACTCTTGCAACATGTGGTCGGGCATTATCTTGTTGGAAAGTTGGATCTGTCAGGGTGTCAAGATAGGGTAAAAGATGGGGTTCTAGAACTTCGTGGATATAACGCTGCGCGTTCATGTTACCTCTGATGAAGATTAAAGGTGACCTGGAACCATAAGCTATAGCACCCCAAACCATAACTCCAACAGTGTGATGAACATGTCTTTCAACAAAAAACTGTGGATTCCTCCTTTCACCACGTCGCCTTCTAACCCTGGCACGACCATCGTGCATGCCTAAACAAAATCGAGACTCGTCACTAAAGACAATACTGTTCCATTCCTGATCCCAGAGTGACCGTTGTCTGCACCACTCAAGGCGATTACGTCGGTGTTCTCGAGTGAAAGGGAGGACCCAGTGCGGCCGGTATGAAAACAAGCCAAAACTTCTCATTCGTCGGTAAACACTTCGCATGCCAATAGGTCTTCCGTGTTCTGCAAACCATTCATTTGCAATGGACCTGGTAGTGGAGAAACGGTCCCTTAAGGCCAATAATCTTAGGCGGTGATCTTCACGGTCTGTTGTTCTACGGCGGCGTCCAGTGTCCCTTGCTCTTTGCGTATGGCCTTCTTGAAGCCATGCCTGACAACACCTAACCACAGTGTCTACACTTCTTTGCACTCTAACTGCAATTGCCCGAAAAGAAAGTCCAGCTTCCCGATGTCCCACTATATGGCCCCTATCAAACTCACTAAGTTGACGAAATCGTACAGGTCTTTCACTTGTTATTTACAGTAAGATAAATACATTCACCAACTTTTATTAATAATTTATAATAAAACCATTTAAACTTTGTGTTCGGATTTATATGTCACTTAGTATATTTATACATTTGTCAAGATGGTTCATACTGTATAATTTTTTTTCATTATATACATATACTTATACTTATATATACTCTCAGTTCAAGCTTCATGCACCTTTATCATGTTGTAAGTAGTACTAATGAGTACTAGTTTCTCCTAACAAATAAGACGTGATTCATGATGTTTTTGATAGATAGTACTTTGTCAGGATGGTTATAATTAATAGCTGTGCTATATAACTCTGTGTGAACCTGAAAGTGCATTCAGTTTACTCTCATACTCAACAATAGAATTCAATATTCAATTCAAGATATTAAAAATAAATATTGGTGTAGACATTTTGAAGTGCATTTATTTATAACTTAGGATCAATACATGTTTGTTCATTCAAACAATGCGGGAAAGAGATAAAACAAGCATATACAAATACATAGCATTATTTCATGTTTGTGTACTTATATTGTAAAAATTATTGTGGAAACTGATGGATTTGGCAACCAAAAAACAACCACACTATAGAACAAAAAGTACTTAGCGCAACACCAAATCAATATTTCATTGATGTTTCTGAACCAAAACTTTCTATTTTGATTAGTAGTTTAATTGATATACAGTAATGGACAAAAGTATATAGACAAATATGAATATTTACCTAAATATCTTTAGAAAACGAATTCATACTTCATTGCTCCATAAACAAATGCGTTATTAGTAGAAAAACTAAATTCCTTGTTTTTACATTATCTGCAATGAACACAAGTCTGAATATAAGCACTTTTTTATGAGGGACAAAAATATGTAGACAAATTCTTTTCAACATTAGTTTAGTACAGTTTCGTGTCAGAAGAGGGATTAGTTTGTGTTCATCAAGTATTGTGGAATAAGTTGAGTGATTTTAAGACCATGCCACGTGGTCCAGAAATTTCTGTCGATGTAAAAACTGAGTCATTGAGTTATACAAAGATGGTCAACATCAAGTCGACATTGCCAAAAATTTGAAGCTGACGCGTAAAGCAGTTTGGGCAATATTGAACAAATATAAACAAGAAGGTATCTTGAAAGCCTCTAACAGAAGAGATGTTAGATCAGTTAGATTAATAAAAGTAATTTCGTCCAAAGATCCGTTTAGAACCCCAAGACAAATAAAAGCCGAAAATCGAGATAAAAGGAATTGCCAGTGTTTCTACGAAAACTATAAGTAGAAGATTAAATGATTTGAAGTTATTTGCACGTCACCCGAGTAAGAAGCTGCTAATCCCGAGGAAAAACCGTAAGGACCGATTACAATTTCCAGGGTTGCATCTTGATTGCAGCATTTGCGACTGGAAGAGGGTATGCTTCAGTGACGAATCCAAGTTCAATATGTTTGGATCAGATGGTCTTCATTACGTTAGACGTCCTAGTGGACAAAGATTGAACCCCAAGTACACTTTGCCCACTGTCAAACATGTTGGCGGGTCTGTTATGGTTTGGGGGTGCTTTTCGGGGTTTGGGATGGGACCTTTACATAGAATTGATGGCATTATGGATATGTTTGTATACACAGACATACTAAAGCAGGTCATGTTACCCTATATGGAAGACAATATGAACTTAGGATCAATCTTCCAGCAAGATAATGACCCGAAGCACACTTCAAATCTCGCAAAGAAATTCTTTCTGTATGAAAAAATACCAGTTTCAAATGACCTTCACAGTCTCCCGATATAAACCCCATTGAAAATCTATGGGAATACTTAGAGAAGCAAATACGAGATAGAAATTATTCAAACAAGGATGAACTTTTTGCCGCTTTAGAGAAAAAGTGGAGACAGATTGATGAATCATATCAAGAAACTTATACAATCTATGCTGTATTATGCCATAATGAATTATGTATACATGTTGATGTATTAATAAAAGAAGTTAAAAAAGAAATACAGCACAATATTAATTTGTCTATATACTTTGGTCCATTACTGTATGTTAAATGTATAATTAATAGGTACTGTAAATGCCTCTTTAAATTTCCAATGGCTGTTGGTATTGATTTATACACTGTCTATTTTTTAGAAAGCCATATATGATCTACAAAAAAATGCAGATACATTCTTGAAAGACCCAGATGAGTCATTAAGCAAGCAGTTCAGATGTTGGTTAGAAATTGTAGATGACCAGTTGTCAGATGACAGGATAGCCAAATATGTGAATAGCTCAGAGATATTGAAAAGACAGTATGCCAAGTTAGTCCCTGAAGTTGTTGAGCATCATCTTTTCTGGAAGAGGTACTTTTGTACTATCTATTTTACAATATATTTTTATACTTTCATCGGTGAAATCCTCCTGTATTGTACACAAAACATCTAAGACACTAGTGTCTGCTTAAATCAAGTTGCTGAAATAAGTAATATTGTATAAGAGACATAAAAGTTATAATAGCTCACAAATTCAATTACATCTGGTTTACTACTTCCAGGTATCTGTTTAAAAAGGCACTATTGGAAGATGAGTTTGCTCGACAGGAAGCCTTAGAGAAACGTGAACAGAAAGAAAAGTTGATGTCAGAAGATGATTTGAAATGGGAGCAAGGTGAAATATACGTTTTTTTTGCTTTTATTGAAATAGAAAAGGATTTATTTAGCTTTAAGCTACTTCAAAAAGTAATACGCATTATTTACAAAAACTATGTGAAATTTACAAAGTGGTCATTACATCAAACCAAAATAGTCTCTTTAAAAATTTTAGCTATACTACATGTTTTTACATTAATGTGCAGATTGTTGAACATTTTTAGTCCTTTAACAGACACTGACTTTTCTAAACCTTTAAATTTAAATCTTTGTATATGGAAATTTTCTTTAGATCTAATATTGTAATCTTGCATTTTACATCTTTATTTTAGAAACTGATTATTGATAATTTTATATAAAAGAATTAAATTTGCCCCTTGAATAGTTTGGTGTACGTTTAAATAATTCAATGCCTTCAGCATATCCTGTATAGGATTATACCTGCTATAATTCAAAATCCGCATACGTTTATTTAATAAAATTTATAACATTGCTTTTGCTCATTTGTGCATGTAATCAAAACTGATGCACAATAAGTAAAATGAGGAAAAATTATTGTATTGTAGACTACCCTTCTGCACCAGTGACTTAGATTGCCTCAAATTTTAGGAAAATACCCGATCTTTTCGCCTAATTTCCGGCACAGTTGCTGATCTATTCAAGTACCTACATATTTGATATTATCTACAAAATCAAGTACCTCGCCCTCAATTTTCACTGCCATATTTAAATTATTTTTGCAACTAGAACTTTCTGAACGAATAAATGAGCTCCTGAATGTTGTTCACACAAGCACGTCCGAGTTCCTCTTCAGAACTAGGCGGTTACACTTTACGCGTTTTCTAACATTTTGGAAGCGACAAAAATCGCAAGGACCCAAATCAGGCGCATAAGGAGGCTAAGGAGCCACAGGAATGTTTTTACTGGTCAAAAACACGTTTGTTGACATTGTTCTTGGATGAATGGAGATGTTAGTCAAATTTAACTCTTCCCTGATCATTCTGACTGTCAAGATGCCGGATTCTGTCGATATTTTGATCGGTTCTTGAAGATGAAGGCCTTCCGCTTCGTGTTTCTCCTTCAAACCACTCTCTTCCTTCTGAAATGCCTTTAACCGCCGAAACACCTGGGCTTTTGACAAGGCATTGTCTCCATAGGCCTGCTGAAGCTTAGCAAGGGTTTCTGTTGCACTGTGCCGAAGTCTGAAACAAAACCTGATAGCACACCATTGCTCGAAATGAAACACAATAGGAAAAACTTTCACAAAACACACGCTACGGACATTCAAATGACTCGAGCGTTTTCAAACTTGTACTGAAGGTGGATCACATGTTCCCCTGTCTCCAAATACTACATTGCCAGTCTCATCACTTAATTTACAGACCTCGTAATTGATAATGTACCCATATCCGAAAAAAAAAAATAAAAATTACTGGTCTACTTTGATAATTTTTGTCTCTAATATCCCACAATGGTCTCTTTTCATACACGAGCGTTATTTGTTTATTTGTTATAATCCTCTCGATTATTGCACCACCAATCAAGGTAATTTTCTTTATTAATGAGAAATTCCATCAGAATTTTCGATTTGGCACCTATAGCTTGATAATTTTTTATAGAAGACTTTGCAGCTGACATAGAACTATCAGAAGAGCAACAGATAAAACTTCTCGAGGAGTATGAAAAGGAAAAGAAAAATGAAAGTAGTCCAAAGAATAGAAAGTTGATTGGAGAAAATGTGGTTTTTAAACAAGACTCGCGAAAAAAAGAAACCTGTTCAAGCAGAAGGCAGAGTGAAGAAAAATTGCAGAAAAATAATTCCACGGCTAGTGTGGGCACGCCTAGTAGCAACAGTAGTACTGACGGGGACTGGGAGAAGATTAGCGATAGTGAAAAAGAATTAAAATAACTAATAACCATATGATTAGTTTCAAATGCAGAGCTGTAGTTGTTTTAAGAATTTCCATTGCTGTACACCATTAACGTCTTACTCTTCAGGCTGAGCCAGAGTGTGACAGAAAACAACCACTACTCTGATACTAAACGTGGAATTGTTAACATGGACTCGAGAACTGTTTTACTTGAAGGTATACCCTATATGTTTTTTCCTCCAAAGTTGCAATGTGAAAGCAGCGGATTTAATAGAATATAGACGATTATTGACACTTAAAATGTACAGGGTGTTCCGTTTAGAAAGTACAACTTTATTTGATATGACATTTCTGATACAAAAAAATTCTAGAAGGATATATAAAAAAGTTAAGTTATAGTCTGACACCCTGTGTAAGTTGAAAAATTGTACAGGACAAGCATCATCAGTGTTGCCAGGTCTAGTCGATCTTTTCAGTAGACAAAAGCCTACCGTAGATTAAAAATTGAAGAGAGGGGGGGGACACCTTGCTAGTGCTCCACTTGAAAATGGCAAAATCAAGTGCTGGATTTTTATGATTCGTTGAAATATATCGAAAATATATTATTCAAGAGTTTGAAAGATTTTTCGGTAGATTTCGCATCGAAATCGGTAGTTGGGTAGAAAAAGATTAAAATCGGCAGATCTACCGAAAAATAGGTAGACCTGGTAATACTGAGCAGCATCACCATATTAATAAAATTTACGGTCTTTGTTGATTTTCTTAGACAAAGAAATCACGATATCAATAATACAATACAATACCGGTGGCAAAATCTAGCTAATTCTACTTAAAAACTGGAGGGCAGTGCCCAAATAAGTACACAATTAAACTAGAATTAAACCAAAGAATCGATGAAGTAAACAGGCAAAAAAATATATGGTGAATGAAGTTTTCCAAATAGAGTTGAGCAACGCAGGCATTCGTAAAGAAACATACATGTAGTTATTATGCTTTTAACTTTTTACTACCATATATACAACAACAGGAGCAGTAAATTTTATCTAGAGACCTAACCACTTTTGATATCCAACTATAACTACCTATAACAAAAAAACCAATTCAAAAGGCACTATCATCGATTAAGAGCTATACCATTTCTAGCAATATGGCAAATTAACTCGATATTATATACTATAAGATAAAGTCCAGTTTGTTACATAAGACGTCAATGGTGTACGCATGATGCCGGTGGTCAGCTCATTAGTTTGGACGGATTTTTTTATAATCTTATTCAAAAATAGTCCCTTTTGACGAATCTGCATGCTGCCTGTCCCAAAGCGCTGAAAATGTTTTTCAAACAAATTCCAAAAATTGATTTTTAAAGCGCTTTTATTCTGAATAAGAGAGGTGATGTAAAAGCGATACGATATTTTAAAAAGCGCGAAATATGCCATTTTAGACCCCAAAAAACTATTTGAAAAAAAGCAAAAATTTTAATTTTGGCAAAAATATCAAAACGTTTCAGAACGTATTCTTATTTTAATTTTTTTTTAAATTATTAATCAAGCTCGCGTTCAATGGTTGTTCGTCGCGGCTGGCGACCACTCCTACATGTTGCATCCACGCAGTGTATTTACTGATTAACAATTAAAAGCAAAGACAATACCTCCAGAAATGCTTGTGTGCTTTGTTAATAGATGTTTCGAGAATATTTAGGAGCATTAACAACATTAACATTATTGTTGATTCATATTGTTTTTCAGAGTCGAAAATGGCAAATTTCTCACTCTTTCAAATATTTTATTGCTTGTATTGAAGTTCATTACAATTCTGAAACAGTGGGATTGGTTATCGCAGCTACACTCATGTCTAAATAACAGCAATTCTATTGAAGATAATCAGTAGTTGATTCTGGATATTTCTAAATAATTTCTTAAAATTTTCCAGTATTGGACGAATTTTGATCGATCATACTCGATTGTCGATGTTTTGTATTGCATACATTTCTAAATAAATCTCTATAGGTTTTTATCTTTTTGCTATTCTTTGTTGAAAGATATAGGCCAACCAGTCCGGTATTGCTGACCCTATTTATACGAAGAGATAAATAAAGTTCTCAAATTGGGAACGAATATAAAATAAAATTACAGCTCTGTGAAAATATGTAGCATTTTACATAATAATATTGTATGATTAGGCTCCATTTTCTCCCGTAACAGTTGCGGAATCATTTGTAATAATTGTTACAATGACGTAATCTTTTTATTTATTTTTGTTTTGAAAGTTTTATTATTGCTATACATTATTTTTTGAAATTTTTGTACCTAGTCTATTGTGTATAAATACCGTATTTTATAAACTGTTTAACGAAAATAAAAACATTCAAGTGTACATTTCAGATGAAGTTATAACCCTATACCACCCTTAAAGAAATAACTTTTCAGAGATTCAAGCATCTTGGGATTGATTTTATCGGGATCAGTTGTGCCTTTGGCACTAATTGGATCAATAAGAAAACTTGGAAATAATGGATCTAATGATTTTTTTTAAGTGTCAAACTATAAAATAATTATGCGATTTATGTAACATGGCCTCCTAATTTTTATTTTTGGAAAGGTTTTCAAGTAAGTAGCTAAACGTACAGTGTGTCCTCACGTTTAGCAGTGCAGTGTTGCGATGTGAATCGCTCAGTTATCAATAAAAAATAGGCAAAACACATGAACAATTCTACTTAATTCGTGACCTTTCAAGGTGAATGATACGAAAAATTGTCTTCGTCAAACAACATCCATGGCAGGCTATGACCTGATATTGGACATAGACAGCATGCTCGCATTTTGCGCGGTTTTTTTCTAAACAGTTGTGACCGGTAGCAGGGGTATAATGCAAAAAACGTCTAAAATAAACCTACAAAATGTCGTCTTGCCGACTAGGTAGTTTTTAGTGTGCAAATAGTTCGTTCCACGTTTGCTGCGGTGAGCGTCATCAAGGAATGACTCAACGACACGCTTAAGCATGCATTGTTGGTTGCAGAAAGCCAAGCAGTGTTTATCTCTGAGAAGATGTGAAAGAAAGTTGGTTGAGTAGCAAGATCGCATCCGGATGATTATGCGTATTGGTCAGCTTATGTATAAAATCAGTGACATTTGCTATGTGAGAAAATTATTACTGAATATGCTGCCAACGAAGTATATCTATTAGCTGTATCCGACGGGTTATTTATATACTAAGTGACATATAAATCCGAACACCCAGTTTAAATGGTTTTATTTTAATAAAAGTTGGTGCATGTATTTATCTTACTGTAAATAACAAGTGAAAAAATTTTCAGCCTTATCAGTTGGACATTCCGGTTTTTATACTGCTTTTTTTTTTAATTCACTAACGCTCTAAAAATGAATATTTCAGCCGCAGTAAAGAATCAACGTTGGCGGATTTTGGTTCTTGACATCCTTTACGATCGGTTACGATGCCTAGAGTACGGAGACCTGTACGATTTCGTCAACTTAGTGAGTTTGATAGGGGCCGTATAGTGGGACATCGGGAAGCTGGACTTTCTTTTCGGGCAATTGCAGTTAGAGTGCAAAGAAGTGTAGACACTGTGGTTAGGTGTTGTCAGGCATGGCTTCGAGAAGGCCGTACGCAAAGAGCAAGGGGCACTGGACGCCGCCGTAGAACAACAGACCGCGAAGATCGCCGCCTAAGATTATTGGCCTTAAGGGACCGTTTCTCCACTACCAGGTCCATTGCAAATGAATGGTTTGCAGAACACAGAAGACCTATTGGCATGCGAAGTGTTTACCGACGAATGAGAAGTTTTGGCTTGTTTTCATACCGGCCACACTGGGTCCTCCCTTTAAGTCGAGAACACCGACGTAATCGCCTTGAGTGGTGCAGACAACGGTCACTCTGGGATCTATAGCTTATGGTTCCAGGTCACCTTTAATCTTCATCAGAGGTAACATGAACGCGCAGCGTTATATCCACGAAGTTCTAGAACCGCATCTTTTACCCTATCTTGACACCCTGGCAGATCCAACTTTCCAACAAGATAATGCCCGACCACATGTTGCAAGAGTCACAATAGACTTCTTTCAACATAATGATGTCACATTGTTACCATGGCCACCAAGATCTCCCGACTTATCCCCAATTGAGCACGTGTGGGATATGATGGGTAGGAGATTGCTCAATTTGCAACGTTCTCCTCAGACTCTAGAAGCACTTCGAGAGGAGTTGGTGGTTGCCTGGAATGAGATACCACAGGAGGACATTGACCACCTGATCAGAAGCATGCCTAGGCGCGTTGGAGAATGCGTAGCACATCAGGGTGCATCCACACATTATTAAAGGTCAAAGGGCTTTGAAGCAGTGCAATCATTTTGAAATTTTTATCATTTATTTATTATGCTTCATTAAGTACTTATACAAAATTTTATTAAAATAAAACCATTTAAACTGGGTGTTCGGATTTATATGTCACTTAGTATATATTGTCCTTGCTGTAATGTAATAACTTTTTACGTTTCATAAATATTCCTGCCTGTAGCATATTTTCTCACCTGTTACTTGTAATATGCTTCACCAACTAGGGATCTTTTTTTCTAATCTCTCTCATTTTTTAAATTTAGCAAATATGCATATGTAATTTCCAGAATGAATAAGAAAAAGTTGATGCGCAACTAATTTCTAGCTTTGAATACATCTCAAGTAATTGTATTTGAGACAAGAAACCAATGGAATTATCATCAATTCAGATTATTAGCACACACATCCTCACTATGCACTGCCGTTTCTTTCCAGCTATATTATAAAACTTACAGCTTAGACCTCCAATAATGTCATCTCTGAAGCAGATGTTACACCATATCAGAGCCAAACATTGATGGCTGAAGCATCATGACGTTTAGGCAACACGTACAGCTACAAAACGAGTTCACAACAAGTATACAACAGTTAGTGCTAAGTTGACATCCCATAGAAAAACCTACGTTATGTCACAAAACACCTATAAAACGTCAGAAAACCGATAAAATGTCACTTTTCAAGATACGAATTACCCGTGCCGATCAGATTCTTGGAGCATATTGCGCTTTCCCGCTAGAATATCATGTCAATAAAATGAGAACGTAAAATCACTATTTAAAACGTGAGAAGTTTTAGATTCTCAATTAAAGTAGATAGGATTCAAACTTGAAGTTTTAGTTGGATCTATTCAATATCCATTAAAAAAAAGTTTGGCTCTACGCTTTGCCTTGGGTAGTTTACCCTCCTGATGCCTTCTTTTTTCTAGTCTTCTTATAATGGACTCATCCTACAAAAACTCTAGTGCTGGCAACCAGTAATACAATAAGATGCATGAAGCGTTGCAGTGAGATTCTTTGCCAATGTGTCAATAAATTGTCTAAAATTACTATTGTCAAAGAAGTGTTTATTTGTATCAAAAGTATCAATTTATCATCAATTTTAACCATTACTTTCAATTCGCAATGCTGTCTCCTGACCATAAGTAAGAGAAACACAGTTAAATGGATCTGGATTCAGAAAGTACAGCTACATCAATTGATGAGAATACTGAAAATTTCTGTGATAATCCAACTAGAGACACTCTGGCTGAAGGGTTGATGGGATTAATAAAACCGACAGTCGATTTACTGGATGAAAAAGTGAGAGCTACAAGGTAGGTTCTTATAAAAATAATGGATATTCATGTGTGCATGAATGTGTCAAAATAAGGTCATAATAGGCCCAGATCTCATAACCTTGATAAACTCTTCGTTCAAATTAAGTTCAGGATATCCTGGTTTGCACATAGAAACTTTGAAAGTAGTGGGTCATTAACTTTCCTGGCCAGACCAGGGAGGATCACGATTGACCCACTAACAAAAAATCAGCCCTATCTACAATCCTTCTTAGACAATTTCAGTTACCACCATATAAAATTCTAATATGACAAAAAAATTTAATGATTGTTCTTCTTGTTTTAGAGTGTCACAGTTAGAACTCAAGCAGTGCATAGAAAGCCTTAGCGAGGAACTGAAACAGATCCAAGCACTTCAAAATAATACTGTAGACCTTGATGCATATGTGAAGAAACTGATCAATGCTAAGCAAAGAGTTACTGTGCTCACAAATGTGCTTCAAAATTCTCAAGACAGATTGAATAAGATTCATATGGCAATAGATAAGGAAGTAGTCAAGAGAAAGGTTATATTAAATGATATAATTCAAGACCCAAGTCCTAGCACATCTAGCAGCTGAAATTGAAGATGACCCTTAAAACACCCCTCTATGATTTAAAAAAGTTTTCAAATGTTTATGAGCCCAGTGAAGACACATTTCTATTCATTGATGCCATAGAGAAGGATTTTTCATTTTTAAAACAATTAAAACCAGCAATTGCTGTTGAGATAGGCTCAGGAAGTGGCGTAGTAATTTGTAGCCTGGCACAAATTTTCAGTAACTCTTGCACTTATTTTGCTACTGATGTGAATAACCAAGCATGTTTGGCAACATATAACACTGGCTGTTGCAATAGTGTGAGCATTAACTGTTCTAACATGGATTTGCTGTCTGGCTTCAACGATTACCTGTTTGATTTGATTCTCTTCAATCCACCATATGTTGTAACTGATATCGATGAAATTTCTGGTCAAGGATTGAATAGAGCTTGGGCTGGAGGTGTCTGTGGACGTGTCATCATCGATAAGTTGTTGACAGATGTACAAAAATATCTAAGTCCTAAAGGTGTGCTTTATCTAGTTTTGTTGAAAGAAAATAAACCAGAACAGATTATAGATGTAATGGCAAGAAAAGGATTTTGTAGCGATTTGGTGCTTGAAAGAAGAATTCCTGGGGAGCATTTGTTTATATACAAGTTTTATAGGAAATAGCATTGTTATAGTACAATAAAAATGCTCATTAATATTGAAACACTGTACATTTATTAGTTAATTTTTTTTATCACAATTTATCCTGTATTTTTCCTTTCCTTGCTAACAATTAATTTTTATAGTTTTCTGAGTAAATAAAAAACATGTTGAATATATTGCTGTAACAATACGAGGGATGTCTTTTAAGTTTTGCATATAGAAACATAGTAGGCCGTGCGGATCGAACGTCAGTACTGAATCTTAACCTCACTCTTTAGTAAACTTAAATTCAAAGTTTCACAACAATACGTGCAATGTTCTCACTACAGTGAATTTTTAAGTGTCAACAAGTCATTAGAAAAATGGAACTCAACCGAGAACATTTTCGCGCTATAATTTATTACAACTTTCAGAGACAATTATCGCAACAAGAACGCCTTGCTGAGTTACTGTCTGTTTTCGGCAACGACGCGCCACATCAGTCGACAATTTCGCGTTGGTATGGAGAATTCAAACGTGGACGGGTGTCTTAGCGACGATTCCAGGGTGGGTGCACCAAAAACGGCAGTCACCCAGGAAAACGTCAATGCTGTGCGCAAACTCATCATTTAAGATAGACATGTGACATATCGCGAGATTGAGGCGTGCTTGAAGATCTCAAAGACCTCAATTCAAAAAATTTTACATGAAGAATTAGGAGTAAGAAAATTAGTTTCTCGTTGGATACCCCACCTGTTGACTGAAGAGCAGAAAGCAGCCAGGGTTAATTTGGTGTCAAAAAACGCTTGATCGTTTCAATTCCGGAAACTCAAAAAATGTGTACAGCATTGTTAGTGGTGATGAATCGTGGATTTACTGTTATGAACCAGAAAATAAACGACAGTCGGTTGTTTGGGTGTTCCAAGGTGAAGAAAACAACAAAACTCATCCGTTCTCGAGGTGTTTCGAAAAAGATGGTCGCGACATTTGTGTCAAAAGCGTGTCATATTGCAACAATTCCTCTTAAATGAGCAAAGAACTGTTACTGCGGATTGGAATACCACCATTTGTTTGCCAAAAGTCATCATCGAGCTTCGAAAAATCAACCCCGAAAGAAGAATCATCCTCCACCAAGACAATGAAAGCTCGCACACAGCCCAAAAAACAAGGCAGTATTTAACGGAAGAAAACGTGGAATTATTGGACCATCCTCCATATAGTCCCGATCTAAGTCCTAACGATTTCTTTACTTTCCCGAAAATTAAAAACAGACTGCGTGGTCAAAGGTTCCAGTTGACGCATTCAAAAAAGCCGTTTTGGATCTGTCAGCAAACGAGTGGAATAAGTGCTTCGAAAATTGGTTCGAGCGCATGCAGATGTGTATTAATCTTCGTGGAGAATGCTTCGAAAAACAATAAAGTCATTTAAAACTACATACCGTGTTGTTTTATTTCCATATGCAAAACCTAAAAGACATCCCTCGTATGAATTGAGCTTTGCCAATGGCAGTTTTTTGACATTTTCAAAGTACAAAGTTATAAAAATATGAAGTGAGAATTAAAACGTTAGTAAATTAATATAAAATGAGAAGAGAATAAAAAGAAAGGTGAGGAGTGCGGATAAATAAATTATATTGTTAGAAATAGTTTATCATGGTCGAAAAATAATTTTTGTTTGTGTTCATTTATGTACACGACACGGCGATGATCTTTGATTCCATCACTTAACACTGTCACACAACACAAACCGCGTGCATAGATGGGCACTTACTCTCCTCACATATAGAGTGGTGTGCCTGGAAAGTTTCCATGTATTATTATTATTATGAAGGAAAAAAAGTAAAATAGGCAACCTGAGCTCCGACACAGCAAGCTGCTATTCCATAACCAACTAGCCACTCCTCGCAACCTGATGTGAGCAACTAGTTTTTCTCCCTTCCTCGCGACGATGTTCACTTCGACCGGAGCCGAAGATTCAATAACGAACCTCGCCTTCCGATCGTGGTCGAGGACTATGTCAGGTTTATTCATGTTCATCCTTTTACGGGTTTGGATGGCCCCGAAGGTGTACGATACTCTTTGGACCTTGTGCCGCCGGTTGCTGCGCGTGCCACAGCTGTATCCTCTCACATTTCTCAGCGCAACAGGCAGCGGGAGAAGTGAGATGTAGAAGAGCAGGGGACTTGAAGATTCCCCTTGGAAGACTCCCTCTTCTGAATGGTACCAACTCTGTCCTAACTTTGGTTTCTCTAGATGTGATTGTGAACCTAGTACTCCAGAGCGACATCGGTTGTTTGATGCAACTCAGCCTCTTCTAACTCGCATGGGACAACAGGATTCAGCTTAATATTTCTTTTTCTTTAAGAATTTCAGCCCGTTTCTTCACTTTTGACACAAACAATATGGTGGATTATAATATGACATATGTCTTCCTACTCGTACGTTTGGCGAACGCTTTCAAGGCATATTTAAAGTGCATCTGCATCTTCCAAGTTCGCAAAATTCCACACGTAAAAATGGAAGTTAATATTTTCAGAACCGCTTCAGATATTTCACTGATTTTTAGTACGTAGTGAAAGTTAATGAAGTTGCATATTTTTCAATGCTCTAACAGTGGCGTGCGTACGGGTATTGTCTTCGATATTTTTTAAGAAAAAAATGGTACGCCAATGGTTTTCTGCCAAATAAAAATTATTTTTGAATTTCACGTTCAATTTAAAACAAATGATCTCTCTCGAATTGTTTTCCTTCGATGCGCCATTTTTGAGTAAAAAAATAAAAACCGCTTGCTTCCTCAATTTCAGGTGTTCTCACACTTAGAGGTCTACCTTCAGATGTTCCTTTTCGCACAGAACCAGTTTCAACAAGACGACGATGAATATTAGAAAAGGTTCGACTATCTGGCAAAGCACGATCGGGATATCTCTGGTGATAAATCCGTCTGGCTTGCTCACCATTACCGTCGGCAAGGCCATATACGTAATGCATTTCCGCCATTTGAATAATTCACCATTATTAACAAGATTGTGGAAACTAAATAATGAAAAATATGTAACAGCGAACAATTTTGAATAACAGACACTTGTCAGATGTCAAAAGCTAGTGACATATTCCAAAGCCCTAAATATTTATTTGCTAAATTGCATTCTTCAATTATTACATTAATTTTCTCGGACAATAGAACGGTTTTTATTTTTTACTCAAAAATGGCGCATCGAAGAAAAACAATTCAAGAGAGATCATTTGTTTTAAATTGAACGGGAAATTCAAAAATAATTTTTATTTGGAAAAAACTATTGGCGTACCATTTTTTTCTTGAAAAATATCGAAGTCAATACCCGTACACACGGCACTGTTTTAGCTGAACATTATTTTTGCATTGAAAAGTATGCAACTTTATTAACTTTCACTGCGTACTAAATATCAGTGAAATATCTGAAGCGGTTCTGAAAATATTAATTAATTTCCATTTTTTTCCTAAAACTTCAACACCCCGAGTTTTTGTAAGGAAACATTTTTGGACCATAGTTTATAAAGCAAACTAACATTCATTTTTCATGTAGATTCACACCCTTAAATATTCGCATATCATTAAGGAACACCCTGTAGATGAGTCTAAACCATCAAGGTGGTGAGGTCTAAAAAAGACATTTGACATTTTTCATGCAAATTTTGGTTGAAGCGGATTTCGCGTGTTTTCACCAAGTATAGCACGTTGAAATAAGACGTCCGACTCATTTTTGAAATGCCAATACCCTACTGTTTCAAAATATCCTAGTACAACAAGCCGCAAGTCATTTTTATTTGTTTGACTTTTGGCCGCAAAATTAGGATTTCGCCTCACTGTGCATCGCCATCATTCAAATTCAGCTGGATCTATACGGTAGAATCATTAAAAATTGAATCTCAAAAAAGACTGTAGGAAGTTGCAGTCGATGTCGTTTTCCTTACAGGGTGGTCCAACGAAAAAGTCGCACTCCTATTTGTGACTCCCCTGCCACATTTTGGGAAGAACGTGTATTAACAGCACCATGTAAGTAGAACGTACCCTCATCAGAGAAACAAATATTAACAGGTGTGCATTGTTACTTAAATGTTGGAACATTAATTCAAATTCTTTTATCCTAAGAGACATTACAAAGTATGTATAGGATTCGTCGGAATAAAAACTAACAAAATAACACAAAACAAATATATGTATAAAACAAACACACAAATAAATCATAAGATAACAAACTCAGAAACGGCATAATAGCACTTACCCACAAGAGAATCTGTCAGCTTAGCCTTAAAATTATGTATATCTCCACACTCTTTAATATGTTTTGTCTCCAGCTTGTCTGGTCGAGTACGAGTTAAAATTGTTTAAAAACCTAGTTTTGTTAATAAAAGTATACACAGCCATTTCGTATAAAACTAAAGATGGTACAGTTAAAATCTTAAGGCGCTTAAAAATATCCTTACAAGAATGCCTACTGCTGACTCCCGTCATGCATCTAACCACTCTTTTTTGGCCAAAAATACTGGTTGGGCATTTGTAGATGTAGATTTAGTGACTTGACGGAAGCATGATAAAGACCACACGTTTTGCATGTTAGACTTGATAGCCTCAATTTTTCCGTCGGATAAAAATAATCGTAGGGCATTTGCAGGAAATCTTTGAGTGAAGCACTTAAGCGTAGAGCTAAATTGACTGGAAGATTAAGAAATTGCCCTCCTTCATCCAAAACCAAGTCATCAACTGTTTGTTTTACTTTTACAGGTGGTGGAAGAAACCTATTGTCTAGTAATCTAAATAGGCCACTTCTTGGACGACAGCATTCTGTATTTCTACATTTTACAATTTGAAGCAAGTATTGGCTCTCACGCACATGTTCTGAATACCATTTAATATCTGGGAAATCAGGAAGATCTTGTTCACCTGCTCCAACCTGTTTTGAATTAACATTATAGCCATCAATTTCCATTGAACTCCATACTTCAGCCAATACATTTCCTGTAAATTCGAAATAAGATCTTTCTAAATGTTCATCAATTGTAACGCCACGTTCATAGAAATGAGACCCAAAATGGTTATGAGGCAATATTAAACCAGCCAGTTCCCAACTAAGAGGAGCCATTCTGCGCTCTACTCTGTTATACGCACTTCTTCCAGGAGCATTGGTAGCTAAACACAATGCATCGAGATCATGTCGCTTAAAGTGTTGTATAGCAAACCCTATGACTTTTTGATAACGTGGATTTTCATCTGGCCCTCCATCAACCGTCATGATTACCACTGGTTTACTAGTCTATGGTCAGTTTTAGCTAATGGTCGAAACTCTTCAAGTTCGAGAAGCGTCTCGAAATCCTGAGCATGAGTATTAGCAGTAGATGAACTATGCTTTCCACTTCGAATAGCGATGTATGTTGGTCCAGAATATCCAACGGCTTGCGGTTGTCCTAGCATATTGGAAGTGCTTGTATACCAGCGTAAACAGTTACGCCAATAGGGACTCGAGCTTTATCATCTTGAGATATGAAAAATACTTGATCTGGTCCAAGTATGGATGCTATCTTCTCTAAATAATGGATTGATATATCAGCAAACTTGCTATCTAAGTGGCTCTTGTGGTGATCAGTTTGAGCCCGAATGAGCTAAACAGGGACTGTCGATACACGTCTTCGTGCCTCTGCAGAATTAGATTTTCTGGGAATCAAACGAAGATACGTCCCACTGCGACTAATGTCAAATCCTTTTTTACGTAATTCTTGTGTGAGTTCATCAAGAGTTTTTACGCTGCGAATTGATTCCGTTCGTCTTCTATCATCTGCTGCACTCCCAAATAAAGCTATATCCGCGATTGTTTTCAATAGTGAATGTTGATTGCTTTCAAGATTAGGACGTCGCACTGAATCCCTCAGAGATAGTCATTTTTTTATTTCTGGATTTTCATGACAAATAACTTCTAACTTTCTTTTCATACTATCCCTATGTTTCTTCTGGGCAGCTGCGTTTTGAACCTTCCTGTTTAAAGACTGTTTTGCTGTTTTTATTTCCTCGCGCAACTTAATGATCTGTTTATCAACTTCAGCACGGCTTGGCATAGTATCTATGGCAGAATACAAAGCATTCAGATTTTTTTCGAGTAGAGCAATCTTATTTTTCATAGCTTCCTGAGAAGGTTTTGCTCTATGTTTATCTGTATTTTAATTAATTTCGCATTGCTGTTGTGATTTATTACCGGGTTTTATTTTATCTTCTTCCTCTTTTTTAATATTTGAAGCTGACTGTATAATTTGTGTTTTTTCTGCAGCCATAGTGCTCACGTAATACTTGAACGGCCGCTATAGCCACAAACTTATCGTTAATATTTTTGTTTGGATATAACACATTAAACAAAGAGTTTTTTTATTTTTACCATTTCTTGAACTGAATAAGTCATTGTTCAAAATTTATCACAACTAAGTAGGTGACTTGACAATTTAAAATAAAAGACAAAGTGATACGATGACACTGACCGATGCTAAATGTTCTTGCTGGTATCCATGATTATTTTTACCGTACATTCCATTGTTATTAGTATTGAGTTACTTGAATTTTATTATAAACTCAAATAGCTTCACAAAGATTGAAGATAGGTATAAACTTTATCGTACAAAAGTAAAAAAATGGGGTTTCCATTTAAAAATCTAAAGTGTAACCCATTATCATATTTTTGGATCACCCGGTTTTATTTTTCTCAAAACGTACCAGGACAGTCACAAATAAGGGATCGACCTTTTCGTTGGGCCACCCTGTATATTGCCCTTTCAAATAAAAGAGAGTTTTGTTGCTTTATTGTACTTTGATATCGATCTGTGTTAATTGCAAACTCATTTAGCATTTACTTCTTTTGCAGGAAATACCCAGTCGTACCATCTAAACTCCGATATGTTATATGCCTGATTTACTTCATTAAGGAACGATAAAAGTTTAAGACATTTGAATCCAATGATTAGTGGCGGAAATCTTGAATGACTGACCTAATACACGAATTCCGTATTCGATCATGTTTACGATATAAACATTTGTGACCAGTCGAGATATCGATTATCAGTCCACGTCATTAATTATTACAAATAATATTTATTTACGTTAGTTGCAAGTGAACACCATATATTGCCAGTGCGTTCTTTTGTAAAGTGCGTTATACTCCTACGCGTATTTTCACCCCTTCTTTTCTACCACCCGTTGCAATATAATCACCCTGTTTAAAGAGACCTTTCTGAAATAAACACATCGCACGTCTCGTATTTTCTCTGCTTTATTATCAATCTGATGTAGACCCCCGTATTTCCCATCATCCGCCGTAAATTGTGTCGCTTTGCAATTAGGCTATTTCCATCTGATACAAACACAACCCCCATACCTCGTATTTTCACTACTGCCTCCCTAACAACCCTCGTATTTTACCGTCGCGACGCAAATTCGCAACCACCCTATTTTGAGAGGCGAGGTCCTTATCTCTATTGATTGTGGCCGCCGTTAAACTCAAAGCTTGTTCGTTCATGAGTCATGTGATCCGCGATGAAGTATAAAGCAGTTATCGGACTATAATAGCATACGAGATCGTTGGAGTATTTTGTAAATCGAAAATGGGTGTGAGGTGAACGGTCTAGGTGTGAAATTCGAAAAAGGCGATGGCGTATTCGAACATTGCAGCCCATTCTAAAACTCCCACGGCTTTGGAGCAGCTGTTGGAGGAAATCAACTTTCAGAGGACCAAGGAAATGAGGCAGCTGCTGAAAGATGGTAATATTGAATGTTGTATCGTGCGTTACGTGTATGTTGTGAACATGGAAAAATTGAAAGGGTTGTTCTTTTAATTAAAGGATCCTTTGTCTTTTGACGACTTTCTCATCTATGGGTACACGATAGAAATGCTGGAAATTAATTAATCAAATCGCTAAAACTATCAATTTAGTTGGAATGAGGTCTAGCGCTTTGAACCATTCACGTTCAAATCATGAAATAGCACCAGCAGAAGTAAAATAGTATAATTTCTGAATGTAAACTTGTTCGCACCTTATCTGTGAATCAAGGATGCCGTCCAGAAATCATGAGACCAATTATAAAAAAATGCCCCTTAAAATTTTCATGTCCAGAAAACACTGCTTAAAAGGCTTTGCAGTAAGTTTAGATCGATGTTGAATAAAACAACTTGTATGTAAGGTATCAATTAAATTCTTTATTTTAAATGGCAAATGTCCACCGCAGAGTAGTTTTGTTTGTTTCTAGAAGATTTATTTAGCATTAATGCTACAATGGTGATTTTGTATAATTATTCGTTTTTTAATCAATTTTCTATAATATTTATTATTTATTTTTTCTATAATTTTACATTATATACATGAGTATTCATAATGTGATTTTTTAAATTTCACTTTGAACATTTTTAAATTCGAACACTGTTTAATACCATTATCCAATTTATTTGAAATACAGATTTGGTAGTTATGCTACTATTACAATTTGCAGATGAGAACCTATACTATCTCTTTTTTAATTTGCATATGAAAATGAGAACTAAATAACATATCAAGTTTTTTACATTCAACCACTGTAGTTCTTCTAACATAGACTTAATCATTATTTGTTTTTATTTAAAATGATTCAAAGCTTTATTTTGTAGAATTTGTAATTTTTAAATATGTTTTCATTTGCTGTAAGCAAGATATGGTTGATCAACATAAAAAATGGAAAGAATTATAGTGTTATACACATTTTTTTTTGAATACATACTAAGATTATGGGAAACTCTATAGAAGTAATTTATCTTTTTTGATATTTTTGAAATAATGCTCTTGAAACAGTAGTTTACTATTCACATATATACCTAGATATTTTAATGATTCGACTACTTCAATTTTTCAATCATTAATCATGAGCCTAACCATATTGTCATCTAAGCGTTTCTCTATTGACATACATTTTGTTTTATTAGTGTTTAGTTTATTAACATTTAACCAATTCATAATTCTGTTAATACCACTATTTAACAGTTCTAAAGCAGTGCCCAAATGTTTATATGCTATATATATATATATATATATATATATATATATATATATCAATGTATCGTCCGCAAATATTTGAATTTTGCAGTGTTCTAAAATGTCAGAGATATCATTTATATAGATAATAAATAGTAACGGCCCTAATTTGCTGCCCTGAGGCACCCCTACTCAAATGTTTTGAACGCTTGACATAATGTTTCTTAACTTATGTTTTTTGACTTCTGCTTCCTAAATAATTTTGTAAAATGAATCCATTGGCTCAAAATCCATACTAAACACTGTTTGTGAATTGTTCAAGGTCATTGAAAAGTTAGACCGCTTGGATTCGCACCACTGTGCAAGACGTGGCGAACAATTGATCTATGTCATAGTCCATAAAAATAGTCTTTCAGACTTCTCCGTTAAAGTCTTACGAACATTTCTTTTCAATATAACAAAACCCTTTATTTAGGCATAAAAGAAGGCTTACAATCCTTAAATAAATATTTCTTGCGATATTAAGCGATATTTTTAGTAAAACTTTACTGTTATACGACTCTGATAAAGGTTTGACTTAGCAATATCTACCTTTTTAATGTGAAAATCATAGAAGGGAAGTTCTTAAAAACACATAAACTACTAGAACTGAATAAATAGCTCCGCTATCACAGATTTATTTACACAGTATTTTCTCTCTTTCAGAAAGGCTGGAGTATTTCTGGATTTCTACTATTATGTTAGCGCCAGCGCTTTCCTATTGTGAGATAATATTTTCTTATGGAATCCGAAGAAATTCCAGGCTAATAAAACAGATGATAAAAATCAAGTTTTATCAGTCTGATATTTCTCAGAATTCAAAAAGAAAACACAACCTCAAAACCGAGCGCTCACACGGAACACTAGAAATCTAGAAAAAAAAAAACGACTGACGATACGGCCCTACAATAATTCTAGGATGCCTACTTGATTTTCATAGTTTTTCCTATTTTGAGGTTATGATACAAATATCCATTTCCATCAATTTGTTCATGCTTTTGATTTTTATCATCTGATTCATCTGCCTGAAATTTCCTACATTTAAAAAAGAAAACATAATTAGGAGAGCTCCGTCGCTGACACGGAACTGTAGAAATCTAGAAATACACCAGCCTTTCGGAATGAGAGAAAATACTATGAAAACCAAGGAGGCCATAAAGGCGACGTATAATTGTAGCATACGGCTCTTAGCCCTTTAATTGTTATTGTTTTGATTAGTATGCACCAAATAATTTGCCGAATATCCGATGCTTCACTCTTTGCGATTCCAAAATATCCAGAAAATGCGAAATTGCAAAGTGGAAAAAATTATATGTTTCGTATTTGGTATCCTTCTAGACTGTTTATAAATGTAAAAACGAATGTTTATTTTGGGTAAAATAAAAAAAATCATGTTTATTCTAATAGTGATCTTGAATTAATGAGTTAAAAAATAGTATTATACCTAAAAATTGTTCGCCTTAAAATGCCTCATTCCTATATATGATCTGAACAAGGCGCACCCGTGTATTTTTGTTTTAATTGGTTTACGGATCTTAAATCTTCATTTAAATTAAGACTTTTCTCCAAATAGACGCTTGCGTTCGCACTTATCACAGTAATCTGTACAAATACGTTTTGTTTTATTCTCATTACTTGAAAAAACCGATTATTTTCAGAGTCTGGCTTCGTTATGCTCCAAGGCACGACCTATTGGACAGACCTTTTCGTTCGACATTTTCTTTTCCAAAACGAGTCGACTATGGACTGCGACGATCTTTTGTTCTTCGTCAGGAAGAAACACGTTAAGGGATCTCCTAGATATCTACCCAAGTTCGAGGTAAATCTTCTAAAACCTTCTATATTTCTGAGTATGGCGGTGCTAAAATACAAATACAATACAAAACAAATACAACAATGTTTCAAGAATTACAACGAAATGATTCATAGATCATTCACTTTATTCGATTATATCGTAAATTTAATTTGTGGATCGGAGATCTAAAATTCAATACCAGTATCATTGAGTTATACGAGAAATCTATACTGAAAGTATACTTGACCATAATACGAGTATTTGAGCAGAATAAAGCATCTTGAGCGAATGTTTCCACTTATTAGTTTATTGAAGTATAGTGATTAATAATTTTTAAAATTCTCAAAATTCCAGACAGAGGTAGATGTGTTCAGAAAGGATAGCAGAAAACTTCCTATAGGAGATCCTGATATAGATTGGGAAGAGACAGTCTATCTCAACCTGATCATTCATCAGTTTGAGTATACTCTCACCCTGGCCATATGTACTCGAACAAGTCCTAAAGAATTACAGGTAAATATTAGAAATTGTTGTAGCGTATCATCAGTTTCACCGATTTGAACTTCGAGATATACTGAGACGTATACAGGGAAAACAAAATTTGTCTGACGGCTTGAGTTCAATGTGTACGAGAGAGAGACACATGTTAGAAAGAGATAGAAGCCGGCTGAAGAGCGACGGTGACGCAGAAGGTCTTGCAATCTGCCGCGTTGCCATATGTTACACCAGAAAATGTTCGCACAGGCTTCTACGATAGGTACCCAAGAAGGAGGTCTGTTCGAACATTTAATTCAGTACTTTATTTTCATTTTGATTTGAATTGTCTGCCATCATCTGACGGGTACCATCTTGCTATGAAACTGTCGGCCTTCTTCTATGCTGAGGTTTGTAATTTAATCATTTTTTTTTGCCACCGTTATTCGACCATCCTCATAACATAGCCATACCACAATAACTGCTTCGATTCTACAGGGTGACTTCGAAGTTGAGTCATTTATTTTAACAGTGAGTAGATCTGATCAAAAGAAATGTTTTTTTCCTTTACCATTTTTCTGGTAAAATTAAAGTAACAAAGTTATAGCCCTTTGGAAGTTTGAGTACCGCCCTGTCTCAATAATAGTATTATGTGCTCGTGTTTGGCAACAACGGATATAATCCGCCTTATCGGTTCATCGCATCGGAAACAAAAAAGCGAAAGAATTTGGAACGATGTTTTTACAATTATTTTATTCAGTTGTATACAGTCAGTGTCAGTCGGTAACGCGTGAGTGAATAGTGGTGTCTGTTGCGTGGCTCAAACGAAATCAAAAATGGCACATGTTTACGAAAATGCTGAACTTGTGGACATGATTCTTATTTACGCGGCATCACGGATTTATGCGGATCGGTTTCCCAATCGAGTGCAACCAACCCCTCGTGCCTTTGTTAATGTAGTACAAAGGGCTCGTGAATCAGGTGACTTAAGACCTCACAGGGGAGGGCATGCCGGTGCTCCAAGACTGCACGATCAAATACAGGTCCGCACTGAAATACTTGTCGGGAGAATACTTTATAAAACAAGGTAACATTTTTTTTTAATTTTTTTTTTATTTTTACACACATATTTTGGTTTATCTTCCTTCTACAATCATTATCTGAAAATTAATGACTCAACTTCAAAGTTGGTAGAGGGTGACCTGTGGGAAAGTTCATATTTTTTTAATTACGCGGTAACTGTATACGCGAGGAAGTGGAGAGAGGTCTTGATCGACGTGTTAGGCGTGCGGGTTAAATAGTCACAATGGAACGTTGGACCGAAGCGCAACGTGCTTTTGCTATCGAGGCTTACTTTAAGAGTGGTAATTCATACGCAGCTGCCCTTCGGAAATTTTGTACTCGATACAACATTCGTCGACCAAGAGGTGCCCCAAGTAAAAACCTATTGAAAAAGTCGATTAAGAGGTTCCGCGAAACAGGCTCTACTCTTAATCAACCCATTCCTGGCCCCACACCTACTGCAGCAAACGGAGAAAATGTGCGTCGAGTAAGTGATTCGGTCATTGCAAATCCTCGGCGTTCTGTACGGAGCATTCCGCTGCTCTGGGAATCCCTAGGTCAACACTAATAGGCATAATAAAGAAAAAAATGGGTATCCATCCTTATAAAGTCCAATCAGTTCATGCTTTAAAGGAAAATGATTACGTATTAAAGACATCTTGTGCTGAAGGGATGTTGAATCTTTTTCCTATGCAACGCAGACTCGAAAACGTTGTTTTCAGTTGCGAGGCCCATTTCCACTTAGACGGTTATGTGAACAAGCAAAATTGCAGATATTGGGCACCAACGAACGCAAAAGAGAAACATCAACAACAGCTACATAGCCCAAAGGTGACTGTTTGGTGCGTCATATCTTCGGGCCGTATTTCTTTGAACATGACAGTCAATTCCGAGCGATACAAGGACATGATTGACACTTTTTTTGCTCCTATTGTAAGAACAGAACGTCGATTTAACAGAAACACATGGTTTCAACAGGATGGGGTCACTGTCCATACTTCCAGAGAATCGATGGACACGTTGAAAGCCATTTTTCCTCACAAAGTTATATCGCAGTTTGGACACATTCACTGGCCTCCTAGGTCACCCGACCTTACGCCATGCGATTATTTTTTGTCGGGTTATCTAAAGTCAAAAGTATGGGGTTGTCCAAAACGACGCAGGAAAGTAAACGCATATTAAAACAAGAAAGATTGATATTCAAATCAAGTTGGGTACTTTATTTTGAAGGTTCATTTATACCATTTATGTATGAAAAATAATATCGCTCAAATGTTCACCACGACTGGATTTACAGACGTCCACGCGATGGTCGAAATTTTCAATGACATTTTGCAACATGGTCGGTTCTATGGCATTTATCTCGGCAATGATGTTGTTTTTGAGTTCTTGGAGGGTGGCTGGTTTGTTGACGTAGACTTTGCTTTTCAAATATCCCCATAAAAAGAAGTCCAAGGGAGTCAAATCGCACGATCTTGGTAGCCATGACACATTTCCTCTGCGCAAAATCACGCGATCACCGAAGAAGGACTGCAATTGATGGATATTGACGTTGGTTGTGTGGCATGTTGCACCGTCTTGTTGGAAATAAACATCGTCCATATCCATTCCTTCAAGTTGCGGCAAAAAATAGTCCTCTATCATCACGTGATATCGCTCAGAATTGACGGTAACGGCGTCCCCGGCCGCATTTTCGAAAAAGTAAGGTCCGATGATGCCTTTTGACCACAATGTACACCACACAGTCACTTTTTGAGGATGCATCGGCTGCTCTTGATACTCACGGGGATTTTCGTTCGCCCAGATGCGGCAGTTTTGCTTGTTTACCGTCCCATCCAAAGTGAAATGCGCTTCGTCGCTGAACATGATTCGGCGCGAAAAATGGTCGACCCGACGCAGCTCTTGCGTCAGTTGGATCTTGTAGGTGTGTAAATTCAAATCCTTGTGGAGAATGCGGAGCAAACTGGTTCTCGAAATGCCCAATTCTTGGGATCGACGCGTTGTTGATTGTTTCGCATCGTCTCTCACACTCTCCTTCACAACAGCAATATTTTCTGGTGTGAGAACGCTCCTTGGCCGGCCAGAGTCTGGCAGATTTGCCACAGAACCTGTTGCCTCGAATTTACGCACCAGACGACCGATGGTTGTTTCGTTTGGGCGGTTGTTGTGACCGAAATGTTCACGAAGCGCGCGAAACGTGTTTTTTATTTTTGCACCATTTTTGTAGTGCTCTTGAATAACTTTAATGCGGTCTTCAATCGAATACGACTCCATAGCGATCAATGGTAAACATTCAACTAACAAAATGACATGTCGGTGACAGAAAACAGAGATGGCGTCTATGTCAAATTGACGTTTACTTTCCTGCGTCCCTATTGGACAACCCTATATATTCCAATAATCTACGAACACTGGAGGAGCTTAAAGACAACATTCGACGAGAAATAAACATCACTCCGGAACTCTGTAAAAGAGTGTTTCTGAATTTGCGCGCGATTAGAAGAGCGTGTCCGAAGGGATGGCAAACATTTGGACTGAATGATATTTAAGTTTATATTTTTTCTTGAATCAAAAAGTGAACTTGATGTCGCCATCTTGGATATCCAATATGCTCTTCTCAGAAAATCCATTTCTGCCACCTCAATCTTTTTCCTATCGTGCCGTAAAACCTGCCAACATTCTGACCCGTATGCCGATGTTGTCATTTTTGTTTTCAATCGGATATCCTTAGACCATAGTAAGGAGTTTAAAATGCGAGTTCATTTTATCGAATTTTTTGCTATTTCTTATACAGGTGTTAAAACGGCACTCGCAGAAAGTATACGCCTCGCCGAGCCGACGTCGCATGGACACAAAGGGCGAGGTAGAAGAGATTACTTATCCTCACATCTGCTTCATGGTGGACAACTTCGACGAAGTATTCCATGACATCCTGGTGCGCGACGGCGAAATGGTTTGCGTTGAATTGCTGGCCGCTGACAGATCTGGCACCATGCAGGGAGTCATCTTCTTAGGTTCTATCAGATACGATGCATTGAAGAAGGTATATGATGCTAGAGTAAGTATGGGTCACGTAGACCCGATTTTACTATCGACCGACGGGATTCAAATGCGCTTTTGGCACCACTGAACCAATAAGAAGACGTCTTTGAAGTAATGTATCCAATGAATTTGGCCGATTTCTTGTTTAATGTTTCTCAAGCTAGAGAAAAATTATACTATAGTCAAAATCACGAAAACGTCGATGATAAAATCACGAGTCAGAAACATAATGATAACAAATTCATATTATGATTTTGCGAAGTTAGGTTATTTCACTGATTATTTTTATTTTCATTTTATTTCATGGTTTCAAGTAGTATTCGAAAACAACATAACCTGCTTTAACATAACCTAACTATTCATCTTTCAAATATGATGGGCTCCTAGATCTCATATTAAATCAAGAAATATTTCACATATCACCTGGTTTAGCTACAAAAACCTATTTTTCATTTGATCGGACACAAAAGTTTACGCATATTCCGTTAATTAAAAAGGATTTGTGATCTACACGAAACACGAACAAACAATTTTTATGAGAATCGTCAAAAGAACAATTATATACAGATACATAACAGAACGATAAAACAAGTTAATAAACAACATTTCCGCACTGATAAACTCGCAGACATTAGACATATACTAAGTGACATATAAATCCGAACACCCAGTTTAAATGGTTTTATTTTAATAAAATTTTGTACTTAATGAAGCATAATAAGGATAAAAACTTCAAAATGATTGCACTGCTTTAAAGCCCTTTGACCTTTAATAATGTGTGGATGCACCCTGATGTGCTACGCATTCTCCAACGCGCCTAGGCATGCTTCTGATCAGGTGGTCAATGTCCTCCTGTGGTATCTCATTCCAGGCAACCACCAACTCCTGTCGAAGTGCTTCTAGAGTCTGAGGAGGACGTTGCAAATTGAGCAATCTCCTACCCATCATATCCCACACGTGCTCAATTGGGGATAAGTCGGGAGATCTTGGTGGCCATGGTAACAATGTGACATCATTATGTTGAAAGAAGTCTATTGTGACTCTTGCAACATGTGGTCGGGCATTATGTGGTTGGAAAGTTGGATCTGCCAGGGTGTCAAGATAGGGTAAAACTTCGTGGATATAACGCTGCGCGTTCATGTTACCTCTGATGAAGATTAAAGGTGACCTGGAACCATAAGCTATAGCACCCCAAACCATAACTCCAACAGTGTGATGAACATGTCTTTCAACAAAAAACTGTGGATTCCTCCTTTCACCACGTCGCCTTCTAACCCTGGCACGGCCATCGTGCATGCCTAAACAAAATCGAGACTCGTCACTAAAGACAATACTGTTCCATTCCTGATCCCAGAGTGACCGTTGTCTGCACCACTCAAGGCGATTACGTCGGTGTTCTCGAGTTAAAGGGAGGACCCAGTGTGGCCGGTATGAAAACAAGCCAAAACTTCTCATTCGTCGGTAAACACTTCGCATGCCAATAGGTCTTCCGTGTTCTGCAAACCATTCATTTGCAATGGACCTTGTGGTGGAGGAAACGGTCCCTTAAGGCCAATAATCTTAGGCGGCGATCTTCGCGGTCTGTTGTTCTACGGCGGCGTCCAGTGACCCTTGCTCTTTGCGTACGGCCTTCTCGAAGCCATGCTTGACAACACCTAACCACAGTGTCTACACTTCTTTGCACTCTAACTGCAATTGCCCGAAAAGAAAGTCCAGCTTCTCGAAGTCCCACTATACGGCCCCTATCAAACTCACTAAGTTGACGAAATCGTACAGGTCTCCGTACTCTAGGCATCGTAACCGATCGTAAAGGATGTCAAGAACCAAAATCCGCCAACGTTGATTCTTTACTGAAATATTCATTTTTAGAGCGTTAGTGAATTAAAACAAGCAGTATAAAAACCGGAATATCCAACTGATAAGGCTGAAAATTTTTTCACTTGTTATTTACAGTAAGATAAATACATTCACCAACTTTTATTAAAATAAAACCATTTAAACTGGGTGTTCGGATTTATATGTCACTTAGTATACATGTCTGTATTAAAGTGATTTTGATTTGCTATTCCTTACATATCTTTTGGAAGGATTTTAAAGATTTTGGGAAGTATATTTAGCGATTTATTTCATACTGTAAATTTAGAAAAGTTGACGTGTATATTATTACTCCAGTGAAAATGATTACGCGATTATTCGGTCAGTTTTGGCCGGAAACGTCAATGACTTAAAAATTACATTTTTATTGACGTCAAGCCGCCCTTTAAAATGCTGTCATTTTGACGTCTTTTTTAGGACAGTCAGTACGGAACTAAATTCTGCTTAATAAAATATTTGATGAAACAAATAAAATTACAGAAAGCTTATTCTTTAAAAGTAGATAATAAATTTACTTATTTACTGTTAACAGAACGATGTCGCGCACCCTGTTGGACGGTGGGACGACTACGATGTGCCACGTTGACGGTGGCAAAGCTAGAAGTAGTTGTCCTACTGCCCGGTAGAGGGCGTAAGAGCCCTGTTTATTTATGGTGACACTTTAAGACGATGGTTTACGCTACTCCCATAGAAACAATATAAGAATTGAGGAATAAAATCGTGAATGCTTGCGAATAAATACGAAATAGACCTCAAATTTTAGCTCGAGTTCGTCGTCCAATGATTCGTCTAGTGAGAAGGTGTCCGGAAATGGATGGTGGACTTTTCAAACATTTGTTGTAATGTAATTTATGTCATTGGAAAAGTTGCAATAACACTGTTTTATAGGTTTTTTTTAATTTTTTGATTTCCAAGGCACTTGTGATTTTTTTAGCAAAAGTTAATAAATTTTGTCCAGCGACATACAATAAAACGATCTTTTTCCTCAAAAACCAAGTGAGACACGAAAAAAATACAAGAAGCAAAGAGGTTGTATTTTTAGATGCTTAATTGAACAACAAATATTAAAGTTACAAAAAAGGCAGGCGCACATTTTTTGCCAATAATATTCGCTAAAGTGTCCCCGGGACGCCACTTTTTCTCAAGTGTATAACCCTGTATCTTATTATAGAAACTTTTTTTCATATTTTTTTAACAAGGAAACACCCTCTAAAATATCTCCGTCTATTTTTCGAACACCCTCTACTTATGCTATGCTAATAATATCGATCTTGACAAGATACTCGATAATGTCCTATCTAACGGAGGCGACAAATAATCCCGAACATGACTCAATATGTAACAATAAAAAAAATAATTTATGAGCAACTGAAATTATTTCTTCTCTTACTGTGTCAGATAATACGTTCTCTGAAATGTTAAGTTCAATATTACGTGTAAACCTTATGCCATTCTTTTTTTATACATACGGTCACACCCGTGTACAAGGCTGCCTTCTGCGGGTTGTCTCTCATGTTTGTTAGTCTAAAAAACTTTCTTTATAATAATTTATTTGTATTTTAGACAATATAGATTATTATTATTGTACAACTTTTCATCTCCTATTCTTTGAACGCCTTGTATATTTTTAGCAATCATCCCTGAGCACGAAAATGGCGCAGCGCATGACTTTTGGTCTGTTCTCATCTACGGCGACTCAAAGGTGCGAGTTCGTTAGGATGAAAGGTCCACAGGGCAAAGGACATGCGGAGATGGCTGTTACGAAGCCCAAAGGGTCTGGCGTGGAAACGCCGAGCTCTGAACCAGGCTTTTGCGCTACGGATATGTGGGACTCGGATTGGGAAGATGATCAGGAGGACTTTTATTTCTACAGGTATATTATCAGTTGCTCTTGTTATTAATTTATTTTGTCTATCGCAAAAGTGAAACTAAATCATGATCTATCAAGTGTACAAACGCAGCGACAGTGACTCACCTTTATATACAGGGTGGCGCATCGAAAACGAAACAGACGCATTTACTGGCAGCTCAGTTTTTTTTAAAAACGCTCAGACCTGTCGATTTTGTTTTCGAGGGGGACCCAGGTTTGGCAAAAAATCACGTTAACACCTTCAGTCCCCTGGGCGGGGGTGACACCAACCCTAAAATCTTAAATGGAAAGGGGGGTCGAGTGATATATTATTTTAAAGGTCTTTCAATTCCCTTTATAATGATGTAAAATACATGAGCTTCAGTTCAGTAGTTTTGAAGATTTATTGATTTAAAGCTTAAAGTAGACTTTAATAGGTACGTCAGATTAGTTTGTACTACTTTCAGAAGAAATTTAACTAAAATAATTTACTTAATAAGTAAATTCTTTTCTTCACTATGCCCGATAATTGCAGATCAGTTGCAATTATACCTAGATTCAGGAAGTAGTGGAGCCTCATCTTATTCCATACCTAAACACCATCCAAAGCCCGATTTTTCAGCAAGACAATGCCAGGTCGCATGTTGCCAAAGCATCGTTAGCGTTCATGGATCAACATCGCATCAACCGTTTACTTTGGCCACCACGATCGCCTGACCTATCTCCAATTGAACATGTTTGGGACATGATAGGTCGCAGGCTCGTGAATTTGCAACACCGTCCACAAACTTTAGCAGCTCTTACTCACGAAGTTGCAACATGATACGGACCACTTTATCAGCACGATGCCCAGGCATCGTGGATCCTCAACACATTATTGAACCAGCTTCTGCAGTCAGTCGACGAATCAAGCTGAAAATTCAATCATTTTACTAGTAACGGACACTGAACATATATGCCAAAAATTACACTGGACAACAAATTTTAGTTTTTTAATTGTATCTTGTGGGAAAAGTGCACTCCTTTGTTAATTTTGGGGCGCTGAATCCAAAAATGACAATGAAATAAAAAAATTAGTTGCGGTTTAGAAAAAAAACTTTTTATTTTTAAGGATATATTAAAAAAAGTAACAAGATTCATATACTTATAAGAATCACTATATGCGCTGTCTTTTTGCTGTTCTTTTATGGATCGTTTCTGGAGCATCTCTACCAAGAGTCCAACAGTAGTCTGCAAGCATGGAAGGATTCCACTTTCCCTGGTACCTTTTTTCCATTGTTGAAATATCCTGATGAAAACGTTCGCCGTGCTCATCACTTACGGCTCCGCAATTGTCAGGAAAAAAGTCCAGGTGTGAGTGTAGGAAATGTATCTTAAGAGACATATTACAGCCCATCTTTTGATACGATGACAGCATATTTTTGACAAGGGTTTTATAGTTGTCAGCTTTTCTATTTCCCAAGAAATTAGTGACCACCAGACGGAGATCATTCCAAGCAGTTTTTTCAATACCTGTTAAAGTGTTTTCAAACTGTGTATCTTTCAAAATATTACGAATCTGTGGCCCAACAAAAATACTTTCTTTAACCTTTGCCTCACTTAGTCTTGGAAATTTCTGACGCAGGTATTGAAAAGCTGACCCATCTCTATCTAATGCCTTGACAAAGTTTTTCATTAGGCCCAACTTGATATGCAGTGGTGGTAATAAAATTTTTTTCGAATCTACTAATGGCATATGCTGTACATTTTTTTGACATGGCTCTAGGAATTGACGAACAGGCCAATTTTGTCTGGTGTATTTGCCCGACTGTCCCATTCACACAAAAAACAGCAAAACTTTGTGTAGCCTAGCTGCAGCCCAAGTAAAAGTGCAACAACTTTCAAATCGCCACAAATATGCCATTGGTGCTCATCGTATTTTATGCATGTCAATAGGTACTTCATATTGTCATATGATTCTTTCATGTGAACTGCATACCCTACAGGAAGAGATTTAAAATATTTCCAATATGCAATAACACTGCCTTTAAACTCAATGTTGAACTGTCTATAAACAATCTCCACTCTTCTGGGTTATAGTTTATATTTAAAGCCGCTAGTAAGCCGTTAATGTTACTGCAGAAAACCAAGTTATTCTCCATACTGAAAAATGGTTCTAAGTCTTTGTGGCGTTTACGAAAAACACATACCGAAACATCGTCTTCTAACAAGTTCCACTGCTGCAGTCTTGATCCAAGTAACTCTGCCTTACATTTTGGAAGTTCTAAATCTCTTACAAGATCATTTAATTCTGACTGTGTTATTTTGTGTGGTTGACATGCTCGGTATAAAATCAGGATCTCTTGACGTTGATGGCATATCTTCTTCCTGACGAATCACTCGATCGCCATGATCTGATTCGTTTTCTGATTCGCCAGTGTAGGACTCTGGGGGTTTTGGAATAGGATTTTCGTCACTGTGAGGCACAGGTCTCATCGCAGATGGTATGTTTGGGTAGTTAATAACCGATTTTTTTTTCTTGGACATACCTGTGGCTTGTCCAACACAAGGTACCATGCAAAAGTAACAATCATTAATATGATTTGTAGGCTCTCTCCAAACCATTGGGACAGCAAAGCGCATAGACCGTTTTTTGCCATTTAACCAGCTCCTCAGACTTGAAGCACATGTATTACAGCAGATGTGGGGTGCCCACTGTTTGTCTTGATCACCTAGTTTACAACCGAAATAAAGCTGATATGCCTTTGTTATTTGTGGAGTAATAGACCGTCTCTGAGACGCAAAAGTCACATCACCACACACGTAACAAAACTGATCTGGATTGTTTACACACTTTCGAGACATCTTGCATGAACGCTGTTAGCCAAATTAGCTAATATGAAACAATATAATGTACACGTATGTGTAACGTAACACAATCATGCCGATTACATCATCTTTCCTTGCCGAATATAAAAATGTAGCACGTGCATTCTTGTGAATTACAGTATATTAACACTTTCACAGCAGGAACACATATAATTACCGTATCTCTAAAACTTGAACTAATATTGAAAAAATAAGTTTCATTCCGGTTTTAGCACATTAATAATAGTAATATTTTGTTGTTTTTATTTAGGATATTTCTTGGCTGTTGATCAGTGTTATTAAAATCGAATAAACAAACGTAGGTTTGTCACTCAGTATATTTACAGATGTCAAAGAAGATTGAGCGACCCCAGTTCCAACATCAACAACTTCGTCAGAGGTGGTTGGAAAACAAAGCTGGATGTAAAAGCTAGGTCTGAAAGTGAAGGTCTGGATTCCATCGACAACGGTCTCAGTGAGATAGAAGCAGGAGATCTGAGAGACGGTGAGTTCCTTTCAAATGCTCGAGCTCAGAATAAAATATAAAACTCCTTAAAGCTGGACAGGAAATTGTATAATCGCATTCACTGATTATCAATAACGAACAGTCTCTACCTGTTGTGTTGAAATTAGTAGGTAAGGTAAACTAATTAAACTAAATATTTAAAATTTCAATAAATCAAAAAGTGCCAATAAAAAATGAGTAAATTTTCGTCATACAATGATTTTGTTACATGACCTTTATCCACCTGTGTCTTCAATTGTTACTCAATTTTTCGAGTGGTATTAAGGTTTCAGGGAGTTAAATTGTGAAAGCTCATTACAAATTGTAATAAGCTAGTGTTTTTTAAATATAGTGACTAATTAGTTACCACAATACTGGAAAAACGAGTCGAATGTCGCACCTCCGTAATATTTTTGTATTATAAATAATTGTAAGAATAGTTTAATTAGGCTAAATAATTTGTAATTTAGTATGTATCCATAAGCTTACACTTATACATAGCTTTCCCAGTTTCTACTCTATATGGCAACTTCTGGTCTTTGTAAATAATTTTACGTAGCTTTTATACTATATGTTATGTCTAACAAATGTGGAAGTGCAAATAAAACAGACATTGCACGACTAGTCTTATACACAATAAATGAGGCATATGGGTAGAACTATACACTTGAATGCTGCCTGCATATTGTGTGAATTATTATTAGTCAAGTAAAAAATACTGCTATTCAAACATTTTCAAGAATTATGCTTAACTAACGTCATATCGACCTCGGTGGAAAGAAAATTCATTTCATAGCTCGTTCATCGGTGATTCAAATTCTTAATATAAGAGTTTTAGTGCACACTGTAAAATTGCTGTGTGCGATTTGGAAGAATAATATCGAATAGTAACTAATAAAAGATGGCAATGTCGAACAGATGTGTTATATTAAAACTGAGGATGTCCGCGATCGTATTATTTTTCAAATTCATATGCGGAAAGTGAAAAAGGGTGAGGAAAGGGTAGTGATTTTTCTTTTTAAGTACGAGGCCGTTACTAACAACAAACATGTTTTAAAAGAACATTCCAACAAATCTGTTTCATCTTTTGATTATTATGTTGAGAAATCATCAGTCCACTAGAAGGAATGAAGATATGACAAGAATTGTTTCAAAATTAGAATATTATAGATAATGCGCAAAGCAGGTCGATTTATAAACTGTGAACTTGCTGTACCGCCGGCCTATATACGAGGGATGTCTTTTAAGTTTTGCGTATGGAAATAACACAACACGGTAGGTAGTTTTAAATGACTTTATTGTTTTTCGAAGTATTCTCCACGAAGACTTATACACATCTGCACGCGCTCGAACCAATTTTCGAAGCACTTATTCCACTCGTTTGCTGGCAGATCCAAAACGGCATTTTTGAATGGGTCAACTGCTTCTTCTGTTGACTGGAACCTTTGACCACACAGTCTGTATTTAATTTTCGGGAAAGTAAAGAAATCGTTAGGACTATATGGAAGATGTTCCAATAATTCCACGTTTTCTTCCGTTAAATACTGCCTTGTTTTTTGGACTGTGTGCGAGCATGCACTGTCTTGGTGGAGGATGCATTTTCTTACTCCTAATTCTTCATGTAAATTTTTTTGAATTGAGGTCTTTGAGATCTTCAAGGACGCCTCAATCTCGCGATAAGTCACATGTCTATCTTTAATGATGAGCTTACGCACAGCATCGACGTTTTCCTGGGTGACTGCCGTTTTTGGTGCACCCACCCTAGGATCGTCGCTAAGACTCACCTGTCCACGATTGAATTCTCCATACCAACGGGAAATTGTCGACTGATGTGGCGCTTCGTTGCCGAAAACAGACAGTAACTCAGCAAGGCATTCTTGTTGCGATAATTGTCTCTGAAAGTTGTAATAAATTATGGCGCGAAAATGTTCTTGGTTGAGTTCCATTTTTCTAATGATTTGGTGACACTTAAAAATTCACTGTAGTGAGAACACTGCACGTATTGTTGTGAAACTTTGAATTTAAGTTTACTAAAGAGTGAGGTTAAGATTCAGTACTGACGCGCGGCCTACTATGTTTCTATATGCAAAACTTTAAAGACATACCTCGTATATACCGTAACGCTGCCGCTAGCTATTAAAATCACTTTATAAACTTGCTAACATTACGGCGCGTGTAGCTTAACCTAACCCAAAATTACATTCTTTTCTGATCTGATAATTGATATCATTCTCAAAGGAAACCTCGCCGACTGCAAAAGCATACAAAACATAGTCTAATCATATTAGACGAAAATACCTCTGGTTTGCGAAATGATTGCAAAGTCTGGATTTATTGATGCAAGTTGTTCAACGGGGTATTTAAAACGTGGACGCATAAAATGGGTACACCAATTTTTGTGGTAGTCGATAAAAAAGAATGAGTAAACGCGTTTTTTGGTATTCAATCGAAAGTGTTGGCAGGAACAAAAAGCTCTCCAAATAAGAGTTTTAGGTATTTATTTGGTACTTGGTACTTCTTGCTAATGCGACGATAAAAATAATAGATTAAAAGCAGCTTTGTGGATTCGCACCTCCGTCCTGCGGTTCTGCAATCATTAATCCTTCCCATTTCGCTACGACGCCTCTTGGTTTACTGGATCTTTACACCACTATACTTGACAAAGACAAATGTCAAGCGAACGTTGGCGGGATATCAACTCTGTTATAAACAATTAAAATACATTTTGCCTAATTTTTCAGACGGTCAGTTCGCTACATTGGTTGGAATTTAGCTACTGTTTCTTCGTTTTCTCGAGTTTATTTTTCAACATTTTTAACTGGCAGTCGTTTTAATCGTACGAGATTTCGAAAACAGACGTATACTGTATGAATACTTTTAGAAAAAAGGTCCAGGAAATTGCATTTCTTCGTAAAGAAACCGGATTATGTGAACTACTTATTTGACAAAGTCATGAAGTCATCAATAATGCAGCCATTTAGCACATGCTACATACTTACTAGTCTAAGACAGTTTGAAACATAATAGTGTCTTCAGTTTGCGTGCTAACTTTATAAACAGTTCAGCGCATTTTAGTATGGAATATATTTGTTTTATAAATTTTAAGGATCATCTGTGACCGTGTAAAAAATTCAGCTCTGAATATGTATACACAAGAGTATAAAGAAATAATAATAATAATGCCTTTATTAGCTGCAGTGGGACGAAGTTTAGCCAGATGGCTACTCTTACACTCAAGCCCACAACAGAAAAAAAGAATACTTAAACACATAAACAAAATAATAACATACAAAAAAAATACAGTTCATAAACATGACAACATTGACTGCACGAGACAAATGCAGATAGTATTGTGAGAGTTTTAAATTTGAAACAAAAATAGTAGAAAATACTCAAAAAAAAGCACATGAACACAAGAAAAACTGAACTAAATGGACTCAAGCAGCTACACTTTTCATTAATTTCTTACAAGAAGCAACCTGTTTGGATCGATAGCAACTGTTGACTGCATTGTAATGCTTAACAGCATTATAGGTGTAACTTCTTTCAAAGACCGAGGTATTGTGAGGAGGCATGTTGAAATTAGCATTAAATCTAAGAGCTCTGGTAACAAAACTACCTCGGTGAACTAATTTGCTAGCGAGGTAAGCTGGTCTGTTAGATAGTAGAACTTTATGCGTGAAGACGGTCAAAAGATATAAAAATAACTTATCAATTCGCAACCAGTCGAGTTCTTTGATTTTATCTGAGACGCGACTAAACTTGCGCAATCCAAAAATAAACCTACAATAGCTGTTCTGAATTTTCTGGAGTTTCCTTTTGTGGACGTAGTCTAAACATGGGTAATACAGAACAAGAGAGTAAGAAATGACAGACAACACAAGACTTTCAGCGAGCTTTTTTCGGGTTTTAAAATTCAAGATGTATCGATTAGAATAGAGGAGTTTCAAACGCAAATACGTCACTCTAGAGAAGAAAGAGACATGCCGGTCGAATCTCATATTTAAATCAAGGGTAACACCGAGATTCTTAATCCACAAAAGGGATGAGTGTCTCATCCAAAAACACAAATCCTCTGCTTCATTTCACGGTAGGAGTTCTTCGAACAGTACAACATTGCAGTAGTTTTATTAGGATTGATCTTCAAGCAGTCTTTGTTACAGTAATCACTGATGTTAGCCAAATCTAAATTAACTTTAAAAGAAATTTCATCAACCTTTGATGGATCGAAACCAAACACTAACTGAGTATCATCTGCATAAGTTTGCATACAACAGTGGGCTAAACAGTCTTGCAGATCGATCGTATAAATCAGATATAGTAAGGGACCTAATACTGAACCCTGTGGAACTCCTGAAGGAACTGGCTCAGTGGAGGAAATTCCCTGATCAGTTTTCACTGTTTGTAAACGATTTAGCAAGTATGACTCAAAGAACCTTAGAACTATATCTGACATTCCATAATGAGATAACTTACTCAGTAGTATCTGGTGATTGACCATGTTAAAGGCTTTCGAGAAATCTAACAGTACCAAGACGGTGTTGATGTGATTATTTAAATTGTGAATGATGGAATTTGTAAGATGTAATAAAGACGAAGTAGTAACCTGTTTCAAGACAGACATTAATAATGTGGGTTATATAGTCTATGGTATCAGGCAAACATAAGCAAACCATATTTAAAGTTAGACCATCAGAGCCACATGCCGTAGACTTGATGTGAGAGATTATATTGACCATGTCTTGCTGAGTAAGGAGTTTAAAAGCAAACAGAGGTGCATCCGGTGTATGGCGTCTATCGCTATAAGAGTTAGAGACACTATCAATCAAATTTGGATCAGCTGCAGCTGTCTGGAAAATTGAAAGAAAATAATTATTTAAAATGTTACGCTCAAGCAGACTGGGCGGTAACGCAACATGTTTCTGGGCTACCACATTCATCCTCCTCAGGTTTTTCCAAGCTTGACTAGAGTTAAGATTCCCGCAACGTAACATATATGCTTTTTTCTCTCTTCTAAGCGAGGCAAGGGCATAATTTCTTAAATCTTTGTAGCTGGCCCAATTCTGATCAGATCTGTTATGCTGATAGACAGCAAATGCCTCGTCTCTGAGTTGAAATATCATTTTCAAGTTAGGAGTGAGCCAGGGCGCAGTAGGTTTTGTGACACGTACTGTACGAAGCGGAGCGTAGAGATCGAATACATAAATAAGACGGCCAGTAAAAATAGAGACTTTAATATCCACATCATTCACGAAATAAATATCATTAAACTGCATTGATGCAATCTGCGTCTTAAAACTTTGAATATCAATGCTATCAAGATCTCTATATGTTACAAATTTAGGCTCTATTTTATTATAACAAACAGAAATATCACAGTAAGTGAGCCGATGATCACTAATTGAGTCTGCATTGAGTGTCCCTGACCTTTTGACGATAGTATTGTCACTAACAAAAATTGGATCAAGTAATGTGGAACTGAAGGCTGTAACACGTGTAGGCTCATCAAACTTGATAACATTTTTTTTTCTTCACTACAAAAGGTAATAGATGCCGCTTTGTTTTAAAATGTGTAATGTCGTAGCGACTCTATTCAATTACTCACAAATACGACATGTTTGAATTTGTTTAGAAAAAAAAACGTAACCCTTCGTTTTTGCATAGTGATGGCCGGAAGACAGGTATTTTGGGATAAACAATTAAAAATTCTCAAAAGCTGCTTGACCAATCAACTCCAATTTTGTTGTGGTTATTTAGAAGTAAGAAACCTTCGGATTTGAAGAATTTCAAGTAGCTGTGTGAAATTATCGTTGCATTAGCAACAAGTGCCAAAATCTGCATTTTGCCTCGATTTTCGGACATAACTTATTAGTAATAGTGGGATCGTTTTACGTGTCGTCTCATTTTGTAGGTCTCGTAAATACCTAAAACTCTTATTTGAAGAGTTTTTTCGATTCTGCCAAAACTTTCGATTGAATCCCAAAAAAACGTGTTTTCTCTTACTTTGTTGTCGAATAAAAAGTTTTCACTCAAAAATTTGTGTACCCATTTTATACGTCCGTTACCCCTTGAACAACTTGCATCAATAAAACCAGACTTCACAATTATTTCGGGAAAATTTGCTAATATGATTAGACTGTATGTAATGCTAATCACAGCCAATCACGCGGAAAAACCAGATAATCTGTAAAACAACATGATATACCATGATATGCCTTTCATTGGTTGAAGTGGGAACGGCAACGAGACAATTAAAAGTTCGTCAAGTCTAGCGTCATCGTTGCGGACGAGTTCTGGAACTCCTGTTTACGTCGAGCAAAAGTTTTGCGGTACGGTAACAGTGCGGAAGCTCAGAGTTTATAAATCGACCTTAATGCTTTTTGACGTCTACTTTTGATAAATAAATATAAAAGGCTCAACATTAGTACCTTTAGATAATTGTAAGATCATAGCTCTATATCAAAATTCAGTAATGTAGTCTGAATAAATGTGCAGGCAGCTAAACCACGAAACAATGCAAATCCAGATTCAAGGTGCCGTAGTTAAATCAGCATATTAAGTAGACAATGCTAGAGTATCAGTTCGAATGCTTCATGTTTGAAACCAGCAGATTGATAGGCGTACGAGATCATCAGTGTAATGTCAAGTATTTCCGAATAATCATAGAAAGTTCCGAAATTCCATCGTTGATTTCTTTTAATAATTGTTTGGGCCAGTTGCTAAATTATAAAGCTAGTAATATGCAAATAGTAGCTACTGTATCTTGAATCTGTACATACTATGTACATGGTGTCCCAGAATGTTTTGGCCAGCTAACGTGAAGGAAGTTTCTAATCACAATACAACGTTGTATTTTGTTATTTGCTTGAAATACGTATTTGCATAACGTGAAGACGAAAGGACTGACTCGCCTACTTGTTGGTGGTAATAAACCAAATCTCTCTAGCTTTAAACCTTTCACAAAGAGCTGGAATATCATCTACGCAGTTATCTTAAAATATATCGTCTAAACTATACGTGATAGGAGTGCTTGCCCAAAGTAATTAAAATACAACATTATTGGAATTCGAAGCATGCACTACACAAATATCAGCTGACCAAAACATTCCTGGAGACCGTGTGCCAAGCGTGTAGTATCACCCGTTTCTCGTTGTTGTAGATAAGTCTGGTAATGCGCCTTCCACGAAATCGGCCTGTTGCTGTGGCTGCTTTAAGAGAAGGAACAGGGAAAGCTATCTGGAAATGTACAGCATGCAAACGACTTGCGTGGACCATAAGCAGTGCGCCCAAAGGGCTAGGTTGGGCCCGCCGGACAACGATTGCTGTCATAGCGTTGATGTGAACCCGGAAGAGTGTACGCTCAAAAACGCGGATGATGAGAATACGACAAGTAAATTGCATTCGAGAAAGTCGGTTTGGTTTTTAAAAGGCGTAGAATGTTTTAGTTATGTTACAAATAAGGGACATTTAACCTGCCTGTTAAAACATCTAGTGTGAAAGGGAAACCACGTTTTTTTCCGTGACAGGTTCGTTTGCCAAGTTACGGGCTTCGAAATAGAAGCCGTATTCGGAATTCGGATTTTTTCGAATTGAGAAGTATTATAATGAGATATGAAACATTACGTTTCATACAGGAAATTTTGTGTACTTTTTAATGAAAAAAAAAAACAAATTAGAAATTAAAAAAAAACTTTAGGTGCTAAACCGGAAGTAAACATTTTAAAGCAAAATTTGACCAAGTTTAAAAAAACGTAGAAGTTACCCAAATTATGGCTTGGAGCGTTTACTTCAGGTTTTGCACCCTATTTTTTAAAATACCAATATTTAAGAATATCGTATAAAAATAAACTATAATTTTATGTTAAAATATACAGTATAATTCCCCTTCGCGGACACCTTTCTTTCACGAACACCTCCTTTAAACGGGCAGTTTCTCATGGTCCCGACCCACTCTTTTTATTTTTATTTTATACATAAATGATTTACCTGCCATAGTTAAAAAATGCAAAATTCAAATTTTCGCCGATGACACTATGATTTATATAAGTACTAAAAATATTCAGTCTGGTATCTCTTATATAAATGAAGACTTGAAGCTTGTCTCAAAATGGTTAGCATCTAACAGACTAAAATTAAATGCGAAAAACGAAAGCTTTGATGTACAAATGTTCAACTGAATATTGATGGTGAAGATATTGAATTCGTAGAAAATTTTAAATACCTGGGAGTTTTTGTTGACTCTCGATTAATTTTTGATATTCATTATGAAAAAGTTATAAATAAGATTAGTAGTAAAGTGGGATATTTATCGAGAGTTTCTGGATGTCTGAGTTCATATAGCAGAAAAATTATCTATAATACCATCATTCTTCCAAATTTCTTGTACTGTTCGACTATTCTATATTTAGCAAATAATTACATATTTGAAAGACTGCAAATTTTACAAAATAAGTGCATGAGAATAATACTAAATAAAGATAAATATACTCCAATTAGGCAAATGCTTAGGAAATTAAAATGGCTCAATGTAAAAAATTTTATCAAATATCTTGTAATGATATTCATTTATAAAGTAAAAAATAATATATTTCCATCAAGTCTAACTAATTTAACATCATCAAATGTCGACCATCATTTACATAATACCAGAAATAAAGATGACTTCCATTTAATGACCAAAAAGTATAACATATGCTACAAATCTGTATTCCATCAAGGGTTGATTGAATATAATAAATTATACTCGGAGATAAAAGACCAGAAAACTTTGACAAAATTTAAAGTAAAATTGAGAAATCACTTGTTAAATCTACAATTATAGGTTGCCCAGCATTTACATCATACACCATATGGCTTGAATTTACTAGTTCTAAGTTGTTTACAATTGTTCTGTTTATGTAGCCAAATCTGCTAAATAAATCTTTCTACTACTACTACTACTACTACTACTACTCTCATACAGGGTTTGTCCGGAAAGTAATAGGACTGAGTCGATTTAAAAAAATTACAATTCTTTAAAAACTTTCAAAATAGGCTACTTCTGCGTCGATGCAGCGCTGCCAGCGCGATTTCCAAGCATTGAAGGCGTCACGGAAGGCATTCTCCGGAATAGCCTTGAGAGCCGCGGTGCATGCTGCTTGGATCCGCTCTGTCGTCTCAAAATGCTTGCCTTTCATCGGCCTTTTCAGGCGAAGAAACAAAAAAAGTCCGGGGGGGGGGCCACATCTGGGCTGTAGGGCGGCTGCGGAAGCGTTGGGATGCCGGCCTTGGTCAGGTAGCTGTTCACAAGAAAAGCGGTGTGACCCGGGGCGTTGTCGTGGTGCAACTTCCAGTCGGCTGCGATGTCTTGTCGGACCCGACTGACCCTTCGTTTGAGTCTCCTGAGCACTTCCACGTAAAACTTGGCGTTGGCGGTTTGTCCAGGAGGAACAAATTCATGGTGGACGATGCCTTTGATGTCAAAAAGACAATGAGCATCGTTTTCACTTTGGATTTGCTCTTGCTCATAAAAGACATTAGCTTGAATAATGTAAAAATCTTATTTTTGCTCCCTAATTGTACATCAGCTTGTCAACCACTTGAGTAAGGGATTATAAAGAGTTTTAAAACTATTACCGAATACTCAAACACCTGCTAGTAACCAAGGAAACTGCTGGTACAGCTTTTGGGTTAAGGTAAACCTTTTTCCTAAGTTTAAAATTTTTTGTTTATTTAAAAAAATATATACATAATATGCGTTTTAAATGTCCTAGTTTCTTTATAATAATATAGGGTTGTCCAATAGGGACGCAGGAAAGTAAACGTCAATTTGACATAGACGCCATCTTTGTTTTCTGTCACCGACATGTCATTTTGTTAGTTGAATGTTTACCATTGATCGCTATGGAGTCGTATTCGATTGAAGACCGCATTAAAGTCATTCAAGAGCACTACAAAAATGGTGCAACAATAAAAAACACGTTTCGCGCGCTTCGTGAACATTTCGGTCGCAACAACCGCCCAAACGAAACAACCATCGGTCGTCTGGTGCGTAAATTCTATTCAACAGGTTCTGTGGCAAATCTGCCAGTCTCTGGCCGGCCAAGGAGCGTTCGCACACCGGAAAATATTGCTGTTGTGAAGGAGAGTGTGAGAGACGATCCGAAACAATCAACAACGCGTCGATCCCAAGAATTGGGCATTTCGAGAACCAGTTTGCTCCGCATTCTCCACAAGGATTTGAATGTACACGCCTACAAGATCCAATTGACGCAAGAGCTGCGTCGAGCCGACCATTTTTCGCGCCGAACGTTCTCAGATTGGCTCCTTGAACACCGCCAAATTGATGCCAATTTTTCATCAAAAATCATGTTCAGCGACGAAGCGCATTTCACTTTGAATGGGACGGTAAACAAGCAAAACTGCCGCATCTGGGCGAACGAAAATCCCCGAGAGTATCAAGAGCAGCCGATGCATCCTCAAAAAGTGACTGTGTGGTGTGCATTGTGGTCAAAAGGCATCATCGGACCTTACTTTTTCGAAAATGCGGCCGGGGACGCCGTTACCGTCAATTCTGAGCGATATCACGTGATGATAGAGGACTCTTTTTTGCCGCAACTTGAAGGAATGGATATGGACGATGTTTATTTCCAACAAGACGGTGCAACATGCCACACAACCAACGTCAATATCCATCGATTGCAGTCCTTCTTCGGTGATCGCGTGATTTCGCGCAGAGGAAATGTGCCATGGCCACCAAGATCGTGCGATTTGACTCCCTTGGACTTCTTTTTATGGGGATATTTGAAAAGCAAAGTCTACGTCAACAAACCAGCCACCCTCCAAGAATTCAAAAACAACATCATTGCCGAGATAAATGCCATAGAACCGACCATGTTGCAAAATGTCATTGAAAATTTCGACCATTGCGTGGACGTCTCTAAATCCAGTCGTGGTGAACATTTGAGCGATATTATTTTTCATACATAAATGGTATAAATGAACCTTCAAAATAAAGTACCCAACTTGATTTGAATATCAATCTTTCCTGTTTTAATATGCGTTTACTTTCCTGCGTCTGTTTTGGACAACTCCATATATCCAGTTTTCATTAAAAACACGATTTGTGTTGTATTTCTTTTACAAGCACTCCGCACACCCCTCTTGAACGGACACTTTCAGTCGGTCCTGTTGGTGTCCATCCAAAGGAGATTCCACTCTATTTAACCCGTAACTGGTGAGGTCCATTTTTTGTCCCGTATATGGTGAGGCGGGGTCATAGTGACCCCGCAATTTTTTTTGCAAAAGTCAATATTGTTTTTATATTAAAAAAAATCTGCCTTGATAACTGAAAAACCTTTATTTTCTGATAACGCTAACGCAGAAAACATTTGTTTATTAACTTGAATAACACAAAAAACACTTAAATCAAGAAACGGCCTCAAAAATCAGGTATTTTATTAATAACGTAATAGTTACCCTGTAATTATAAAATGAGCTAACATAAATATTTTTTTGTCTTAAAAACTAAACATATAGGTTCAATGTACCCTACAAACAACAAAATATAAACATAAACAAAATTTAACATAAAAATTGCAAGTCATTCTTACAAGCAATCTTTACAAATGTGTGTTTCACATACATGGCAAATAGGTGCTTTGCAACTAGCGCAAACAATCTTGGTTTTCCGATCTAATGATCTTGGACATTTAGAGCACCTTACCCTTTTTGTTAAAACGTCATTTGACGGTTCAGGCACGTCTTTCTGTAAAATAGAGGCTATATTATATCTCAATTGCCTTGGAATTTGAAAAGTAGTTACTCTTCTTTCCATATGATCCTGAACAAGCTGTCGCGCCAAACTTTTGCTAAATTCATACCTCGACTTCTGAGGATTTCCAGGTAAACATGAGTATATTATAAATGCATTAACGGAAGAAATATCCAAGATGGTATAAAAAATAGTTAAAGGCCATCTTCGACTCCTGCGATGTGTAAATACACTGTACATTTTTCGTCTAATGCATCGACGCCTCCTTTGGTTTCATTATAAAATTCAATAATTTCTGGTTTTTTTGTTTCATTATTTACTGTCTTACTGTAGTACATTGAAGACATCAAAAGTACCGCTTTTCGTGGTTTGGGTACATAAGAAACTAGTGTAACTCTATCGCCAAATGCAAATAGGGAAGAGTCCGTAAGTCTACTTTTGTTTGGCAAACAAGAAGCAGGTATCTCTCTCTTATTTTTTTAACAGTTCCCACGTAAGTTAGGCCTCGCTTCTGCAACTCAGTTATAACTTCTAATGATGTAAACCAATTGTCCGCTGTTACATTACGGTTAGTACCCTCAATAGATCTTACCAGTCGAAGAACTGATTGCGTTGGTTTGTTAAATTTTCTTTCCTCTTCTGACAATATTTGACCGTCACTTCCAGCACCTGTATATACATACCCATCCAGAAAATAATGAGTTCGAGCGTCAGTTAGTGCCATTATTTTTAGGCCATATTTTCGGGGTTTTTGAGGCATGTACATGCGAAATACACATCTCCCCCGAAAACCAATAAGCATTTCATCAATGCAAGCATACTGCCCTATGGAAAAATTCTTCTTGCTGTTTTCTGTAAACTTATTGAAAATTGATGAAATGGGGGCCAGTTTGTCAGTTTTTTTACGGTCTTCCCTTGTAATTTGGTCATCAAACCTAAGCGCTGTCAAAAGTACTTGGAAACGTTTTATTGACATGGTGCGTCTAAAAACTTCTCTACCAGTACCATCGGTAGCAAATATCGAATTTAAGTCTTCATTATTGGATTTAAAAATAGCTGAATAAAATAGAAACCCAATAAAAGCCTTTAATTCGATAACATCTAAATCCCTAAGGTCCGTTCTATTACCATCAGCATATTTGGTTCTAATTCTGGCAAGTTTTTCATTACTTCTGAGAACAATCTCATCTAAAATATCGCTTGTTATTAGGCATTCCCAGGCACTTTTCTCGAGACACAATTTTCCAAGAGACTTAGCTGGTCCAATAACTCCGGGAAGATGAGAGATAATATTATGACTTCTGGTTCTTACATTTGAAGGTGGAGCATCTGCAGTCCATTTGTATCGATTTTTACCATAGTACGTTCTCGGAGTTGAAGTTGGAATTTCTTGGTGCTCGTTGGAACGTGCTGCATTTTGTGAGGTAGTATCTGAAACATCCAGTGTAGTTTCCAGTGCCACGGTTTCCGGCTCCCATTCAATTTCTGAATCGCTTTCGTGTTCACTGACATAATCGGGATCATTATGAGAGTCATCATTCCCGCTAAAGTCACTCTCTTCCGCCTCTAATATACTTTGAGCCCATTGTTTAAATCTGGGATCATTGATTTTCATTTTATTAATACATGACAGGTCCATTTTCTCTAAAAATGCAAAAACAAACTAATTTTCAAGGATATCTAAAAAAAACGTAACTAGTGAGGCGGGGTCATAGTGACCCCACTGCGCAATAAATTCAGTATAATTTGTAAACACTTACCGATTTACTCACGTCTATCCCTTCGGCTATCACACCAGACACTGACTGAAAGGTACTGAAGCGGTCGACCGGCTAGGCGAAATAACCTAAGACGTACGTCATTTTTAAAATCTGCTGGGGCTCTCACGACCCCGCATCACCAGTTACGGGTTAAAATGATCATTAGAAACTGAAAAATACTCACAGCCTATTAAAGCAATATCTCGTAAACCAGTCGACCTAAAAAAGCGCCTAACGTCAAAAATACTCACAGCCTATTAAAGCAATATCTCGTAAACCAGTCGACCTAAAAAAGCGCCTAACGTCATAACCATGACATGTATGTACATAAAAATAATAACTTTATAAACAGTTCAGCGCATTTCTGTATGAAGTATTTTTTTATAAACTTTGAGGCTCACCTGTGAACATTTCATCTCTAAATATGTATACACAATTTTTCTTCGCAACAAAAGGTGATATACACATCCGCTTTGCTAACGTATGTTTTTCGAATATCGTGGGGAATTTGTTCAATTATTTACAAATACGAAATGTTTGAATTTGTTTAGAAGAAAAAACCTAACCAACCCTTCGCTCTTCGCATAAAAATAACAATTATCTTTCGGAGTGACTTGTGATTGTCGGCACGGTAAACTCGTGTATGGTGCTATACGAGGGTGGTCCCAGAAGTACCCGTCCTGACCTAGAGATGGCGATAGTTGTTTGAAATTAGCAACAAGTGCCAAACCTGCATTTTGCCTCGGTTTTCGGCCATAACTTTTTTGCTAATAGTAAGATCTTTTTATGTGTGGTCTCCTTCTTCATATTGAAGAGTGTTTTCGTTCCTGCCAACACTTTTGATTGAGTCCCAAAAAACGCGTTTTCTCATTCTCGTCGAATAAAAAGTTTTTCCACAAAAATTGGTGTACCCATTGTATGCGTCCATGAACAACCAGAGTTTACAATTATTTCTAAGAAATTTGCTAATATGACTAATAGCCATTCTACGCCTTTTAATAAACACGGAATCGAATCCATTCAAACAGCGGAATTTTCAGTAAAACAATGCCAACAAAACGCAAACTACGGTGAATGCGAATACGGCGATGAGGCGGTGTACTTTGATAGGAACGACTTTGTGAAATTCGCGCCGTCAGTGCAGACCTCTTGCTGCCATCAAGAATCAGAAGAAAAACGTTGCTACCTCACGGTGAATGGCAAGGAAGAGTTGCCGTCAGTGCACGGGGTCAAGTACTGCCTGTCAGAGACAGAAAAACACGTACGGCACTCATCGCTCAGAAGCAAGGTGGTACTGTCCAGGGATAAGGTGAAGTTCTGCAAAGGGATCAACGGAAATGTGAATCCAGTGACTATAAAAAATGTCTCGGCATATTGTACGTTACCTAAAACCCCGAGGAAAGTGGGCGAAAATCATCAGCACCACACGAGGCACGCAAATCCGCCCAAAAGGGTTACCCCTGATGGAACGCATATCTATTATTGGTGTGACTTGAAAAAAGAAAATGGTAAGAACTTGGCAGTACTTTAACAATTATTTAACAAAGACTGCGATATATGATAATAGTGACGTAGTTACTAACACTTTATAAATTGGTATTTAGGTATCATGTTGAGGTGGGTCTCAATGCAAATGAATGTAACAGGCGATCTAGAGCGAATGCTATCACTATTGGAACGTTTGAGTTCATTTATGCTCACGACTTGCGTTGCGCGTTGATGTTCAATAAAAAGGCGTCCATTTACAGAAAGGGGCACATAGATAGATATTTACTGAGCCAGATAATGTACAATGACATTTTTGCTTTCTCCAATATTGTCGAGTAATACTTTCGCGTGGTTTAATAATTCTACAGTATAGTATACTAAGTGACATATAAATCCGAACACCCAGTTTAAATGGTTTTATTTTAATAAAATTTTGTGTAAGTACTTAATGAAGCATAATAAGTAAATGATAAACATTTCAAAATGATTGCACTGCTTTAAAGCCCTTTGACCTTTAATAATGTGTGGATGCACCCTGATGTGCTACGCATTCTCCAACGCGCCAAGGCAGGCTACTGATCAGGTGGTCAATGTCCTCCTGTGGTAGCTCATTCCAGGCAACCACCAACTCCTCTCGAAGTGCTTCTAGAGTCTGAGGAGGACGTTGCAAATTGAGCAATCTCCTACAATGTGACATCATTATGTTGAAAGAAGTCTATTGTGACTCTTGCAACATGTGGTCGGGCATTATCTTGTTGGAAAGTTGGATCTGCCAGGGTGTCAAGATAGGGTAAAAGATGGGGTTCTAGAACTTCGTGGATATAACGCTGCGCGTTCATGTTACCTCTGATGAAGATTAAAGGTGACCTGGAACCATAAGCTATAGCACCCCAAACCATAACTCCAACAGTGTGATGAACATGTCTTTCAACAAAAAACTGTGGATTCCTCCTTTCACCACGTCGCCTTCTAACCCTGGCACGACCATCGTGCATGCCTAAACAAAATCGAGACTCGTCACTAAAGACAATACTGTTCCATTCCTGATCCCAGAGTGACCGTTGTCTGCACCACTCAAGGCTATTACGTCGGTGTTCTCGAGTTAAAGGGAGGACCCAGTGTGGCCGGTATGAAAACAAGCCAGAACTTCTCATTCGTCGGTAAACACTTCGCATGCCAATTGCGTACGGCCTTCTCGAAGCCATGCCTGACAACACCTAACCACAGTGTCTACACTTCTTTGCACTCTAACTGCAATTGCCCTTAAAGAAAGTCCAGCTTCCCGAAGTCCCACTATACGGCCCCTATCAAACTCACTAAGTTGACGAAATCGTACAGGTCTCCGTACTCTAGGCATCGTAACCGATCGTAAAGGATGTCAAGAACCAAAATCCGCCAACGTTGATTCTTTACTGCGGCTGAAATATTCATTTTTAATGCGTTAGTGAATTAAAAAAAAAGCAGTATAAAAACCGGAATGTCCAACTGATAAGGCTGAAAATTTTTTCACTTGTTATTTACAGTAAGATAAATACATTCACCAACTTTTATTAAAATAAAACCATTTAAACTGGGTGTTCGGATTTATATGTCACTTAGTATATTTCTGATCCTAACTGAAATTGATGAAATCCTTTTGCAGTCGAATCTGTTATTAAATACCGTACATGAAAAATACCGTTTGTATGCAATCCGAGTCATAGGAAGTTGAAGGACAGCTGGAACCACCTGTTGACGATAGTACACATCTGAATTAAATATATCAAATGTTATATGCAATCCCTAAGTATGACTCTTATGGCACATTATTTCAACTTTTTTGCTGTTTCAATTAAGAATAGAAATAATATAACAGAGCATGTGGCTTTTTTTAAACTTAGGGCCGTATAGTCAGTCGTTCCTACAATTGTAGGACGCCTGTATGGCGTCCTTGATTTTCATAGTCTTTTCTATTTCTAGGTTTCTACCATTCCGTGTCAGCGCTCTCCTATTGTGAAGTTGTTTTCTTTTGGAATCGTAGAAAATTTCGGGCTGATATAACAGACGATATAAATCAAAAGCATGAACAATTTAATGCAGTTGTTTGTAACATAACATCAAAATAGAGCGCTGACACCGAACAGTAGAAAACTATGAAAATCAAGGAGGCCATAAAGGAGTCCTACAATTATTATAGAAACGACTGACTGTACGGCCCCAAGTCGTTTGTGACTTATTTCCCTCCATATATGTCCGCAAGTCGTGGGATTAATTTGAATATGATTTGTTCTAGAACTGGATGATGGGGCATACAATCCTTTATGGACTATGCAAGGATTTACGCAAACTTTCCATTTTTGGAAAGAGAACAAAAGGGCCCAATCGGTACCGTTGAATGCCTTTCTTACTTATGTCACACTGCCTTGGTGGAGTATTGCAAAAGGTAATGTATACTTTCAGCATGTGTAAAACGTCAAACTTCGCTTTTAAATAAGTTACAGTTTAAAAAACCGAAAAATACGACTTACGAGGGTGGTCCCAAAAGTACCCTGCCTGACTTGGAGATGGCGATAGTATCATTCTATTAGAAAGTATGCAACCTATAAAGCATATGTGTTAAGTTTGAAGACGCCACGTTGTTTAGTATTTGTTTGGCAGCCATCAATACTGAACGTTTTCAGTGAATTTGTGAAAATGGAGAAAATTGGTCACCATTATGTGGTACAATACTTTTATTTCAAAGCCCTCAGCCCAACCAATATAAAAGCTGAACTGGGTGAGTCTGCTCCTTCGTTTACAACAGTAATATATTGGGTAGCAGAGTTTAAGCGAGGCCATATGAGCTGCCAAGAAGAGCATCGCAGTGGTCGACCAAATGAGGTGGCGACTCCAGAAATGGTGAAGAAAATTCACAAAGCGGTACTGAATGATCGTCGACTGAAAGTGTGCGAGCTAGCAGACATAGGCATTTCGAAAACTGCGGTTCATCGCATATTATGTGTGCAAGATGGGTGTCGTGATTGCTCACAATCGAGCAAAAACAGTGTCGTTAAGATGTTTCAATTGAGTGTTTAGCGAAGTTTCACAGCAACTAAGCATAATTTTTGCGTCGTTTCATAACCATGGATGAAACATGGGTCCATCACTCCACACCCGAGACAAAAGAACAATCAAAACAATGGACTCAAAAGGGACAACCAGCTCCAAAGAAGGCGAAGACCGTTTCATCTGCAGGCAAGGTTATGGCGTCAGTTTTTTGGGACAATTTTCATTGACTATCTTGAAAAAGGTAAATTATCAACAGCGAGTATTATGCGAACTTATTGCAACGTTTGAGCAAAGAAATCAAGCAAAAACAGCCGCATTTGGTTAAGAAGAAAGTGTTGCTTCAGCAAGACAATGCACCAGCTCACAAATCCGTTATTGCAATGGCCAAAATTAACGAATTAAAGTTTCAATTGCTACCTCATGCATCCTATTCACCAGATTTAACCCCCTCGGATTATTTTGTTTCCAAACTTGAAAAAATGGCTCAGTGATCAAATAGTCTCCAACCATGAAGAAGTGATGTCGGCAGTAAGTGGCTATTTTGAGGAGCAAGACAGTTCTTATTATAAAAAGGGTATCGAACTTATTGAACATCGCTAGGAAAAGTGTATAGAGCTCAAAGGAGATTATGTTGAAAAATAAATCCATTTTTTTACAAAATTTTTGTGTTTTCTTCGTTGGGGCGGGTACTTCTGGGACCACCCTCGTAAACTAGAAAGTAGAAAATAATTTTCAAGTATTGGAGAATTTGTGTTACTGCAATAGAAAGCCCAACAATCAATTATGACTGATTAATTTGGAATAAGATCAACAGGAAAATTAGGATATTAACAAACGTTTCAATTATAGTAAAAAAGCGTGATGTGGCTTGATATTAAATGGTTTAGTTATTTTTTTAGTTGCTATTTACAAAATTGGATTTATTATGAAAGTGCACCCCACGATTTTGTACTATGCTAGATTTTTTTGTTGATATCTTAATTTTTGCTATTGCAGTAACACAAACTCTCATATACTTGAAAATTATTTCACACGTAGTTAGATTTGCTATTAAAACGCGTTTTTTTATATACAATTTATTTCCTGATTCTGATTTTAGTCTCAAAACCTCAACAAAAGTACTTATAAGAAGAACCTCGATTTTTCATATATTCTATATTTGACAATAAATCTAAATTTACTTCAAAATTCTATCAAATTTTGAAATTTCCTTTTTTTTTGTTTATGAAACCGTTTTTTTGCAAATTTGAAAATTCAATTTTTGGAAAATTTCCTAACTGAAATTTAAAAAAAAATCTAATTCGATTGTTTTTCCAAAATTATTGTATTGTCAAAGGCCCTTGACCTCTGTGTAAATTTTCAAGTTGATCAAATGTCTTGAAATTGGAAATTAGGTTAAAATATTACATACAAATATACAAGCAAAAAGCGTGTTAAAAATTCAGTTAATGGGGTTCTTGACAAAGTCCTTATAATCAAGAGCTTCGATTTTTGGTATATTTTATATTTGACAAGTTTAAATTTCCAGATTTTTTTTTCAAATTATTATCCAAATTTTCAAAATTAAGTTTTTTTCCTCTCAAATTTGTTGAAAATTTTCAGATTTGATTTTTTCCACAAGATTATTGTACTGCCCCTTGATACCTGTGGAAATTTTCAAGTTAACCAGACTTTAATTGGTGAAAATTAGGCTGAAATATTCCTTTACATTGTATACAGGTCAAGCTAATAAAAAAATGTTAAAAAGACGCTCGAGAAAAACGTGACAGTGATTTTTACAAGATTCTGCAACTGCGACAATTTCAATCACTGATACATTTTGTTTTTCATATAGATATCCTTGATCATCGTGAGGGGCCTATACTAACCTTCTAACAACAGAAGAGGAATTGATGATATTCAAACAAACCCGTAAGCGCAAAAGTATTCCATATTTGAAACGAAAATTGTTGATATTATTTTAAATATTAATAAAAATCATTTATATACTTTGCGTCTTATTTATTTCTCACTTTAATGCATATAAACAAAAAGATAAATTCTTGGAATGTGCCAAAATACTGAAATAATTTGGAAACAAAACAAAATAAACAGTAAAGCGGTGAATTTAGGTATTCACCTTATAAATATGGTATTCATAGAAAAATAACAACTTCCTTATTTGGAGATTCTGGTAACAATATTAGAAAATAAAAATAGTTCCGCATATAATAAAAAATAATTTAAACGAGTGACTTATTAATCAACAGAAAAAAACAAGACATAACAGAACTGTTGAGTTCAACATAAAAAATTCACTCAATTTCAAACAGAAGTAACAGATCAGACTGGATTGAATTTGCAAAATGTGAACGGATATGAACCACAAAAATTATTATTTTTAATCGTTGAAGATTCCATTTTTAGATTTTTTTACAGTTCGAAACCGACTAACTCCAGAGAAAAGTTGCTAAGGACCTTTGTTCAGAAATCAGAAAAATATGGTCGGAGAGAAACAACATTTTTTGGAATTACTCAAAGGGGGAATTAAAAATGTGGAGCCAAAAGTGGGCCAGCAAGATCCGGATTATTCTTTGACCTCAGTTGATATCTTTTCATAAAGGGTGGTCCTAGATTTTTTGTTAATATCTTAATTTTTGCTATTGCAGTAACACAAACTCTCATATACGTGAAAATTATTTCGCACGTAGTTAGATTTGCTATTAAAACGCGTTTTTTTATATATAATTTATTTCCTGATTCTGATTTTAGTCTTAAAACCACAACAAAAGTACTTATAAGAAGAACCTCGATTTTTCATATATTCTATATTTGACAATAAATCTAAATTTACTTCAGAATTTTATCAAATTTTTTAGATGATATTCCGAATTAATTATTCATTCTTGATTGTTGGACTTTCTATTGCAGTGAGACAGACTTTCCTATTGAAAATTGTTTTATAATTTTTAGTTCGATTTGCTATTAAAGCGTTTTCAAGCTATAACTTATTTTGTGAATTTTTGGTCTCAAAATGACAAAGTCCTTATAATCAAGAGCTTCGATTTTTGGTATATTTTATATTTGACAAATTTAAATTTCCAGATTTTTTTTCAAATTATTATCCAAATTTTCAAAACTTTTTTCCTCTCAAATTTGTTGAAAATTTTCAGATTTGATTTTTTCCACAAGATTATTGTACTGCCCTTGATACCTGTGGAAATTTTCAAATTAATCAGGCTTCTTCTAATTGGTGAAAATTAGGCAATTACATACATACAGGTCAAGCTAATAAAAAAATGTTAAAAAGACGCTCGAGAAAAACGTGACAGTGATTTTTACAAGATTGTGCAACTGCGACAATTTCAATCACTGATACATTTTGTTTTTCATGTAGATATCCTCGATCATCGTGAGGGGCCTATACTAACCTTCTAACAACAGAAGAGGAATTGATGATACTCAAACAAACCCGTAAGCGCAAAAGTATTCCATATTTGAAACGAAAATTGTTGATATTATTTTAAATATTAATAAAAATCATTTATATACTTTGCGTCTTATTTATTTCTCACTTTAATGGATATAAACAAAAAGTTAAATTCTTGGAATGTGCCAAAATACTGAAATAATTTGGAAACAAAACAAAATAAATAGTAAAGCGGTGAATTTAGGTATTCACATAAGAACCTTATAAATATGGTATTCATAGAAAAATAACAACTTCCTTATTTGGAGATTCTGGTAACAATATTAGAAAATAAAAATAGTTCCACATATAATAAAAAATAATTTAAACGAGTGACTTATTAATCAACAGAAAAAAACAAGACATAACAGAACTGTTGAGTTTAACATAAAAAATTCACTTAATTTCAAACAGAAGTAACAGATCAGACTGGATTGAATTTGCAAAATGTGAACGGATATAAACCACAAAAATGATGATTTTTAATCGTTGAAGATTCCATTTTTAGATTTTTTTACAGTTCGAAACCGACTAACTCCAGAGAAAAGTTGCTAAGGACCTTTGTTCAGAAATCAGAAAAAAATGGAGAGAAACATCATTTTTTGGAATTACTCAAAGGGGGAATTAAAAATGTGGACCCAAAAGTGGTCCAGCAAGATCCGGATTATACTTTGACCTCAGTTGATATCTTTTCATAAAATGTGGTCCTCACGTTTTGCAAATTCCTACACATAGCAGATACCTCAGTTTTTTAGGAATTATTACATTGTATCATATCTATTCGAGTGGTTCAGGTTACAATTGTTTCTCCAGATCTGAAAGTAACAAGCAAAACAAAAAATAACCTACAATAAACGCCTCTCGACCGTTGAGAAGCCACTATGGTTCCTTTTAACTTCCCAGTAACCGTCGGTAGACAAAGACCTGGTAAGTCCGGATAAGAATTCCTCGTCATGAGTAATCACCAACAATTGGAAGTTTTTTGCAAGCTCGCGCTGTTGCACCAAATTAGCTAATGTATTGCTCAAACTGATGATGTTCTCCTTATCCAAGTTAGTGGTCGGTTCATCTAACGCCAAAATCCCGCAGTGAGAACTGAAAGCCTCGGCCAAGGCTATCCTGATAATGAGACACGCTAAGACTTTTTGCCCCGCGCTACATCTCCCTCTCATTTCTAATTCTATCGTGTTCTTAACTTGAACCACCTTGTAGTTATACGTCCTTCTCTTATTTAACCCACCACCTTTCATGTCCTCGTTTGTTTGGATCTCAATATAGTCTATGTCGTTCCCTTTGTATATTTCTCTCCACAGTTCTTTGATGATCGTATTTATGTGAACCATGCGGTCTTCATGGAATTTCAACACACATTTCTCCAAAACGTTTATATACGTACCCAGATCTTCGACTACATGCTCTTCAACTACTAGTTCGTGGTACTGCTTCAGGTAATTCTTATATGCGTCTTTGTTTTCTGGTTTTTTTAAATCAGCTTGGAACTCTTTAATCGCTCTTTCAACTTCTTCTTGTTTTCCTGTCAATGTATTGATTTCCCTGTGGGCCTTTTCAAGCTTCTTGTCAATCTCTATCTTTTCAGTCCTCAGAGATCTATAGTTGAATCCTTTGATGTTTTTCTCGAGATCTCTTATTTCGTCAATGAGCTTTTTTTCGGATACTTTCAGTTCCCTTAATGTGACATTATCAGTCAAGTTTCTATATTCGGTTTCTTTCTTAGCCAAGTTTTGTTTCGTTGTCGAGATAGAATCGATTATAGCATTCTTTTGGTCATCTAAATCTTTTTCTTTTATTTTCAACTTAGCCAGTTTTTCAACTGTCAGATCTAACTCTCCTTCAGTTTTATTCCTAACATACGTTTCTATAGCGTTGTACAACTTTTTAATGTCTGCTAAAAGTGTTTTGTTAGCATTGATTTTCAAGCTTTCCTCGTTTTTCAACTTGTTGTTCTTCTTCACCACCGACTGTCTCTCCTCTATAGCTGTGTTGAGTTGCTTATTACACTCTCTTACTTGATCTTCAAGCTCTTCTAATTCGGACTTTAAAGCTGACAATTTTTCCTCAAACTCTTTAAGTTGTGTCTCCAACATGGGCCTTTCTTGTAGCAACTTTTGTATATCCAACTGCTTTTTAGTTTCCTTTTGAATTTGATCATTTAGTTGCTGACAGCGTTCTCGGTGTTGGTCCAACATTTTCTTACAAGACTCGTATTGGTGCTTCAAATTGCTGAGCTCAGCTTTTCCAGCATCAATCTCAGCTTCAGCTTCTTCTCGAGATCTTTCTGATGGCACTGTCACTATTTGTGATCGATACTTTTCTATATTTTCTTTGGAGCTCTTGATCTCATCAATGTACCTATCCAGAAGCGTTGCATCACTTATAACATTTTTACAGACTTCAACTTTCTTTTGAGGGAGTTCCAGTTGAGCCTTATCCGAAGCAAGTTCCATTTGCTTCTCGTTGTACTCCTCCTCGAGCTTTTTAACTTCCTCTTCTAGCTCAGGTATCTTTCTTTTAGTCAACGTCTCGATTTCTTCGCTAATAGGTTTGAGTCCTTGTAATTTGTTGTAAGCCTCCTCGATTTCTCGCAACCTTTTTTCGTTCTCGATCAGCTTCTGCGGTAAAAGAGCAATTTTTCCTTTCATCGAATTTATAATCTCTTCCTTTTCAGTTGGTTTATCGCCGAAGTTTGTCTTGCATATAGGACAGCAAGCATCTTTTCTGAGCTTTTCGATGAATGCGTCGTACATGATCTTTGCAGAGCTGTACTGGCCTTTTTGTTTTTGGAGGGTTTCTTTATTAGCATAACTTTCTTTTAGCGACTCGTCAAAAGATTTCCCTCTACAAGCTTGCACAACTTTCTTCTCGTAATTGGCCAATTGTTCTTTATCGGATTCTAGTTTCCGCTTCTGCATTTTGAGCTCAGTTTCCAGGCTGGATACGGCTTTTTCCAATTTCCCTATGCGAATTGTGAGTCTTTTACACTTCGCTTCTTCTTCATTTTGAATTCGTTGAACATACCTTTTAAAATTGCTTCCAGGGGTATCATCATCAAATAATAGTTTGAAATTTGAAGCATGTTTTGATTTGATCTTGTTAATTTCCATTTCTTTCTCAGCAACTGCCGCGATTTCGCGTTCTAGATTCTGCTCATGGTGGTAGTTTTGTTGCAGAATTCTATGTTCTCGTTCCAGTTTTTCAAGAGACTGTTCTTTAGCATCTATAGCTCCCTTGAGCTTATCTATCTCAATATTTTTATCCCGCTCACTAAAACTGCTTTTTAAAGATGATAAAGTGGTTTGTAATTTTTCGATTTTGTCACCAACTATTTTTAGTTGCGAATCAGATGAACCTAGTTGGTCTAATTGATCTCTGATGTCTCTAGCTTTTCCACCATATTCCCTCACCAATCCTTTCTTTGACTCTATTATTTGTCTAACGCTAACAAATTTTTCTCTAGCCGTGTCAATTTGGTTTTGTAATTCTTTTTCTTCTTCTTCCTTATCTCTGACGAGTTTCGCGTATTCCACGTCTAGTTTTTGTATCGCACTCTCGAGTTCATCAGCAATTTCTTCAGTACTCTCCCAGTCAATATTTCTGTTAATGTCTAGTTTATTTCTCAACTTTTCCACTAGCACTTTAACTTCCTGTTGTTTGTTTCTATGCTGCTTTTGCTCTTCCTTCAGTTCCCCTATCTTCATTTGGATTTTCTGTATAGCTACACCGACAGTGTTATTTTCGGCAATAATTTCTTTATTTTTCTGTTCTAATTGTTTAATATTATCCTCTTCAACTTGCTGTAACTGCTTAAAGGACTTAATTCGGTTTTGTAGATCATCGTCTGTTCCTTCAAACACAAGTGTTATTTTCTTCAATAAGATCCCCTGCTGGCCTTGTAACCCTGAAAAGATACATAAATATACTCAGTGACAGAAGTGTTACACCCAGAAAAAATAATTTCTTCAACTTGATGTTTTGGCAATGAGGTAGTGTTACATCAAGAATGAAACGATAACATTCTCACCAGATTTTATTGACAAGTAATAAGAGAAAAATAATTTAGTAATGTGAATACACTCGTGTATACGTCTAGGCATCGACAAAATGAGATGATCGATGTAGGGTGGTGGCACCTCATTCCAAGCAACTCGTACTTCGTGCATGGGCTGTGGCGGATGATGCAAAGTAGATAGTCTCCTCCCCATCATATCGCACACATGTTCGATGGGATTTAAATCCATCGAACCGGTGGCTACTAAAGGGTGTCTCATAAATATTTTCTTATTTTATGCCATAAATAAAAATACTTAGAATATTTTTACAAAGATAAATTTATTACCAAACGAAAGCCTAAACATTAATTTTATTTATGGAAAAGAGTATCGGATAAATGAGCACCGTTCATGTTTTCACACTCTCTTAATCTCGAACTGAAGTTTTCGATCACTCTCCGAAGCATTGCTCGAGGAATGGCGTTTATTTCATCTGTTATTTTTTGCTTCAACTCTCTCAAATCTTGTGGCGGTGGGGTGTATACCTTACTCTTCAGGTATCCCCATAAGAAAAAATCTGCTGGTGTCAAATCGGGACTTCTCGGTGGCCAGTTAATGTCTCCTCTGCGACTGATGACCCTCTCTGGGAATAACTGATGAAGAGCATCCAAGGATTCATTCGTGACATGAGAAGTCGCTCCATCTTGCTGGAAAAACGTGTTTCTATTGTAGCCACCATGGTTCTGTATAGCTGGAGTTAAAAAAGTCCTAATCATGTGGCAGTAGCGCTCAGATGTTACAGTTTGAGCTTGGCCACGATTGTCTTCAAAACAATACGGGCCAATGATTCCTTGCCCTGACATAGCAGCCCAGACGATAACTTTAGGCGAGTGTAATGGCGTCTCATGAAGATTTTGCGGGTTCTGCTCGGCCCAATATCGGCAGTTTTGTTTATTAACATGCCCGTTAATGTGAAAATTCGATTCATCAGAAAACCATGTGTTGTTGTAACCGTTAAAATGCTCTCTCATTGTTCTACAGAACTCTAATCGATTAGCGGGATCTTGTGGTTTTAATTGTTGTGTAACAACAATCTTGTATGGGTGAAAATGCAAATCCTTGCGAATAATGCGATGAACAGTTGACTTATGCAAAGTTAGAGATGCTCCACGCAGTCTTAATGATTGCCGGGGATCCTCGTTAACGGACTGGCACACACGTTCAATATTTTCGTTCGATCTTGCTGACCTTGGCCGTCCAGGCGGTTTACTAATACACGTGTTTCCAGTGCTCTCGAACTTTCTTACCCAATATTTAATTAAATTTGCGCTTGGGACATCTCTCATTCTTGCTATGTTATAATGATTTCTGTACAAACGACGTACAAGCACATAAGAATCCTTGTTTTTATAGAACTCGCGAACACAAAAAGCACGTTGCGGCCCTGTAAAACGCTCCATTGCAACTAAAATTTAACAATGTTGCCAAACGTTTGTCAACTGTCTCGTTTCTCCGGAGCATGCGTATTCCGCCAGAGGACTGATCTAAAAACGAAAATATTTCTGAGACACCCTTTACAAAACATTAACGCCTGCTTCTTGAAGAAAGTCTTGCCTTGACCAAAGAGAAGGGGTGATCGGTTATCATAGGCAATGCCCCCCCAAACCATTACTCCAACAGTCCTGTGTACATGGCTGTCAACAGGAAATCCAATATCACGCCGTTCTCCACTGCCGCGTCTTACCTTTCTACAACCATCGTACGTACCTAGACAGAATCGCGATTCGTCGCTGATGATGACATTATACCATTCTGCCACCCAACGTTGCCGTTCTCTGCTCCAGTTCAAAAAGGCAAAACGGTTTCGTAGGGATAGTTGTCTCAAGCGCCTATCTTGACGCTCTGTAGTACACCTCGGTGCACCAGTTGGCCTTCTTCGTGTTCCTCTAGATTCTTCTATCCACACACGCATTACCGTAATTGCAGTATAATTAACACGACGGCCAAACATCTCGATAGACAATAATTCTACCCCTGTCAAAGTCGATAACCTGATGATAATTTGGACGTCTCCGAACTCGAGGCATTTTGTTATGCTTGAACTAGTAAATGAAAGGGCAATAACTAAAAATATCTGTACTACTCAGCTCTCAGAAACTGCTTTCTTCACAGCAAACAAGGTAAACAAAAACAAAGATAAAACATTGACAATGCTGCCACAGCATGCGTTAAATATGTTGCCAAAAAAACAAGTTGAATAAATTATTTTCTTCTGCATGTAACACTTTTGTCACTGAGAATATTACGAGGGATACTAGAAGAGAAATCTATCTAGGCATGAAACAAAAAAAAAACGTACGAATTTTTTGTTTTCTCTCGAATCTCAAAAAACGTCGACGGTTGCTTTCAAGCCAACATCTGAGTCAAAAGGGATTTTTCTTTAGTAATCCAAGAAGGTAAAAGTCGCACGGAGCTCAGTTCGGACTACAGGGTGACTTCGAAGTTGAGTCATTTATTTTAACAGTGAGTAGATCTGATCAAAAGAAATGTTTTTTTCCTTTACCATTTTTCTGGTAAAATTAAAGTAACAAAGTTATAGCCCTTTGGAAGTTTGAGTACCGCCCTGTCTCAATAATAATATTATGTGCTCGTGTTTGGCAACAACGGATATAATCCGCCTTATCGGTTCATCGCATCAGAAACAAAAAAGCGAAAGAATTTGGAACGATGTTTTTACAATTATTTTATTCAGTTGTATACAGTCAGTGTCAGTCGGTAACGCGTGAGTGAATAGGGGTGTCTGTTGCGTGGCTCAAACGAAATAAAAAATGGCACATGTTTACGAAAATTCTGAACTTGTGGACATGATTCTTATTTACGCGGCATCACGGATTTATGCGGATCGGTTTCCCAATCGAGTGCAACCAACCCCTCGAGCCTTTGTTAATGTAGTACAAAGGGCTCGTGAATACAGGTCCGCACTGAAATACTTGTCTTGAGGATACTTTATAAAACAAGGTAACATTTTTTTTTAATTTCTTTTTTATTTTTACACACATATTTTGGTTTATCTTCCTTCTACAATCATTATCTGAAAATTAATGACTCAACTTCAAAGTCACCCTGTATAGGGAGGATCTCAACGAAGCTCAATTTCTCCATAATTGGTCTAATTTTGGCAGCCTTATGAACAGTAGCACTGTCATGCAGCAGAAACACTTCTTGATTGATAAAAAATACCATCAATTTTCCAGCAAGGGTTGCATCCGTGCTTTTTTGGGGGATGGAGACCCTTTATGAACCCACTGCTTGTACTCTGTTTTTGTTTCAGGATCACAATGATGACCAAAGTCTCGTCGCCCGTCATAATTTGAGCCAAAAAGTCAGATTCGTTGGTCAAACTTTTCAAATGACTCCGAGATTTCCAAACTGCGCAATTTTTGTTCAGGTGTCAAATTCAAAGGCCTAATGGCACTACGATCTTCTCAACAACACGGCCAGTTCGAGCCGGTGTTCTTCAGGGCGCGGTTCTAGGACCAATCCTTTATTCGCTTTTCATCCATGATGTCCCTTGCCCCAGCAACTGTGAAGTCTACCTCTATGCTGACGACACTGCACTTGTCGCCCAGTCGTGTGCTGGTGATCTGGTTCACGATGGGTTGCAGAGTGCGGTGGACGAAGTACTAGAGTGGGCGAAACGGTGGCTGATTAAAATTAATCATTCGAAAACGCAGGCTATTTATTGTAGCAAAAAACGTAGCGGCCCCCCAGCAGAGGTTTCTGTAGACGGCAATCGTGTACCATGGACAAATTCTGCTAAGTACCTCGGTGTCACCCTTGATAAAGGCATGACCTGGCAGAAAGATACAGCAGCCTTGAAAACAAAATTCTATATTGCGTTTCGGCAACTATATCCTTTGTTATGTAGAGTTTTATAAACAAAGTTGGCCTATATAAAGTGATTATTAGACCAGCCATTACTTATGCATGCGCCGCTTGGTGTTTTCTTGCCAAGACACACATGCAAAGTCTTCAAGTGCTGTAAAGCAGAACTTTGCGAACAATTTGCAACGCTTCATGGTATGTCTCAAACGAGACTACACAGAGACCTTGACATTCCTTACTTGAGGAATTATGTCAAGCTTCAGGCGCAGCGACGTTATAGTCAAGCGGAATCGCATAGCAACCCTCTGTTGCGTGACTCAGTGGACACACAGTGGAACAAGTTTGTAAGTATTCAAGACCACGGCTCGCACTGTAATCAAAAAGCCTACAAGTTTTCCCTCTTAAACTAAATACTTATGTTTTTCTTTGCTATTCACCTTTTTTACTTCTGTTTCCCTTTCTCTTTTTCCTTGTCATTGTCTGGCTTCTGGGCAACCAGGACTGACAGATTCGACTAACGTACATTAGACAGTGAATAATGGGCAAAGGTCCTACGGACCGCCCAGACAAACAATTGACGAATAGTACGACGAGTTTCGAAAACGACGGCTTCAACTTTTTGATCATTTGTTGCTGTTTTGGGACCTAAACTTCCGAGATCGTCTTCTATGGATTCACGTCTTCATCGAGACTGTTTCGACCAAAATTTTATTGTTTTTGGCTGATGGCCCTCTTTTGTCAGAAATTTTATGATACAGGGTACTCTAAATTTGAGTTACTCATTTGTCATTAAAAATGACCTTTATAAGTTGGAAACTGTTTATCAAAATTAACTAAACATTTTCAAGTAATTACGCTTGTGCGTTTCAATTGTCTTTTACATGTCTAGGTAGATTTCTTTTCTGGTTTCTCTCATAGTTGCCGAGACACATTTGTAAAGTATGTCTACAGGGTCCGTCAGAAAGGACGCATGTTTTTCGAATGGGTACTACATCGAGTGGGCTGGCCCCGTGTCGGTGGGGAA